ACAGTAAACTGAAAAGGGTGAAAACCGCGAAGTGTCAATAGATCCTACGTATATATCTTACTCGAAATCTCCTTGAAAATTTGCCAAGGAGCTGACACCTGGTTCTACAAGTCAATAAAACGGTACTGACAGTGTTTTGGGTTCATTATAGGGCAGACGCAGTATTTCTTTGTGTATGGAGAGATAAGAGTGGTGCTGTTTGTGGTTATATCTACGTCCTGTTGTATATGTTGTATAAATGTCGTGGGTGGGGGTGGGGTGCGGTTGACAGGAAAAGCATAGGTTCAGTGACTGCGACTTCCTATACATTTCGAAAAGTTGTGAGTAGAAATTTGTTTTTCAAAACTAATGCATAAAAGACATTGTCCAGCTCCCATATACATGTATACTTAGTATTTGTACCACTTGTAAACGTTTGTTGTTGACTTGTACCTGTCTGATGTTTATGTTTCACCTGGATGTGATGGGGACATTCCTGCCTGGCTGTGGGGAGAAACATGTTTGTTTAGTTCCTTCCCTCCACTAAATCCATAAGAAGGACACACCCCAGCCTTACATCAGGTAGAGCACTAGTCAGGGTTTCAAACTCATCTTTGGGAATACATGTAGGTGCACTACTAGTGTGATGCATACCGGTTCACTGGACTTGGATCCGGACTTGTAAGAATGTTTAGGTTCAAGTCCAAAAAACCTAAAAGTCAAGAACCGAGTCCAAACTTACATGTATTACCATAAATTAAAAGACCATTTCACATACCCCTTTTCTTTCCAAACCACCTAAAACCTTCCGTAGATTGTAAAATCTTTGCTGCAAAACGAAGATATTGCCATCGGGCATCGTCAAGTACCGGCCTCCAGGTTATGTGGCCAAAGTTTTACCCAGACAACATTGCAAGGTTGCCAACATGCAATTTTGTATATGCCATGGGTTTAGGTCCGGACTTGCGTACAAGTCCGGAACTGAACCTAAACCTCTGGACTTGAATCCGGACCTGAACCTAAAATTGGTTCGCAGATTCACAATTATGAAACTCGTCAACGTTCCCATTTTCAAATTCCCTTACTAAGAACATCTTTTGCCCAAATGTCAGTCAAATACAAATGTGTCACCCTATGGAATGAACTACCACCAGCCCTAAAAAATTCTACCTCCTTTTTCCTGGCGCCGTTCAAACGAGCTCTGAAAAACCTGATCTGATAAACCATCCAAGCCCCTTGCAGTAATCTCATATAGTGTTCTTTCTCATTTTATCTGATACCAATTATTATTGTTATCATCATTGTAGCATCATATTCATACACCACCCTACTTCTTTGTCATTAATTTATTACGTATTTGTTTGATCATTCTTATACATTATTTTCCATGTACATGATTTAATCTAAATCATCGATTACATTCTTCTTGTTAAATTTAGAGGGGGAGGGCCTCGTACAAGCACTCCATGCTTCTGCCCTCCTCCTGCACCTATTTTAACTTCATTCTTGTATTATTGCATTATGTTTTTGTTTCAATGTGCAAATAAATAAAATCAAAAAAATCAAAAAAAACCTAAAATTGGGTTTAGGTATGCATCACTATGCACTACTGGTGCACCTAACCTAGAAATTCAGGGGCACGGAAAAAATTGGGTTGCACAACAATATTATAAAAGCTAGAATATCAGCAAAACATAATTGTTGTAATTTGGTAAACCTAATCGCAAGAATGACTGTGGTGAGATTCCTTACATTTGGAATTGTCTTGGAAATGTTCAGATAGGTGTGATATAACAAGTTGTTCACTGACAAGATATACAAATGTATGTGGAATTTTAGAATCGTGCAATTTGTTTCATTTCTTAAACCAGACTGATTAGCAAAAAAAGGACACACCCCTATTTGTATCAGAACTCAGATAGTATATATATATATATATATATATATATATATATATAATGGGTATGTTTCTCACATTGTATTTAATATTTCTATTGTCTCTGATGTCATGAATCCAAGACAGAAAACCTGACAAGTTTATTGCCCTATTTGGTAATAATTTGTTCCCAAAAATTTGCCTCAGTCTGTATCTTGGTTTATAATATGTCTACTTTCTTTCAACAAAAAAAGTCTCTTCACAAATGTTTTAAACTTACTTTCTACCTCACAACCTACAGGGTAACTTACACGAATAAGGCCACAAGGAGTTATTTTTATGGATGACATCCGCACGCGCATTGATTTTCGCCTGTCGCCCTCAAAAAAATAAAAAAATAAAAAAGATTACATCCACCGAGGCTCTGGCCTGGCTCTAGGTCTGGGTAGTCCATGGTAGTTAGCGACAATACGGAGCCGAGCACCCAGGCTATCGAATTCGAAGCTCCACGGCTCAAGAACTCAGTACATACGTACAGTGCCAATTCATAAATTCCGCAAAAAGCCAGCTTGCCGTATATGTCGCTAAGTACTGCCGCCAATTCACAATACCAGCTTTGTATTCCTGTGGTTTAATAGCATTTTTATGTTTGGCCGGAATTTTTTTTTATTCACCCGCGCGCACTAGTTTGGGGGTCTTCAGAGGATGTCATCCATAAAATTAAATCCGTGTGGCCTAAGTCTGAGTGCTGGTGAGAACACAACCTTGCCAACGTGTCTATTGGAAGTAATTATAATGCTCTATTGTGAATACGGTAGACTGAAGGTCATGACATTCCCAGGGAAGGCATTCTTTGTTAATAATAGAATTGTACCCTGAGACCTGACCTGGTCCTGACGTGGTCATGCAGATGTTCTTAAGGGGTGGGAGTGGGGGTGTTGGGCATTGTCATCTGATTGAGGAATTCGAAAGAATCTCTGATTCAGTGTTGGTAGGCGGAGAGTTGTGATTGTTCAGTGCTTTTTCGTGTTGCCTATGAATGTATATAATGTCTTACAAAGCACGTCGGCAGAACGTACTGCACCTGCGCAAAACCTGTAATGTATTGTACATAGCACTTCGGCAGAATGTCTCATATAAGGTCGTATTTGCTCATATAAGGTAAGCATTCCGACAGTAGTTTCCAAATGTTACGTCGGAAAAGATATCGTCTGCAACAGGCAAAATTCTAATGCAACGTTGACCAAAAATCCAACGAAAACTGCGATAATTCAGGGTTCTGCGCACGCGCAATACATTCTTCTGATGTGCTGTCTTACAATACTAGATAACACTTTTGTCAGTCCCAAACTTTATGCAAGTTTCTAGTTGTTTGTAGTTTTGATGAGATGTTACTGTAAACTGATGTAATTTTGTAGGGACTCGGTTTTGCAGTAGGAGGGGAAAGGAGGCATTTGTAGTTGCAGGTAAAAATTTGCAAGGAGAGAGACACTGCAGAAATGGACATAAAACCATTACAAATATTTCACAGTTTACAGAACCTCTTATAATAAGATGAGCCAGACCTGTGCAGAGCTGGGTGTTTTTTTTTATTTTTTATTTTTATGCCAACATGTAATCACCAGACGTGGTGACGACACACTCAAGTTTTTTCAACTTATATTAATGCCGCCACCAACACAGGGGACAAATACATGACAGGACAATACTCATTTACACCTGAGCTAAGTGAGGAAAGTCGTGTAAAGTGCCTTTCCCAAGGGCACAAGATCGGTGGCATGTCAGGACTCGAACCCAGGACTCTTAGTTCAGAGTCGCACACTCTGCCGCTACGCCACACGACCCCACGGTTGTTTTTTCACTGGGTGACCAAGAATTCAATTACTGAAAATTCAGTTATTTTTGCAGGGACTTAATTTCATGGTAGAGCGGAAAGGGTGGTTTGCAGTTGAAACAATTCTGTAGTTACAGTAGTAAATAGATTGGAGAATGATGCTTATTCGCGGTGTCATGAATTCACAGTAAAGAGGTCACAGCGAAATTAAAACCACTTTGAACATTTGAAGATATAAAGTACTTAGGCCACACCAATTTAATTTCTTGGTTAACGGATTTGCCCGCTTCATTTTTTTCAGATTTGCAAATAAAAATAAAAATTCAGAATCAACTGCAAAAGGCTCATATTTTGCCCTGAACAGTTGAAAACAGTCCTTTTCTTCCTAGTTGTTAGTTATTCCATCTTTCAATGCAGTGGTATCATTAAAAGTTCAAAATTCATTGTTTAAATTTGGAACCAGCCTGGTGTGTTGACTTCATGGCTCCTATCGTACCATTTTGGGCCATAGTAGGATACCTAGGCCTGTTTTTTATTTATTTTTTTCGCCCGCCCGCTCCATTATTTTTCTAGAAAAATCTGTTAACCAAGAAATTAAATTGGTGTGGCCTTAGTACCTTATGAGTAACTGCAGTAGAGTGGAGCTATTTGAGTGTTACTATAGGATTTTCTTTCTCCAAGGTTTATGACACGTGATTGAGACCTATATAGCCCTCTTGACCCCATTACTAACTAAACACCACCGTCTTATATACGCACAGGGCTGACAAAAGTTAACAGGCAGATGATTCAGGTGTTCATTACACCTGGTTAGTTACCTGCACGGCACAGGTGTTCATCTCACCTGCTTGTTTACCTACAGAGTTTTAGGGCAACCTTGTTCGCTACATTCAGGTCACTGCATACGCTGTCCTTAGCTTGGCCTACAGGTATACTGTTTGCTCTCCAGCTTACAGTTTAGCCAATTGCTGATAAGGAAGGAGTCGTTGCTTTATTGCCCTTCGGCGGCTCATGGTAATTCTTCCATGACGCAAGGTGAAAAGTGCAACTGTGATAAAGAGGACAAAAGATTCTCGCGGTAACCAAAGGGAAATTTTCACCAAATTTATGGCTGTTGAAGCATGGAATGTTTTTGTAATCGTTTTGTTACAAGTGTTTATAAAAGTCCAGATATCATCAGTTACCAGTCTACCCCATCTGGCTGCTATTGCTAATCACGCATTTTTTTGTTATCTCTTACACTAAACTTAGTTTCGCCGAGTCTGTTAAAGTTTTTTTTCAGTGTTTCAAAAATATTTTCCTTCCTTACAGGACATCTACGGTGCCCCCCCTTCTGGCCACTCCAATGAGAATGTCTACAGCTACAAACATCGACCACAGGTAAAAATGGCACTAGCCTGTAAAATATGTAAAGAATTTAATGAAAACTCAGGAAAACCAGAAAAAATGTAGTCAGAGATGTAAGATATTACTGTCACAGATAGACAAGTACTAGTAACAGACATCACCAAGAATTTTTGTAACAGCATGGTTTGGTCTCACAGTGCAGTTGTCACTTAGTGACGCAGATTTGGTGTTTAGTTACAGTTATGGCCTCAAATCTGGTCTCACATAGAAGTTGCATGATTGTCTCCACTAGGGTCTCACATAGAAGTTGCATTGACTTGCATGATTGTCTCCACTATGGTCTCACACAGAAGTTGCATTGACTTGCATGATTGTCTCCACTATGGTCTCACACAGAAGTTGCATTGACTTGCATGATTGTCTCCACTATGGTCTCACACAGACGTTTGCTCCCTGCAGGACTCCATAGACAGTACCATCAGCCAGGACTCCAGTTCATCAGTGGATCGCGGACAACTCAGCGGTAGTTTGGACTCGGACGACCAGCAGGACCCACGAGCGAGGATGGGGGACGACATGATGAGCCGCCGTGCGGCGGGGTACCTGCCACGCCCACTCAAGAAGCGAATCAGCGAGAGCCACATGTTCCTGCCGCCCAAGGGGGGCTTCTTGAGCAAAAGCAACCCTGAGTTGAATAAGACATACCCAATGGTGAGGATAAGGCTAGGCTGTTCAAATGTTTATTTTACAGATTAGGCCATGTTGATTTGATTACATGGATGACATCCTCTGGGAACCAGCAAATAATAGACTGATTTTCATTTCTTTGCATTTTGTTTTCCTTTGGAATTGATTTTAGCATTCTATGACAAAGTATCGTTTTCCAATATTTGTTTTGAATTTACAGCATATATCTCTTCATTTTGCATCTGCTTTGTATGATTTACAGTATGGTCGATTTTTTTTTTGGAAACTGACAAAAATTCTTGTGCGCGTGGATGTCATCCATATAATAAAATCAATATGGCCTTATTGTGAAGGAAATAAAAATGATAACAGTATGGTAGATAAGTATAAAATGAAGCCTATATGATTGATGCATAAATGATTTTGATTTACATTTCAAAATTGGTCCCCATGTTCTGCAGAAGCAGAACTCAGTGGATGAGGGTCGTATGGGCAACGTACTGATTCCAATTATTTCTTCCCTTTCATCTTTTTTGAGACATTTTTCAATTTTAACATTTTGTTAATATCTATCTCACATGACAGACCATGTTTTATGTATATTTTTATTTTCTATTTGTTTTTTTCTTTGTTCCTTTAGGGTCGTCGGAAGTCCTCCTCAGGTGATATGAAGGAAGAAGAAGAAGAGAAGTCGCTCACATATGAGGACTACAAGAAAGAGAAAACAAAGCTCAATGAAGACTCTGATCTCTGGAGATCGGTAGGTGTAACATCAAAAAATAGTTTCATCAGGTTGGTAAGGTATAGTATATAGTATGTAGCATCGTGTGGTGTAGTGGTACATCACTGGACTATGAAACGGGGAGACCCGGGTTCGATTCCGGGTCGTACCCGAACAAGTCCGAACATGCGCCCCGACGTTGTACCCTTGGGAAAGGTACTTTACACGACTTTCCTCACTTCACTCAGGTGAAAATGAGTAGCTACAGTCAAACCTGTATTAGCGGTCACCTTTGTATAGTGGTCACTCGGCCATAGCGGTCAGTTTTTGCCGGTCCCTTGAATTTTTCCCATTGACGTAAGCATTAAGAATCGTGTCTATAGCGGTCACTGTTCAACGCGGTCAGCGGTCACCCCATTCCGGTCCCGCCGGCATGTCAACACCGCCGATAGCGGTCGCAGCTGGCCGTAACCCGCTAAGCACCACGGCCGTAACACCACCCCACCTCGGGCTACGACCGTTATGAGCCTTGTGATAATTTTCCGATCGCTACATTACTAAAATGTGAACTGAAAATTAGACTCCATATGTGTATGAAATAAAGGAAAACTGGCTTTTGACACGAATTTTCTGCGGTCGCGGGTGTCTTTGATATCTGCGTTTTCCCCAACATCAGTGCCGTGCGTGCCGCATGGAGCTTTCAATGGACTCGGCCGCTCGGAAAAGATTACGGCAATTATCTTCACAAAAAAATTAAGAATATCCATATTTGGTTTCTCGATTCCTTGAAATGCGTAGATATGTGCATAGCTTCCGTTTTTCATGGGCATAATTCAAGAAATTTGGCTCGAAAAATGCGTTTCGTATTTTTCCAAGATGGCGCATGTTAGCTGCAGAGGGAGGTCAATTGGGGTCATCGGAAGACTCCACTGTTATGGAGGTAGATACACCCAGTTTTATTTAACTTCATTAGCGTCAAATGACGTAATTACATTATGAAAACATTTCAAATACATTACTACAAGTAATTTTAGATGTAAATTTAAAACTGTAGTGGATATTTTAGAAAAGATATAAGTCTGAAAGGAGAAAATTTTCTGTTGACTACCACATTGGCATAATGGTAAAGGCAGACAACCCACGCGGGGAGAAACCCAAGCCGTAAACAAAGGAGAGTTTTCGCTACGTTTTCATGTTCAAAAACGACCAAAAACGGAAAGTAACTGGCAACTGACGAACAATTATTTTGCTGTTAACTAAATAGACAGCATCTTGGTACAAAATAACTTATTTACGTGGTTGGAATTCGGCGTATGTCGGTCGCGCGAAGCAAGTGTTCACCAAAGAACAAAAACATGGCGATGTCGTTCTCTTCCACTTTTCGACTAACAACAACAACAACTAGTACTAGTAACGTGGCGATTGCGGAGAAACGATGGCAAACGCGGAGAGACAGACGCCGAACTTATTCCAAAAGGTGGAAGTGATCCGACTGGCAGAGAGAGTGAGAAGAAATCGTCGAAAGCTGAGCTTAGATTAAATGATTTTGCAGTCGATAGAAATTTGTTTGGAGTTGAAAGTTTGTTGCTTGATTTGCTTTCTTTTCTTTAGCCACATGTAGTACTAGTATGTACACAAGAACAGTAAAATGACAACCAATGATTTTGTTTTAATGTTTTAATGTGAATGGTTTCATTGTCCCGGAATAGATGAACTGAATATGTTGAGTGTATGTATCTTTGATGTCAAGTTAATGTTTCCATGCAATATTTCTGTATTTCTTTTTTTTTTAAGCAAGTACAAAATAAAGTGCAACTAAAGCAAAAGAACAACAAATTATTGAACTAAGACATGTACATATAAAAGGGGTTTACCTTTGCAAATGTATGTATTCATATGTTTCAGAATAAAGACATCACTGTTGGTACTCAAAGCATGTGTCCCTTTTTTTTTGGGGGGGGTCAACTAACCGGCTGTTTCTCTATAGTGGTCACCTGGCCATAGTGGTCAAATTTGGCCAGTCCCTTGAGTGACCACTATAGGCAGGTTTGACTGTACCTAGCTTTGGCTAGGGACGTCCCTTGGATAGGACGTTAAATGGAGGTCCCGTGTTTAGGAGGGCCACACCCCACGCACGTTAAAGAACCCACTGCACTTATCGAAAAGAGTAGGGGACCTTCCCGGTGTGAGTGGTTCAAACCTTACAGTCTGGTCTCGGGTTGACATCTTTGAAAAGATGATAGTCACCGCAGAGCTCGAAATACCCGGTGGCGCACTGGCGCGGCGCCACCTGATTTTGCTTGGCGCGACTTAACGCGACTTATTCCTAAACTCAGGTGGCGCAGCGCGCCACCTATAATTTACGGTAGGGACGTCACTGCTGCCACACCGCCCCTTCCCCAGCTGCTACATGTAACATTATCCTTGCGCAAACGAAGAACATAGCGCACGTAACGCCACCCGCATAAGTGTGCCGCCATGTAGAGGCGTGGCATTCCCACGGCGGCAGCCCTGTGATGTTGCTGCCGCGGAAAATTCAATTAACTATCCGCCAATCACTGCGAGTCGGCGAGCGTTTAGTCAGTCAATCGCTGAAAAGCGCGAAAATTCGCGAGTGACTCGGAAAACTGCGATGTTTCCCGAGAGTCGGTGATTGGTTAATAAGTTTTAACGAAAATTTCCGAACTCACGAGCCTCGCTATCGAGTTCTCTGTGAACACTTGTTGTACCGAGGAAAAAAGTACTTTGTAAACATGGCGCAGTCGGGGCAAAATAGCCTGCTAAGGTATTTTGCAAAGCCATCAACCAGCCGAGAAGACAACGCGGATCCTACTGCAACTCGTGAGGCAGCGGCTGAGTTAAGCGCGGAGTCAGACGCGGAGTCAGACGCGGACACTGAGGATCTCGAGGAGACGGTGTCAGTATCGGAGGACCCACCCAGTGCTAAGCGTAAGCGTGTCTATAAATACTGTTTTCTGGAAAAATGGCGCAAGGATCGACCGTGGCTTCGTCACACCAAGGAGGACGGCGGTGAAAAAATGTTCTGTGACATCTGTCTGCAGTACGACAAATCAGGCGGGAGGAACGCCTTCATAACTGGATGTAGATCAATGAAACTCCATCCTATCACTATACACGAGGCGTCCGATCAACATAGAGATGCCGAAGCGATGAAGAAAATCGCAGAACGACCGCGCCAGGTTCGTAAGAAATTTCATTGATACAATTGTGTTCATAGCTGAAATGAATTCTTTGACCATGTCAATTTTTTGAGGGTGAATTGTTTTACATGCATTACTTTTTATTAAATTTTTTGTCCAAGTAGAGAAATTGATTTCGAGCGGGGAGACAGACGCTTGGATAATTTTGAAACAATGTTTTGATGTATCATGTAACAATATATGGGCGACCAGCCTAATTGAATATTCATGAATTGGCTCGGGGGCGGCTTTCGTTCTAACCTGATTAATATTCATGAGATTAGGGGCGGCGCACGAACCACAAGATTCAAGGCCTTGTATCGGATATTTATCGGCCATAAACCGCCTATTTATTGGTATCAACAGTTGCCGGATGTTCTTATCTTTATATTTGTGAAAGATTTATCAAAATACCTTTAACCATAAACGAGAAATGGTCCGTCGGGCGCCGCGAGTTTTGCCCGCGGCAGCGGGTGCACCCTCCCCCCGGCCGACAATCTCACAACGCCCGGCGGCGCGGCAAGCGGATTTATCGGTGCCGTGTGGAAAATATTCATGAATTGGCTCGGGGGCGGCTTTCGTTCTAACCTGATTAATATTCATGAGAATCATCACGTTTACAAAAGCTCTGAGTTTCCCCGCTCTGTTCATCTATGAATATGATTGTATTCTGCTGGTTTGTGAATTAAACATATGTTCCTCCAAAACTTGATTCTTGGTTGTTCCGTTTTTTGGTCATGATTTGAAGTCTGGCTTTGAAAAGACTTTGCCGCAGGGCAAATAGTATATTTACTTAATGTTTTTATCCCTTTTATATACATAGGAAAGGCCCTTGCCGCAAGCAGTACAACGAATGGAGCAAGCGGAGATGTCAAAAATGGAAACATTATTCAGATCAGCTTTCTATCTTGCCAAAAATGGTAGGCCTTTTGCTGACTTTAAAGGCTTGATGGAGCTTCAGAAGTGCAACGGCCTTTGCACAATAGGTCAAACATACCTCAATGACAAACATGCAAAAACTTTTGCTATGTATATACATGAAACCATGTTGGAGGATCTGAAGAATGTTGTAGACAGTGCAAGTTTCTTCTCTGTTCTGTCAGATGGCAGCACAGACAATGCAGATGTTCAGGAAGAAATTGTGTATGTACAAGTACTTGAAGATTTCAGAGCAGTAACAAAATTTGTGGCATTGAAACCAATCCACAAAGCTGATGCGGAATCCATCACTGCTGTTGTAGTAGAAGCACTCGAGAAAGACTTGGGGCAAACAGAGTGGCGGAAGAAACTTGTGGCTGCAGGTGTGGATGGTGCAAACGTCATGTTAGGTCATGTATCAGGCGTTGTCACCAGGTTGAAGAACGAATCTGTAGGTAAGCAAGTGATTGGCATTCATTGTTCTGGACATAAGCTTGAACTTGCCTATAAGAATACTTTAAATGATGTTCCATACTTCAAGCATGTTTCTGAAACCCTCCAAATCATCTACAAGTTCTACAAGAACAGTCCATTGAATCTGTCCAGCTACAGGGCCACGGGTGAAGTACTGGACTGTCCTGCACTCAAGCCTGTGAGCACTGTGGGTACACGGTGGATCGGGCATACTGAGAGAGCTCTAGATGTAGTAAACAGAAGTTACCAGGCTCTGATCACACATCTGGAACAAGTGGCCGAAGGTAGAGCAACTGCAGACAGCAAGGCCAAGGCCAAGGGGATCTTGCAGACAATTAAGTCTGCAAAGTTTGTGATGTTCCTCAAGCTCTTGTTGTACATAATGAAGTACCTGTCGTCTCTAAGCAGTTGCTTCCAGCAACGTGATGTCACATTGGAAATGGTGACTACAAAAGTGGAGGCTGTAAAGGCAAAGATGAAGGAGCTTAGTGAGAACAAGCACAAGCTGAAGGAGAAGATGTTACAAGACATCGAGACTGATGGGGATCAGCGACCGACAAAATACAAAACCATCAGTCTCACACAGACACACGGAAGGGGAAGGGGACGGGGACAAGAAGAGCGTGTTATGGACGTGGCAGAGTCTGTTCTGTCATCTGTTATATTTCATCTGGACGGTAGATTCAAAGACACACTACTCAACAACCCAGTCCTACATGCAGCTATGGTATTTGACCCCACACAGTGGCCACCAGCTGGTGAGGAATTGGACAGCTATGGAGAAGAAGAAGTATCCACTTTCTTTGCTCACTACAGAGAAGCCCTTGAGGAAAAAGGACACTCTCTGGAAGACTGTCTCCTGCAGTGGGGTGAGTTAAAGAGGGTGGTGAAGAGAAAGTTGGCCTCTGGACATACCAAGTACCAAGACCTGTGGCAAGAAGTTATGAGGGACCACATGGATTCGGACAGGTTCAAGGACATCTTGATGCTTGTGCAGATAGTCCTGCTCTTCCCACTATCAACTGCAGAGTGCGAAAGAGGCTTTAGTCTTATGAAACTGATCAAGTCTGACTGGCGTAGCAGCCTTAGGTCTGACACTCTCACTGCCTTGATGGCAATATCACTGTCACCAGCAACAGTTGAGAACTTTTGCCCAGGCAATGCCATCGCTAAGTGGTGGTCAGATGGAAAGACCGCAAGAAGGCCCCGGACCAGGCCATATGGAAGCAGGGCCAGGTCTGCTGAATCCCAGGTTGAATCCAGTAACAGCAGCAGCTCTGACTCGTTTTAATAAAAACATGGTTGTAAACTTCTAATATCCTGCAGTGACCATGAAATAACAGTGGTTATATGAGGACTGTAGGATGCATATATATATTCTTGTGATTTTGATACACAGACACAGTGATTGAGAGCTCAAAATACTACAATCTGTTCTAATATACCCCCCTCAGCTTAATACCTGCCCCAGTTAAGCTGCCAGGTCCAAAAAAATAACCAACAGTCATAACTTGTTTTCATATCCTTTTTTTAAGTTTAATAAGCATACAAAGCCCAAGTATACAGATGCTGTAGTTAACATTTCAAGACATTGAAAACATGTAAATGTGGCATTGATTCTTTATTAAAACGTTGTTGTTTGAGAGCTTTTGTGTTCTTTACATTACTTTATTTTATAACATAAAACTCAAGTAGTTATTTAATAACTAGAAGAAAACGTAATAGATATAAGTAGCAGATTTGAAGAAAATGATAACTTGGAAGTGTTGCCACTTGAATACTGATGGCGCCACCTGGCTTTTGACTCAGGTGGCAACATGCGCCACCTGGCTGAAAAAAGTATTTCGAGCCCTGCAGTCACCTGTTATATCAATCCTTCCACAGATGTGGTAAATCTTCATAAATTAATAGATAAATATAGTATACAGGAGTTTTCTTTTACACATCTAAGATTGTCTCACCTAAGTGCTAACGTTTCGGTGTCTACCAGACACCTTCCTCAGATTCAGAGCTTCTGACTTCAGAACTCCAGTCAGAAGCTCTGAGGAAAGTGTCTGATAGACATGGAAACGTCAGCACATAGGTGAGACAATCTTGGTTGTGTAAAAGAAAACTCCTGTATCCGGTAGGTGTAACATTTTGAAACTATCTTTAGATCTCGGAAGAAAATTACTGATGCCATCCGATTTGGGAGTCCCACATGAGACAACATACACCATAACAAGTGCTAATTTACTATGTATGGTCTTGATAACATGCAAACTTGATAACATCCAAACATGTATGAAATGATTTGAAAATCAATTCAAAACAGTTGTGTCCAAGTTTGCTGTGGGAAAATTCTGTCTACTTTCATCTAGAAAACGATGAAGTCTAAATAAGAGCTACCAAGTTGTAAGGTCAAGTTCTGCTACTAAACATAATTATAATCAGATGCCAGCCACTTACCATATAACAAGAAGAATCAAATGTACTAGTATTAAAAATGACTATTATAAATATAATATCATCATAGACTACCAGTAAGTATGTTTCCATTCCCTTTGGACTAAAATAATTAAGGGTTGATAAATCCATACTGTTACTATATATAATGTTTTTTTTTATCAATATCCAATATTTTGTTTGTTATGACACAGACTCTGGACACATGGAAGTTACGGAGGAAGAGCAAGTCGTCTGCTGACCTCTGGGCTAAGAAGGAGGAGTGGGAGAAGGACAAGGTGGCCGAGCTGGACACCACCAGTAGACGCAAGAGCAAAACTTTCCAGGAGATAGTGGACGAAAAGTAAGCTTGGACTAGAAATGCAAATGCATAATGTTTACCTTTGCATATGGTCTGCTCTGTTAATTCTAACTCAAACACATTCATATACATGGTCAGACATGAGTCTAAATCCCTCCTGCTATAAAATTGCAACATGATGTAACCCAGCACTAGTTACCATGGTGACAAACGTCTGGTTCAGGTCATTGACCTTATTTGTTTGGAGAAGAAGAGGAAGAAGAAACAGAGCAAAAACAATATTTTTCCTTTTGCGAAGGTAAACATAAATATCATCCCACTTAGAGTAGGACAGTTTATAGTGCTGTTCAGTCCATGATGTTGTCTGCTTTTTTTACTTTAAGTGCTGACTTTTCAAATCACACACAACAGTACGGTGTCAAAAATGAATTTTTATAAAACATGATTTTTTTCATGTCATCATCGTGCATGATACTATGGCTTGTGACAGAGCAATGCAAATGTCAACAACGAAAATAAAAGCAAAAAATTCTGACCAATGTGCAAACACCTTACCAATGACAGCAAAGATCCTTGAGGTGCTAAACTTATGTTGTTGTTTAACTTTTGACGTAGTTTGACATTGTTATAGTTGTGATAAGAACTGTAGTTGTTGATTTTGTTTATAACTGATCTTTGTTTTGTTCTGCTTGCAGAGGAGGCCCTGATATTGGAGATGTTGCAATTCAACTGCTCAGGTAGGAGTTTTTAAGATTCAAGATCACTTTTATTATTAAACATTGCAGTGTATCAAAGAATTGCGTCCAATTTACACAGTTTAAAAACAATTCAATACATACAAACAGTATTTTACATAATAAAATCCATTGACAATTTAAAAAGACGGTAGTTAAAATGGCGATAGTTAAAAAGACACTGCACTTCTAAGGGATATACAATGTAGGTTGTAATAAATATACATCAGATTCTGTTCCAATAAAAAAGTACAATATTTACGTCTGATGTTTTATGTTATCAAGGATTGTTGAGTAGACTACACATGTACGATACGGGCGAGTTTCTGTATCTGTTGGGTCTTGTTTTGGGGTTAGACAGTTTGTGACTGTTTCTAGTAAGTTACTAGGCTGGTGATCTCATGTTTTGATCAATTTAGTATAGATGGTCTGAGTTTTCATCCATATGTTTGGCGTCATGTTTTTTTTTGTACAAGATTGTTACTTATTATTTGTCAATGTGCCAACCAGAAAAAAGCGTGAGCAGGAGCTGTCAGATGAGTATGCAGCAGCACTGGACGAGCGCGAGAGGGCGGAAAACGACGATAACGTCTTTAACGGCGAGGACAGCGAACCGCCGGCGAGGTCATGGCGCCCACAGCCGCAGCCCCGGAACGTCCGCAGAGAGGATCCGTGGAGCGATGACGAACAGCCCAGTAGGAATGTACCAACTAACAAAGGGGTAGGAACAAGCTCTTGTTTTGGTAGCAAGACTGGTACATTGCCTCTAATAATAGTACACAGGTGGAAGGTTTTACATAATATTCAAAATCATGTCTTTCTCACAAGGGCAATGGCTATGCAGTTCGTTGGTGTGAATAGGAAAATAGGAGAACCTGAGGCTGATATTTTAAACTTCAATATATTTATGACTATGTTTCACAGAGACCACCTCCTCCCCCAAGACGAGATAGCTTCAAAAGGGTAGGAAATAAGTAACACTGTCAAGTATCAGGGGAGAAAGGTTTGGTATTAAATACAGTGGATACATTCCTCAAGCTAACCAAGAAAGGGTTAGGGGAGAAAGGTTCAGTTTCAACATTCTGAACAATTAACGGTGATGGTGACAAATTCACTAGTACTGATTTTAGTTTTATCAACTGATCTTTGTGTTCCACAGGGCCCTGCCCCTCCCCCAAGAGAAGACAGTGTCCCGAAGGCATCGCCCGCCAAACCGTCATGGCAACGGCCGGAACCATCCCGGCAACAGCCCACACAGTCATGGCAACGACCTGAGCCGGCACGACAGAGGTCAGACCAGTCATGGCAACGACCTGAGCCGTCATGGCAACGACCCCCACCGCCCAAACCATCTGCCAGAGACTTACCTGAGGAAAATAAGGAGAATTCCGAGTCTGTCAGCAACATACGGTCCATGTGGCAGAGAATGGAGCAGGAGGACCCTAAGGAAAGGGAAAAGGAACTGCCACGAGTCCCCCGGCCAATGTGGGCCAGGGAGAGCCCCCCTGCTCAGCCAATCAGGGCCAGAGACAGTCCTCGTGCTCAGCCAATCAGGGCCAGAGACAGTTCCCCTGAACAGCCAATCAGGGCATCTCAGTCACCACTTTCCAGGATGACAGCCAAACAGAAAATGGAAGAGGTAGCCAATCGGCCGGTGCGGTGGGAGTTTAAGGTGCGAAACTAACCACGGGGAAGTCAGGCTACAGATCTAACTTAAAAGGGGACAACAGTATCCATTTTTGCTCTTAAATCCTATCATTCATTATATTTATAAATCATTAATTATAATATAATTATAAATCATCCCATTCTGGTATGTCTGAATCAGAGTGATCAGAAGAAAAATTGCATTTTCAAATTTAGATTCTGTTGTCCCCCTAATCTTGCAGGTTCTGTACTAACTGCCACAACCAACGCCACCCAGCAACATGTATGGGAACTGCACACTTACATCTTACCCTGCAAACAGTAAGCAGTAGCTTTTTTACTGTGTTGGAGAGTAATGTCCAACATGTTTTACAGGAAGGGTACATGGTGACTAACCTTAACCTGTCCAAGTCGTCAGATGAGAAAGGCTTCGGCTTTGCTGTGTCAGGAGGAAAAGATGACAAGGCTCCTGTACTCATCAGCTCAGTTGTACCAGGTATGGCTTTAGTTATACGCATGACTTTAAAACCAACATGAAACCTATGACAATATACATGTAGTACGATTATCATAGTTCTTGAAAATAGTCAAAGGGGATAGGCATTTAATGAACAAAGATGTTTGGACAAAAAGTACAATCTTCTGATGTTGGGGAACATCGAATCTTGCACATCATCCTTCCAGTTCTTGATTTCTGCTGCCAGTTAATTTAATTAAATGCTGCCAGTGATGTCATGGTAAGCATTGCATCTGGTTCAGAAACCACAGGTTTCGAAAACATTTTTGAGCTCAAGAAACAATGCATGATTATTGCCTTTATCAGAAGGCTATGAAATTGTTTTGTTATAGCGTGGGAGACTACATGTATGTGGCATAACTCTTGAAGGCATGGATCGATGTTCATGATTTTTGGCAGGCAGGTTACCGTTGGGGAGACCAAGGTCAAGTTTAAAAATGGGCTTCGTGGGGAGTCCCTACGTCACTGCAGTGGACCTTTTGTGTTTGTCGTTTTTCTTGTTATCAGGATAACTCGAGTACAATGTATATGTATACGGATGTTCATGATTTTTGTTAGGCTGGGTAGAACTGGAGGTATAACCAGCCATCATGTTAGAACAAATGCTGGGACTGTACCTGTGATGTGAACCATAATGAATGTCCGTAATGCATGTATTCCTACAGGAGGGTCGGCATCCAGAAGTCAGCTGCAGGTCGGGGATGAAATCCTTGCCATTAACGAGGAGGACGTTTCACCGTTCAACCACAACACTGTCGTGGCCGCCATCCGCGACTCGGCCAAGACAGGCATCATCTCGCTCTACATCCGTCGGAAGGGTGCAGAACGCAACGGTCAGTCTTCCACAAACGTTTCCAAGGCTTGAAATACTGGGTGCATGTGCACCTTAGTGCACCCAAATTTGGAGCTGTGCACCCAGTTGCTTTCTGTAGGTGCACCAGTGCACCCAAATATTTTTCTAGGTTTACATAAATATATAAAGATGTTAAATGTATAGTAGCATATTCTTACATCTAAGTGTCAGAAAAATAGTAAAATCATTGTTCTGGTGCTTTTCTTTAGAAATGTTAATGATGGTTACTAGACGTAGTATTCTATTTTATATGGTGCACCCAAAAAATTTTTGTGCACCCAATTTTTTAGGTTGGGTGCACCAGTGCACCTATTCCCAAAAATGAATTTCGAGCCCTGGTTTCACTTTTGGAGAGGGAATATACTCTTCATTTTGCTCACTTATTTCAGCACTTACATTCACTTGATAGTACATATAATGTTACTTACAATCACTTTAAAGAGAAGGAGAAAAAGACAATCTGTCAATTGTAAGTTTCAATGTTGTAACTTTTGCTCTTGCTGATTGCAGCTTTTGCCAGCCTGGCCAAGGAGTTGGAGGCTAACGTAAGTTTATTGGGTGAAATTTATTGTAATACATTGTACTATGCATTTGAAATGCAGATATCGTCTTGAAATGGAATGGAAAGTTATCATGACGGAAAAGATATATAATAGTGTTTCTAGATTTCATGGATTTCTCTCTATTTCTTTTTATGGACCAAAACTTGCATGTTCTGACCTTGACCCCATTTGACCTCCAGGATGGTTTCCCTGAAGATGAGCCCGACAGCCCCGCCCCTCCACCGCGCCCGCCGCCTCCCGTGGACGAATCCCCCGTCGTTCGGCAGGAGAAAGTACGGGTGGACCAGACGGCGCTCTCCCAGCAGTTAAACAGGTACGACACGTTACACATTATCAGGGTGCCATGTCAAAAATCAGTTGTGTCTATACTAGATTGTTGTTACATGTACAACTAGAGAGGTAACATTTACAAAGCTAATGCATAATATTTGCCTTCGCATAATCTGATCTGTTAATTCTTACTCAATCACATTCGTATACACTGTATATGGTGACAGGAGTCTAAATCTTTCTTGCTATAAAATTGCAACATGATGTAACCCAACACTAGTTACCATGGAGATAGACTGTCTTGCCCAGGTCATTAACCTTTTGTATTTGAAGAGGAAACTGAGCAAAAACAATATGTTTTCCTTCGGTAAACGTAATATTGATTATGTTTCTTATGTCATTTCAAAGGCATAGTTTGAAGTTATATAATGGAAGGTCATCCCAGAAAATATATAGAATGCTGGTGCTGGTGTGGTAAAACCACCTAAGGTCGTGCGTACAATGGTACAGGTAGGGTAGTTACAAGATCATTTCCTCCCTGCCCTTGTAGGTTGGAAGATGAAGTTAAGGAAGAGCCGGTAACTCGAGCGGTGAAGGCACGAGATGACGGGGCCCTGGCAGAAAGGATTGAGCGGTCGGACAAGTTTAAAATTGCATTCCAAAAGACAACAAATCGATTAGAAAAAAAACATTTTGGAAAATCAATATGTTGGTGCTGGGATTACTGATTGGTGGGGTGGCAACAATATTCCATTCTTTACATCTTCAACAAGAAAATTAAATTCTTAAACAGTTTTAAAAGTTTGAAATAGGTCCTACAGTATCATAGGTGTGAGAGGAGAGAAGATTCAGTGTCCTTGCTACATGATTTACAAGGTTGGTTCCTCCCTGCCCCTGTAGGTTGGAAGGAGAGGTTAAAGAAGAGCCGGTGACACGAGCGGTGAAGGCACGAGATGACAGGTCCCTGGCGGAGAGGATCGAGCGTTTGGACAAGTTGGATCGGAAAGACGGCACGTGGCAGTCCAAGGAGTGGAGGGTGGACCCACCTGGACAACACATGGAGATCTCCCTTCTTAAAGGTGAGTGTTATGGTTATGTAGGTGAGTGTTGTTATGATTATGGTTATGTAGGTGAGTGTTGTTATGATTATGTTGAAGTGTTTCTTTGGCAAATAAAGAAAGATACACCTGTGAGTAACTGTGTTCAGCTAAGCTTTGTTTGCTTCTGTCCTGCCCAGTATTATATTTGTTTTGTGTTTTGTAACAAATCCATTTTGCATATTTGCACACATGGCTTTGTATTTGTTGTCAGTTTGAGTTTGACATTTTATTTTTTATTGTCAGTTTGAGTTTTATGGTTTATTTTTTATTGTTTGTTTTTTTTGTTTATTTCTTTATGATTTTTTTAACAACATTTTGATTTGGGTGTGGACTAACCCTTGTGCATGTCCATCTTGTGTTTGTTGTGTTCCCATGACAACACGTTTCCATGACGACATTAGACGACCCTGAGCTGCAGCCCAAACCCGAGGTGGTTCTCCGGCGCAGGGACACTGAGTCTGAGTTAGCGTCTCAGAACCTGAAGCGCCGTTCCGACTTCTTCCTGGGCGTGGGTAGGTACAGTCACTGGTGGAGGGGCGGTTACAGATCAGACATAACATGCCACAAATAAACAGCCCATCCAGATCAACCCCACCTTTTTATACCTACTAAACAGGTTAACAAGGACCTGAGCCAAACCGGTAGGTAGCCTAGTTAACCCCTGGTTAACCTCTGATTAACCCCTAGTTAACCCCTAGTTAACACGTCATAGTTAGTGTTGTACAGTCTGATTCACAGAAGATTTTTTTTTGTCTTGTCAGATGCTAAAGCTGAAGAAGCGCCTCCAGCTGAAGTAGAAAAGCTGCAGAGCAAACTTTCCAGTTACACCCCGCCACAGATAGACGCAGGTAACAGTTTTTTTTTCCTTTATCTGTGATCTGTAATTCAGTCTAATGCTAGTGTTCTGCAGAATTTAAACTCATCTCTTTCATTGGTTAAGGTGATGACACAAGTGCAGACATTTTACAAAAGGTAGACCTACATGTATACATGGCTTGGGGACTAAAATCAATGATGAAGTCCACTAGCCTGGTTACCAAATCTACATGTATTATAGCTCCTGAGTCCTATATCCTCTCCGCAAAGAGGACTCGGGAGCTAAAATAGGTCTGGTAACCAGGCTAGAAGTCCACAATCATTGGTTTTCAGTAAGGTCCCATTCACAGCTGTGGGAAAGGTGGTGAGTTCCAGGCCTGTGGAAATCATCAACCCACAGTCTCTGGAATATCTCTTATTCCTGCATTCCAAAGACTGTTTAAATATTCCCCACAGGCTACAAGCCGCTGGAGTCCCGGCCACGCTCCTATAACCTGGAGGACGAACGGAACCGGCTGGCAGAGTGGCAGAGGTCACAGGAAGAGCGCCAGAGGGAACAGTTCCAGAAACAGCAGGAACAGTTCAAGGTCGACTACGAGAATCGGCTCAAGAAGTCCATAGAGAGGAAGAAGTCTGACCCTGCCCTGCTGTATGCTCCAAAACCCTGGGCTAGTGTCAAGCCGCCTGTCAGCAAGGTGGGTTGACGTCCCAGTGAATGTCTGTTTTTTGTACATTATTTCCAAACAGTTTTTTGATCTTGTTATCCCAACTATTGCAAAATAAAGGGAGATTGTGGACTTCCTGTGAAAGGTTTCAATTCTCTTCCTCACACAGTCTTCCAGGCCAAGTGGTGAGGAAGAGGAGTCAAAAACTCTGCAGGATCGCAGCAGCTGGGAACAGCAGCAGCTGCAGCTCAGGGAACAGCAGAGGAAGGCAGAGGAGGAACAGCAAAGAAAATTGGCTGAGGAAGAACAGCAGAGAAGGTGGGAGGAGGAACAGCAGAGAAAAAGGGAGGCAGAAGAGCAGAGAAGAAGAGAGGAGGAGGAACAGCAAAGGAGGTGGGAGGAGGAACAGCAAAGACGAAGAGAAGAGGAACAGCAAAGACGAGAGGAGGAACAGCAAAGAAAATTAGCTGAAGAACAGCGGCAAAGAGAGGAAGAGGAACAGCAAAGGAGGTGGGAGGAGGAACAGCAAAGAAGAATGGAAGAGGAACAGCAGAGAAAATTAGCTGAAGAACAGCAAAGGAAAGAGGAAGAAGAACAGCAAAGGAGGTGGGAGGAAGAGGAGAAACGAAGACAAGAGGTACTTGTGGTTTTCAGACTCTTGGTTTCTACAGTTTTCAGCACTTTGTCCAATTGTCCATAGACCTTCAGTTTTTCCTTTCCTAGTGCAGTCAGAAACCCTTGCTGTGATGTTGGTTTACAGGAGGAAGACAGGAGACGGTGGGAGGAGGAAGAGGAGGAGAGAAGATGGCAGGAGGAACAGGAGAGGAAGAGAGAAGAAGAGCTTGCTCGATCCAGGTCAGCTGCTGTCAGTTTTCCAGTGGAAAAAAAATGGCCATAAGCAGCCTCTATATTGGCAAGCACAGATTAATTTTATCAATGTAGCATGTTTTCTTAAAATTAAAGCCACATAAGCTTGTTACATTTCAGAAACTTCTCCCCTTGTGGTAACTTCGCATTTTGCAAAGTGCAAAATGTGTTGGAAGGCCAAAATTCTGGTACACGTATATGTGTGTCATCAGATCTGTAAGATCCCATTTTTGTAGCCTAATGTTTAACACTCATCATCCAGGGTGGAGAATGGGGAGCCTGACGCTGGAGACCAGTTCTACTATGACGAGAAGGAGCAGCAGCCTCCTCCGCCGGGGCAGAGATGGGACGATGAGGAGGAGAAACGGGCGGAGCAGATGATGCTGCAGGAGGAGGAGGAGTTCATGAGAGAGCAGGAGGAGATGAGGAAAAAGGTAGGTTCACTTTTTCGGAAAAAGGAATTGCTGCTTGGAGGTGTTGTGTGAAGACAAGCCAACTGCTGCCCACCCGTTTCAGTTCATGGTACCAAAAGTTTGCGGTCTGAGAAAAATGGACATGTTTACGGAACTATACGTTTGTGGTGGTGGCAGGCGCAGCAAAAAGCAAGTTGGTGAATTGTTTTTTCACGGTAATGATAAGTTTGCGGTATAGGAGAGACCGTGAAAACCGCAAACATAAAAGTACCAGGAAAAAATCGTGAATTACAGTAATCAAAGACTGGATACTACAATACAGACTACTTTTCTCGAACAGTAACAGACTTTAAAAAAAGACATTCTGTTTTCATAGAAAGTCATGCAAAGTTCTTCTCTCTTCGCACACATATTTGACGTTAAACATGTTGTTGTAAGACACAGTCTTGTTTGTCTTTCTCCAGGCCGAACTGGAGCGACAGAAGCGGGAGGACGAACGGAGGAGAATCGAGCAGCACCGGCTGGAGATCGAGAACCAGCGAGCGCGTCTACAGCAGGCCTCGCAGGACCACAGCCCGCCAGCCCCGCCCGCGGTCCACCGCCCGTCTCCCCAGCCCAGACAGCCGCCCCAGGACCACCCGGAGGAGGAGTGGGATGCGGAGGAGGAGAGAGCCAGGATCGAGGCGGCTGCTAAACAACACCAGCGACTCATGGAGGAGGAGGAGAGGAGGAGGAGACAGCGCAGGGCTGAGGAGCAGGAGAACAGGAGGATGGAGGAAGCCGGGTGAGAAACACTTATCATAGACCGGACAGTACCCTCATTTGTCCGTAAGGGGCAACAATACTGTTAAGAAATGACTGATTTACCCACAATATATACGTAAGAAGAGTTCAAAGGTCCATCAGTAGGTTTTCTTCTCCACCCTCCAAATATTGGCTGGATCAATATAGAATATCGGATGAAGGACTTATTTGAAATGGTGTTTTGACGAAGAAGTCCCGAATTAAAGACCTTTTTTCATTCCAGGAATGTTCCAGATATCCGGCCCCTCCCACGAGGGCCCCAGGAGCGGCCAGGGTCAGAGAACCAGCCCCATTGGTTAATTGAGGAGGCAGAGCGACGGCGACTACAGGACCAGGGGCAACCCCGCGCTCCAGGCATCATCGAGCCCCTCCCACCGCTGGTAAAACCACAACCAAAGAACAGGCACTCTATGCACGGACCACCCACCGGACCGCCCTCCCACCCACCACCGGACGTCCCGCGCAGAATCCACCCCAACAGGAGCGACGAGGACGTTCAGGCACGAATGATAAACCGCCGTTCTGCCCCACCGGAGCGGACGACATCGCAGGGACCAATCCCAGACCACATTAAGGACGCGCTAACCCAGCGTGCCACACGTCCGCAGCAGAGCCCACCGTCGCGTCCCGTGGGAGGGGGAAAGTCTGTGAGCGGACGGAAACTGTGCACGCACTGTGGAGAACCGCTAGGCCGTGGCGCCGCCATGATTATTGAGTCGCTGGCTCTGTTCTACCACATCACCTGCTTCCGCTGCTCCGTGTGCGGGATCCAGCTGGGGAACGGCCAGCAGGGCACCGACGTTCGGATTCGGGCAAACGCGCTCCATTGTTCCAACTGCTACAGCAACGAGAAAGGTGAGGGTGTACCATTACCTAACATAGTCATCACTACTGGTATACTTACATTACAACTACTACACATGTATGGAATGTCAGTTATGTACTACTATTTTCTTTAATTTTTCAAGTAACTGTTGGGCTTCCTTGTAATTAAATGCTTCCTGCTCAATTACTGTAACCGAATAGCAAGGAAATAACTTCCCAGAAGGGATCTTGGTCATTATCTGAGCTCTAACACTTCTGCAGATTTTTAGTTTTATGTATGGCAGATACCCTAACTAGAGGATAAAAATCTAAGATCTTTTTTGCTGGAGCTTTTATTACTGTTTGCTTGCTGCAGGGGGATGCTAGTAAGAGTATTCTGGGTTTCAGAGCAAATCAGAATTTAAAGACGGAGTTTGTGATAGTGTTTTAACTCTAAAAAGTATTTTATCGCATTTCTAAAGCATGAAATTTGTATAAACTTGAGAGTCTTGGGCCTGAAGTGAAGTTTTTTTTTCTTTTCTTCGATTTCAGACCATTTTACAGCTTTGGTGTAGTCCAACATTAACCACCCTTGCCAAAAGGACTTGCTGCAGAAGGTTCTTTTTTTCGCAAACATTTTTGGCATGACAATAACAAGTGTGGTTTCCACCACCACTACACACTGTGATATGTTGCAGGTCGTGCCGCTAAGCCGGCCTGCTAACTACGGGTCTGTTCGCTGCATCTCGATCTGTTTCTCAGCTTCTCTCTCTTGATGATTCAGGTTCCGGGGCAGGCAGTGCCCTCCCTTCTACTTCTTCCTCTGATTGAACCAGTCTTCCATCTGCATGCACGTTGCCATGGTAACAGCTCCAGTACTTACGGTTCTGTCAGTTAACTCGGGTTAAAGGGTTGCACGTTCCCAGGGTGTAAAAAAAACAAACTCCCGGTTCTGTCAGGGTTAATAGAATGCAGCCATTGCATGACAACTTACAGGTTAAAAATCTGATGGCTTACAAATTGATCCCGTGACTTGGTCCGTTGGTTCCCTTTCCCTTTGATTTACTAAATTCTTAATTCAATCAGTCCTTGTTAATATGTTTTCAATCATCGTGATTTCATTTAAGTCGCTCTGTTTCCAATGGATCCCCTCAACAGTGGTAACTAAAATGTTCTTGGTGGTTCAGTTGCAGGAAGCACAAGGCTGGGGAGGGGGGCACATGGGTTTGCCTTAAATTCATAGGTTCATTTCAAGATGGCATTGATTCTTAAGACTCACATGAGGTATCCTCTGTTTGTTGGAAGGACTTAGTAGTTATAGAAAATGCAGAAAAACACTGCGTGCGCCTGCAACATCATAATATCACTCTTGATGTAGAAATGGTGGAGGAGATTGGTATATATATAGAGCTACAACGTTTGGTGGTGTCAGACAGACATGCAGTATTGTTAAAATATCCAGATCTGGAGTTATCTGTCCCCCCATTCCCCTGTCCCCAACGGTGCTCCCTGTGACTGACCATACCTGAACTTAGCCTTGGTGCCATCGTGGTAGTGAAAGTTAACATCAACTATAAGATCACTGTACCGGTAGATATGAAATAACCAGGATGGCACCAGGCAAGTGTATCGTCCCCGTAAACACAGATGGAAGACTGAGAAATTGGATTGTCTTTGTACAGTTGACTCTATTTAAACCTTGTTGGTATGAAGAAATAATTTGAGGAAAACTTGCTGCCTGAAATAAATTGTGTGCATGTTGAGTTTACTACTAACACTTAACCTCTGTTGAATTTTTCACCCAGACCTGCCTTTGACCCTTTTCCCTTATCAATCTTTAGGTGATGCCTTCACTGCTGTATGAGACCATACCATACATCATCAACATTGGTGTGAGACCAGATCCCATCATCAACACTGGTGTGAGACCAGATCCCATACATCAACAACATTGGTGTGAGACCAGATCCCATACATCAACAACATTGGTGTGATACCAGATCCCATCAGTATCATTGATGTGAGACCAGATCCCATCAACAACATTGGTGTGATACCAGATCCCATCAACAACATTGATGTGAGACCAGATCCCATCAACAACATTGGTGTGATACCAGATCCCATCAACAACATTGGTGTGAGACCAGATCCCATCAACAACATTGGTGTGATACCAGATCCCATGGATACCCCTCAAGTGGAATATTCCCCTGAAGTGATTTATTATTTACTGTATTATTTTTAGCATGATTGTTTATGTCCTGTCACTACTGCAATTAAATAACAGGACAGTAGGAATTATTTTATGACGTTTTAAATGAAACTGAAAGTTTTGTTACCCACTGATTTGTAGCTTGAAGGAATGTATTTTATAAAATACTTAATTGAAGTATTCGTGGATATGCAAAATGTGGTTGTGTCACATTTATACATAACTTGCTGTTATTGTTGTTAGGGTGTAGATTTACCATCCTATCATATTATTGATAACCAATATGTAAGAACCTGTACATCTAGAGCATTGATGTGAATATCGTTCTTATTATCAAGTGTTTTATCAGGCTTGGTCTGGTGCAGAGGGTATTTTATGTAGACATAAGGTAAGGTATGATTCTGTACAAATTCTTAAGATTCTCAGTGAGAATAGCTCACAAAACAAATTCTACATACTAGTATAAATAGGTCTACATACATGCTACATACATGTGGTACTGCAGCGAAGGGGTGTGGTATGGGTGTCTATAATGTGTGTAATAAATAGGTCTTTACTATGTAACGTGTACCAATTGGGTACACATGGAGTTATATGTCGAAAGAATGTTGGCAACGTAAAAAGCCCACCTGTGGCTATAGCTGATTTCATGTCTGGTTGGCTGTCATATACTACTTTCTGCTGTTGTTGTTGTGGTTGTTGTTATTGTTCTTTTGGCCTGGATGTTTGGGAGGGTGCTTGTATGAAAAAAAAACTAGCTGGTTACAGAACAGTTGTAGCACAGAAACAGGTTACAGTGGGGCAGCTAGAACTTAGTACACCACAGATGTCAGCGTTTGAAGTGGTCATGATATGTTTTGATGTTTCTGGACACGTCAGCATTTATGACAAGTTACTCTCAGTATTTGTACAATATACAAACATGTAGTGTAATACAGAAAATGTATAATTATGGAGTTTGAATGTGTATTGGTGAGTGTAGCAATGCAGATGGTATGGAGAACATACATGACATGGTGTATCACTGTGGGCCTAGCTACATGTATATTTGTAAACATGAATGTTTGGCCCAGGAACTCGAGACTCACTCACTGACTCACTATCCAGTTTATCGTCTGTTGTTCCCCGTCATCCAAGGGTTAGACGTGCTTGATTCTGAGGCTTGATGGCAGCACGCCTACCATTTGCCTCTGTCCAGAGACCTACATGTAGGAACATTTAGTAGACGTTTTTCCCAATAACGTGGATTTTTGCCAGTGTTGTTTTTACCGAACTTTAACTTGTACAGAACCTCTTTAACCTTCCTCAATCTCTGCCATCTTGAAGACAGCAAGAAGATGTTACAAAGCAAGGCAGACATCTTGTCAAGGATCTTCGTTTCTGTGGAAGACAATTGATGTCTTAACTAGCATTTACTGTTTTTCTACACCAACCAGAGGCTACTGGTAGTGACATCAGAGTTGTGATCGCATGAATTTACATGTATTAACCCAAGCAAATTTACATAAAATTATGTATTGGAAGGCCAATTTGATGTTTGTGTTGATAGCGCCATTTGAAATGACAGGAGGACAAAAGTTGATTTTGGGGACATTGTTTTGTGTCAAACAACAAGAATTTAATTGTTACTACCAACATCTGTATTAGAAAATAAATGTCATGGAATATGACTTCATGCACATCTGTCATTTTATTCTAGTAGACACCAAAAGTGTTAGGTGGTTCCTGTGGTAGTTCTAGGGTCTGTTTTTCGCTCCTATCCCTACATTGCATAGTTGAAAGCCAGATCTTGACACCCCCACGAATACAAATGAGTATTCCAATTAAGACGTTCCCAACGATTTCATTTACTGTTAAGCATTGCCAACCTGCCTAAATTTACCGTTAAGCGTTGCCTGACCTAAATTAACGATATTTCCAGGATCCCGGCCCCCACACAGACCCTCACACACCAAGTCACTCTCCCCAAATTTTGACAAACACAAAAATGATCTTCAACCTCAATAATCTTGCAGAAAGTTGATTTAATATTTGAATCATAGGACTTTTTTCTACATTTTAGAGAAATGTATCCTAAAATTTGATTTCACCAGTAACGTTACATCCCGTACAGGCATACTCCATAACGTCTTTCTAACATACCTCCACCTTGCTATCCTGATGTGTCCTTTTGAATGTTTAAGACTGATTCATGAATTTAACAGGACTCGTAACACCTTGAAACAATGGCTGTATTTTCCAGAGTACTTACAAGGTCCTTTAGCGTCAACCTCTTAAGATTGACTGTAACATAGAAACAAAAGCTTCAGCCTTGCATCTACAGCTGCTATACTTATTAGAGACGTCCATCCACATCTACAATGGTGTTTTAATCATATGGTGCAACTTTACATGTAGCTGGACATCAAACCAAAACCACTGGCACTTGGGTTGCCTAATGTCTCAAAACATGACCCTTATCTTAGTAGCCTTTACAAAAAAAAAATTTTTAAACAAAGCAAAAAGGCACACAAGCTGGTTTAAAATTGCTGAACTACATGTACACACGATTATGGTATTAAGAGAATTCTTCTTCAAGTTGAAGGCAACTGTAAGTTGTACCAAGTTGAGCAAAACAGAAACCTTATTGCAGTTACAGATTCACATGTTGGAACATCAGACCCATCAGAATCAATTCAAAAATACCACTTACTAGTTATGTTACAACAAAGGGAACAAAACTTTTTCTCTCTAGGTCTTGGGTATTGGTGAACTGTTTATCCTCTATCGTGCTCTCTTTCTGAACTATCTTCTACAACACAAGATCCATTGATCAATTTAATTAGCTACAATGTACTACTTTGCATAACTATGTACACCATATTTGGCATCACATCAAAAAAATAGAGGGCCAGAAATCACTGGAGCAAGTAAAATGTTCCTATATCAAGCAACACAAATCTCATAACATGTTAATAAACTATTTGATATGCAAAAGTCACGACAGAGTTGGCTGAAATGAAGGGGACCCTATTACAACTATCAGATTTAACAGACAAGGCCAGGATCCTCTAGCTGCCTTTCAAGTATGGGATGGTGAATGTTTCCGAATAATGCTGGGAGATTAATTTGTTAGCTAGCAGGGAATTCAAAATGTGTTCATTCATCAGTCAACATGCCACAGAATCACATGAATACAACAACATGCCTTACACTACCAAACACGGAAACTTTCACAGGTCTACTTTCTACTGCTTTTGTGCTGCTGTCCCTTCAGTGCTGCTGTCATTTCATTGAGAAAAGTTGTCCCTTCAGTAAAGCTGTCACTTCAAAGCAGCTCTCCCTTCCATACTGCTGTTCCTCCCTTGCCTTCAGTGGTGCTGCTGTCCTTGCTGTGCTGCTGTTTTCTCAGTGCAGCTGTCTCTTTAGTGCAGCTATCTCTCCAGTACAGCTGTCTCGAGTACAGCTGTCTCTTAAGTGCAACTGTCTCTTCAGTGCAGCTGCTATCCCCTCTGTGCTGCTGTCCTTTCAGTACTAAAGAGTAGTACAGCTGTGCCTTTTTTACAATTGTCCCTTAAGAACTGCACTTACAAGTGTCCCTCATTTGGCACCAGTGCTCCCTGAAAACTTACAAAGGGAAGACTGAACCTGTCTGCTGTTGGCCAATTTGACTTCGCTTGTCTGGACGTGCAAAACTATCTACAACCCTTCCTACTGAAACATCACTTCTCATGCAAGAACATTTCTATCGCCATAGGTACATAGCCTACAACTACAGTATATACAGGTAGCTCACTTGCACAACATCTAGATCTAAACCTTTGTTCAGTAGATGTAAACCTTTACAGCACTTGGTACACCTTCATTGCCTACGTTTTGTCATATACTTTCCTCTGTGTGTCAGATGTCCATTTTGCTGTTATATGTCACAGTCCATATTCTGTTGGTGTGTTTCAGAGCAGTCTATTTTCTATTTGTATGTATCAGAAGAGTTGAAGGTCCATTTTACACTAACTTGTCAGACTACATTTCAGACCTAACATCAGTCTCTAGCTTTACCCTCTCTTGCCACTGAGGTTTCTTGACTTTCCCATACTTTCTTGTCTGGCTTCTTGACCCTTTCTTTGAGATCAGTATATTTCCTGCCTGTGTAAGAACCAACAAAAGTTCTTTCCTATTTGCAGACATCTGCACTGAGGTATCAAGGGCGGTTACATGGAAACAAAAACAAACATCCTACACAAAAAAAGAAAAAATTTTACATCATAGGTTTTGGACACTTTTACTGCTAGTATCCTTACACTGTACAGATTCTGATTGTCCAAAGTTGGGGTGTGAATGAGTTCAATTGGTGATTTTGAGTACTACAGGTTTGTCAAAGTCTAGGTAACAGAGGGACTGTTTCGAAATGACCTTCATTTTACAAAGGACAGATAGAGGTCAACTTTGCAGAGTACATGTAGGTCAACTTTTCAGAGTAGGTCATTCCTAGAAAATCAGAGGAAACATTGCTGCATTAAAACTATCTAAACATCATTCTTAATCTCTTATACAAGTGATGAATGTTTACCAGGACTGAGTTTAGTCTAGTCCGTCATCGACTGGGGGTTCCCCTGCTGGGGGGTCTCCCATAGGGGGTCCCCCTGGAGGTCCGCCTGGACCCCCTCCTGGCGGCCCTCCAAACTTGGTAGACATCTTGGCTATGAGGTTGGCAATCTTAGGGTTGCTCTGGTACTTGGCCAGGTTCTCAGGGTGCTGGCTGACGTCTTGGAATGCCGCCAAGACTTCTGGGTCCTGGGAGAAACAGAAACAAAGCATCTTTCATGACTGGAGCTTTCTGTAAAGGTTTGTCTCACCAGAAATGGAACACCGTCAAGAAGACAAGTGTAAGTGTGACAGACAAGTGTAAAACATTTGCAAAGCAAATGCATAATAATTGTTTACCTTTGCATATGGTCTGCTCTGTTAATTCTTACTCAAACACATTCATATACACTGTACATGATCAGCCAGGAGTCTAAATCCCTCCTGCTAAAAAACTGCAACATGATGTAACCCAACACCAGTTACCGTGGTGATAGATGTCTAGTCCAGGTCATTGACCTTATTGGTTTGGAGAAGAGGAAACAGAGCAAAAACAATATGTTTTCCTTCGGTAAACATAAAAAGGGCCACAGAGCATTATACACATTGTATAAGTGTAAAATGAGGGTAACCTGCCTGGAAAGCAGCCATGATTTCTGGATCTGACATGATCTTGTTGATGTCTGGCATTCCTCCAGGCATTCCACCAGGCATTCCTCCGGGCATTCCGCCTGGCATTCCGCCTGGCATTCCGCCTGGCATTCCACCTGGCATTCCGCCTGGCATTCCACCAGCTGCGCCGCCAGGAAAACCACCCATGCCTGGAAACCCGCCTGGGAAACCTCCTGGGAATCCACCTCCAAACCCACCGGCCGATGGACCCTGCCGTTCCCTCTCTTCCTGTTCCTGTAGGAAAGTACAATTATCAGTAATGTTACTGATTAATCGCTGATTACATATCTTACACTAACCCTGGGAAAACAAACCAGAAAACGGCCTCTGCACGTCTCCTACAAATGCATCTGAGCCCTGCCTACAGCCCCTGCAATTATCTTGTGTCTTCTGACCGAAGAACAACTTGAAGGTCACCTTGTGTGCCCCCCTCCCCACCACACCATGAAAAAACAAGTTGTATGAAGGTCACCTTGTCTGCCCCCTCCCCACCACACGTCCCCCTCACTCACCCTCTTAGCCTTCTCCTGTGCTTCCTTTGCCGCCTGGACCCGTTTTTTGCGAGCTCTCAGCTCCTTCTCCTCTTGTTTCCGCTCCTTCTTGCGCTGATGCTCCTTAATCTTCAGGGCCTGTCATTGATGTTAAGTAAACACAACAAGATTGTAAGTCTTTCCTAATAACTGGAATAATACCTATGTTTTGGCAATGAACAGTTCTCTCACAGCATTAGCTAAAATCTGCACATACCTTTGGCTGCACTTCCTTGAGGAGCAGGTAGGTGTCGTCATCATAGTCAATCTTCTGAGCAGTGGCCAGATCTTTGGCAGACTCCTCCCAGTGACCTAACAGCCTGTAGGGTTCAGCACAAACTGTTAATCATTTCTGTACAAAACTCATGTTATGCATATGAGTCAATGTTTCATTTTACAACATCACACACAGTTCCAGAAATTATGGTGACAACACCCACTGAATGTATGACTGTCAACTTTTGAGTTCACTTCTCTTTGCAATTGTACTATCCTTTTATTCAAAGAGTCATGCAATTTACATGTAGTCATGCTATCCTATACTTGCCACCAGTTTGTACTGTGCAATGCAAGTGTGTCACATCATACTACTGTGCCCCCCCCCCTCCCCCATGTAAAGTCACCTACTTGGTTGCCCCCCTCCCCCATGTTAAAGTCACCTACTTGTGTGCCTTTCCTCTCCACTTGTAGCCTGCTGCGGAGTCAGGGTTCAGCTGGATGGCTCGGTTACAGTCGTGGATCGCAGCGTTGGGTTTGCTCATGCGTAGAAAGCAGCTGAAACACACAAATCAATTTCAGCATCAAGCGTATTTTTTGTAATAGGAAAACAGGTGTCTAAAACAAAACAACATTTATATGATGACAAAAGACTTCGGCAGGAGTGGATATCAAACACTGTAGAATATTTCTTACTTTTATTATTTTATTTACACCATACAAGATTGTGTCTAGATTTTGCCCTGAAATATCAGAACTATAAATAGTTGGCAGTGTCCTTTGACCCACCTTGCCCTCTTGGCAAACAGTGGAGCAGATTGGGGGTTGAGCCTAATGGCCTCTGTCCACAGCTCAACCGCCTTGTCATTCTCTCCTATACAAAACACAGTAATGTCAAACAAACTATAAGTATCACCACTATATCTTTCTTCAAAAACACAAACAGTTCTATGTCTCCTAGTCTTCATCACTTACAGTTACAGGAAACACAACAATTTTTATTTATAAATCTCAGTGACATGAAGCAGTGTTTTAAGTTTGTGGTTGGAACAATTCTGTACATGTACCATGATGGAAACACATACCGGTATTTGCAGCATCGTCATTTTGCAGTGTAGAGGTCACCACAAAAGAAAACCACTGCAAACTTTTCAAAAGCTATAGCAGCTTGTTTTTCGTTTTGTTTTTGTTCTGTTTTTTTTTTTTTCAATCTACTACATGTAGAAAACAGAGGAGCCCACCTTCATTCATGGCAGCCTGAGCTTCAGCCCTCTTGTCATTTGACTGGTCCATCATTTCTTCTGTTACCTGTCAGGATAGAGGAAACAACAGATCACAGGGTTTCTACAAAGCATGGGTTTCTATAACAAGCTCATAACAAGCTTATAACAGAATTATAAGCTTATAACAGGGTTATAACAGAGTTATAAGCTTATAACAGAGCTTATAACAGAGTTATAAAAGTACTACAGACCTAAATCTAATCTAAGGATATAGAAATGCAGCACTTTCCAAGGTTGAATGGACAAGGCAAACGTCCCTCTGTGGGACACCAGCTCACCTCAATACTGTCATCTCCCATGTCAGGAGGGGGGTCAGAATCACCCTCAATCACCCCCTCCATGTCAATGTCTGTAGAACAGGGCAACAACAGGACAGCATTAGTACATATTACATAGGAACCTCTCAACATAAGATTTTTTATACAACATACAAGAGTCCATTGACTAGAGCTGGGGACAGGGTACAAATTTGATGTGGTATATATCATATCACTGAAGCAACAGTGTGAGGGGAGTTCAAGTAAGCTATACATGGGACCACCCTCTTTTTAAAGCCATAGATAGAGGAAGGGGCCCTGGGTTTCCTGAAATCATCATTGCTGATGTTTATACCTGAACATAGTGAAACAACTTAATTACATAGTAAAGGTGAAGTCTGTCCTATAGTATATACCCACCGAGGTCACTCTCTTCACTCTCCTCTTCCTCAGGTTCAGGTTCAGGGGGAGGGGGCGGCTTGGAAGCTGATCCCTGGAACAACACAGATTAACACAATACCGTTACTGATGACAGCTTTGTACAGCTTTAACCAACTAGACTGCATCACAGCGTGATTCATGTAAACAGTACATTTGAACTAAAGGTGAAGGAGGTGGTATGATTTGAGCATTGTCAGTTGTATCAATCCCTATTTGAGTTGGCCTAGGGTTAGCATGGTTCTAACTAGGGCTGTGTACCTTTTCGTAACATCAGGTACAGGTACAGGTACAGGTACAGAGGTTTAGGTCCAGGTCCGGACCTGTACCTGTACCTGAAAATTCATGCGCGTCACATGTTCTACTGAAATTCTTCAATAATGACAGAAACATGAATAAAGTGTTGACAATTTGTCCTGTATCTTTCAAAGAACATCAAATATAACCATGGATGATATAACTAGGTTTCCTATCTCACTTCTCACTAGTTCTCAGAGACGGAAACTAGGGTAAATCTCTTTATTTTAACACTGGATGTTCATTTTCCTGGCAGGCCTCCTTGTGTGTAGTGATCAAGTATGACCGGACCGGTACACAGCCCTAGTTCTAACTGATAAAATCTAAGGTAAACCTGGAACAATATAATAGAATACATAGTACAGACCTTATATTTAGGGTAGTGAATCAGACTACGTCACAGTCATTATCTTAAACAGGTGTAAAGTTGACCAGTGATGATTCGAGTCTCACAACTGGTTCTACAGATAGCAAGGTAGAGTGTCAATAAACATAGTGTTTGCAGCTTTACCGTTGGAGGAGGGCTATCCTGAGTTGTCCCAGTCTGGGAGGCTGGTGCTGGTGGGATGGTAGCTCCCATGCTGTAAAAAAAAACACAAGATACATGTAATTGTAATAATGTTTTGATTTGGCTCAAATTGCACGAAAGTTATGGTGATTTTTTAGTAGGTCAGTGATGATAAATTTGTGACATGATTTTGCAGTGAAAAGTGCAAAAAATAAAACCCATGCAAACATTTAATATTTACAGTAGCTTTAAAATGTGTTACAATGTGACACTTTCAGTTAATCTGTATGGCAATATCTGTGTTGCGAGATGATAGATACATGTACAATGTAATAATAAACACTGCTGCAGTACTGTTGATCCCCACCAGGTGTCACTGCTGAAGCATTTGCAGGTTGTTTACACTTACAACTGATCATGCCTGCCACACCCCCCTGGACTTATCATCATGAGGCAGAATAAATTAAAGGTGCCCTAAGCGATATCAGGGCATTAAAATAGGAAATATTTAGAACAAGACAATCTGTATGGTATTGACACATACCACCAAGTATCAGCACATTTGCATCATTATTTCATACGTTTGGCGTTTGAAACAGCACAGAAACTAGCCCAGAGACAAGTTGCTTGATTTATCGGGGCCTCCATTTAATCGGCCCAAAAATCCACCAAGTAACCGTTTCCCGTCGACAATTTTCGGGAACTTCCGCGAAAAATGGAACGCGCTGCCTTGGTTCCATGGATCGAACGCAAGAGTTCGAAACCGATTGACTTCAAATTTGACGATTTTTGAATGGTCAGAACCTTGTATTCAATTCCTCTTTTTGTATATACTTGAATGTTATCATAACACTTATTATATCGCATGTGGTAGCCACATTCATACAGTTTCTCATACCAAGAAACGAATTTTATGACATTACGCGAAATGTATCAATATGTAGCGGAAACTCAGGATGACCTGCAGTTCGACTGATTCAGCGCGTTCGTGGTTAACCACGTGACTCGTCCTCGGCTCTGGTCGGAAGAAGTCGGAAGTGTTCGCGAGCGCTCGGAAATTTCAAAAATGGCCGACACCACTGCCGGTGGCGGGAGGCACGTAGTTTTTCACGGCGTTCGTACGGCAAAGCGGCATCGAATTTTTGCTCCATGACTATCGGTATGGGATAGGATAGGGTTGATTCAACATACTGCGTGAAAATGTGACAAAAAGACAGACTTTTGAAATTGAATGCTCCCAGCCTACTATCGGCCAGATATCGCTTAGGGCACCTTTAATATCGTGCACCAGAAAATTGACAAAATACTGTAGATACACAATCTAGAGTTTTCTAGACTATACAAACGTGATTTATTTTCTCCATTTATTATCAATCCACCTTTGTGTGTAACTAATTTTACACATAATTTTATGTATTATCTACATTGTTTTCATTGTCCCAAAATTGACTAGAATATTAGACTCCGGTCTCGTGTTCTATATATATCCCCAACCGATGTAACAATTGCAGTGATTGATTGCGAGTGTAATTTGATTAACAGTTACACAAAGCCAAGCTGAATCGCTGTTTTATTTCTGTTCACAGCACAATTTTTCTCTACTTGGAGATTTGGGCCGTGTATTTGCACACTCCCCCTCCAAAGTCATGGTCACGACCAACAACGTATTTTTTTATCTTCGTAAAATTATAGCCCTTTTCTCGTCCTGATTGAATCCTGACTACCCCATTAAATTTCTACAGTTTCTTCCACCTCTTCAATGGTGATGTTTCTTTGTCCTTTTCTCCTCAAGTTTCGTTGTTATTTTTAGGCCAGACCATCAATACATAATCTTGTCCTCAGGTGTGACCTGGAGGCTCTCACCTTTCCATCCAGTTTTTAAAGAACTGCAGCTGCGGATCGTGTAACACCCCCGGGTTGGCCCTGCATAGCTGCACGAAGGCCTGGAGCTGGGCTATCTTCTCTGCGTCCATGCTGCTTGGCAGGAACCGCGAGACTAAGCTATATTTAAGATGTAAAGACTATAACTGTTTGTTGTAACGGCCCGTCATGAGCTGCCCACGCTACTTCCGCACAGGGTCTCACCACAGAGAAACTTCTGGAGCCAGGCGGTCTCACACCGACGTTTGTAGCTCAAACATGTCAGAGGTCAAGTTGGATGTCGGTAATAATAAGCTGATTTTAGGGAATATATTAAGATGAAATATCTTAGATTTCTCTGTTAGATTTGTTTTTCTATTACATAACATCTCCAGGTATATCGATCAGCCAGAACAGCAAAGCAAAGAGTTAAAAAAGCCCACAGAGAGTACACCGCCAATTTCCTTGAAGAAAACATTAAAGACAACCCTAAAGCATTCTGGAGTTATATAAAAGCACTAAAACACGACAATACCAATATTGCAGCCATGAGGCATCATGGTGTGCTTACTTCAGACCCAAAGGAGAAGGTAGATGCCCTGGGTGATCAGTTTAGTTCTGTCTTCACAGAGGAGGACCTAACCAACATCCCATCCCTAGGGAGACCTGTGGCTCCGCACGCACCACCTCTCTACATATCGGTGAATGGTGTCGCTAAACAGCTTTCTAAGCTTAATCCAAACAAGGCCTCGGGCCCAGATGGACTCTCACCAAGATTATTAAAAATCACAGCAACCCAAATTGCACCTGTGTTACAGGTTATTTTTACACAGTCACTAGACACCGGCGACGTCCCAGCAGATTGGAGAGCCGCTAATATTAGCCCCATCTTTAAGAAGGGAGATAAAACCTCACCTGTTAACTACAGGCCGGTGTCACTCACCTCAGTTTGTAGCAAAGTTTTAGAACATATTATACATAGCCATACCATGAGCCACCTTGACAAATATAATATATTATCTTCGACACAGCACGGTTTTCGTAAAGGACTATCATGTGAGAGTCAACTACTTTTGACAACCCATGACTTGGCTAGTACTCTAGACCTAAATAAGCAGGTCGACGCCATTGTGTTGGATTTCAGTAAAGCTTTTGATAAGGTCCCCCACAGCCGCTTACTGAATAAGCTCCAGCACTATGGCATTTCTGGCAAATTACTAACATGGCTGCAAGCTTTTCTCACTCAAAGAACCCAATCAGTTGTCCTTGATGGTGTGGCCTCTAAGCCCGCCAAGGTAGTGTCTGGAGTACCGCAAGGCACTGTTTTGGGTCCGCTTTTGTTTCTCCTTTATATCAATGATCTTCCGAGTGTTGTGACCTCTAGTGTGCGTTTGTTTGCCGATGACTGCCTTTTGTACCGGGTTATTGAAAAACCCTCAGATGCTCTTGATCTACAAAAAGATCTCGATGCACTGACCCGGTGGCAGGACACATGGCAAATGTCCTTCAACCCCTCAAAGTGCCACACACTTCATATTACTCGTAAGCGTAACCCGATTATTACACAATACCGATTATGTTCAGAAAATCTTACTAGTGTTAAAACCCATCCATATCTTGGAGTCCAACTATCACAGGATATGAAATGGGACACACATATAAATTATGTCACTGGTAGAGCTAATAGGATACTGGCAGTCATCCGCCGTAACCTTTCGCACTGTCCTCTTCGTGTCAAATCTACATGCTACAGAACACTTGTACGCCCACACCTGGAGTACTGTGCGACTGTATGGGATCCCCACACCATCGGTGGTTCCCAGGCGTTGGAGCGAGTCCAACGAAGGGCGGCGCGAATGGCTGTTAGTGATTATGACTATACCAGCAGTGTTTCTGACATGCTAAAGCGCCTCCAGTGGCCGTTACTTGTTGACAGAAGGAGAACCGCTCGCTTGATATCTTTATATAAAATTGCTCATGGACATATTAATATTCAAATGGAACAATACCTCAAACCTGCCCATAGGCGTACCAGAGGAAGTCATGAATATAAGTATCAAGCAATACCTGCCAAAACAGACTGTTTTAGATTTTCTTTTTTTCCAAGAACGATAAATGAGTGGAACAAATTACCGGGCCAGCTTGTAAAAGCCCAGACAGTGGAGGCCTTCAAGGCCGGGCTTCTGGCCGCGCAGCCATAGTCCGTCGCACCCCCCCCCTCTCAGTGATACCCCAGTAGGGGTGGTTAGAGAGTAAGCAAGAAGAAGAAGAAGAAGAACAAAAATCACGATCTTCTCTCTCAACATCTGCTTGAGCTATCCTTTGACCTCTGTCACGCTGGTCGAATCGCCTGTGGTGAAATGTCCCGCTAGCATCACTTCAGACGTGAGGAGCAGCTAGCGGCTAGCGGGGACTCCACGGCCCAAGAAAACTTTTTGCCGTCTCCCATGAGCCGACTGACCAATCTTTTCTGTGTGGTCGTTTCTATGCCATTCGGGTTGTTGCTGGGGTGAATGGGGTGTATTCGTCTAGTCTCAGCCGATCTGAGGCGTTTTTCACCCGGCGCCCCCCACAGCGGCAGAAGTAACGGGACGGCTCGCGCTCAGAGACCCCGCGGGCCCGCACCTCACCTCCCACCGAGCCGACGCTAGTTACCCTCCGCCTGGTGGCGGTTTACTCCCCACTCTGCTGCTGCTTTTACCAACAACCGATGCAGCATGCCGTGGGGCCGGCGGAGTTCTCGACTCTTGCTCGGACTGGGTGGCCTGGCCGTGCTGGGTATGCTGATGACGTGGATCGCGCTGGGGAGAAATCCACAGGCCCGGCGGCGCCTGGTCCCGGCTTGGGATCGGGGCACCAGCGCACCCAGGCCCGAGGACAGGGTCGAGAGACCCGCACAGACTCAGGACTTTCAGGTAGCGTGAATTTGTGCTGTATATGACACTGTTTTGCCCCCCTCCCTCTAATGTTATGCAGCGGTATGTGATGACATATCTCCTCTTCCACGATCCACAACAAACTTCCGTAGGACTAGTCCATGTTCATTGGGGGTGGACTGAAAGAAATTATGGAGAAAGTAAAATATCTGAAAAAAAATTATGACAGAGGAAAAAGAACCGTAAAATTGAACTTTATTTTAGGCATATCTCATACATAAAAGAGTCATTATTATTACACATTTAAGTTTCCCAGTGACAGTGATGCAAATGTTTGTTTACCACATTTTCCCAACACAGGCTAAGTGACTTACCCTACTGGGGTCCTAAGTAATCAGTGCTGAGCTCTCAGTCTGAATGACACACAATGAATCACATACCCATCCACTTCGGTCAAAACTTATAGGAAAACAAAAATTGAACAGGCATGCAGTTACTTTCTTATTTGACGAAATACTTTGATTAAGAGTTCTCAGTCGGGATCAGTCTATATTGCTAGTAATCTTTTTTCCAGATTTGCAAAGTGCACATAACTGAAAGCATTAAGCAGTGAACAGTGAACTTTTGACTTTAAGTGAACTTGAGACTTTGTAACATTTTATGATAATGTAAATCCATTTTGTTTACTCCGCTCAGTCAAACCAAAGGTTACCAGGTATTGATTGATGGGTTTTGACTTTTGTTATTTCTAGAATTCTGAACCATCTGTTGCTCCCCACAGGTACAGCGTGACATACAGAACTACACAATCCAGTCAGTATGCAGGAGAGAAGGCATGCCCAGATCACCATACGACCTGGAACCTTGGGAGCAGAAAACCCTCTTCAGGCATATCATCGTGAACGACAAATACAAGTTCCTGTACTGCTACATACCAAAGGTGGCCTGTTCAAACTGGAAGAAGGTTATCAAAGTTTTGGACGGTAAAATTGAGCATGTAGAGAAGAGGGTTAAGATGGATCATCGTAAAGACCTGGTGTTTTTATCAGACTTGCCACCAGATGAAGTTCAAAGTCGCCTGAAGAGTTACTACAAGTTTATGTTCGTACGCGACCCGACGCAACGCCTGCTGTCGGCTTATCGGGACAAATTTGCCAACAAGGCTAACGCGGATTTCCCTCATAAATACGGGAAAGACATTATCAGGAAGTATCGTGAAGATCCACCGGAGAACACCACAGGAACAGACGTGACGTTCTCAGAGTTTGTTCACTATCTGTCAGACACTGATCCGCGGTACATGAACGAACACTGGCAGCCGTTCACCACGCTCTGCCAGCCCTGCTCCATCCAGTACGACTACATCGGGACGCAGGAGAACCTGGAGGCAGACGCCAATCACGTCTTACGGGCCGTCGATGCTCCACCCGACATCAGGTTCCCCCAGAGACAGCCATGGTACAAGCCCACCGACAAGAACATTCTGCGACAGTACCTGTCTGAAGTACCACCACAGTTCCTGAAGGATCTTATACCAAAGTACAGCATGGATTTTATCATGTTCGCCTACCCCATCCCTGATACAAATTAACCATGGTATGATACCCCATCCCTGAGCTTCTCAATAATTAACTATGGTGTGATACTACATCCCTGAGCTTCACAAAAATTAACCATAGTATGATACCCCATCCCTGAGCTTCTCAATAATTAACCATGGTGTGATACCACATCCCTGAGCTTCTCAAAAATTAACCATGGTATGATACCCCATCCCTGAGCTTCTCAATAATTAACCATGGTGTGATACTACATCCCTGAGCTTCTCAAAAATTAACCATGGTATGATACCCCATCCCTGAGCTTCACAAAAATTAACCATGGTATGATACCCTATCCCTGAGCTTTACAAAAATTAACCATGGTATGATACCCCATCCCTGAGCTTCACAAAAATTAACCATGGTATGATACCCCATTGCTGAGCTTCACAAAAATTAACCATGGTATGATACCCCATCCCTGAGCTTCTCAAAAATTAGCCATGGTGTGATACCACATCCCTGAGCTTCACAAAAATTAACCATGGTATGATACCCCATCCCTGAGCTTCACAAAAATTAACCATGGTGTGATACCCCATCCCTGAGCTTCTCAAAAATTAGCCATGGTGTGATACCACATCCTTGAGCTTCTCAAAAATTAACCATGGTATGATACCCCATCCTTGAGCGTCACAAAAATTAACCATGGTATGATACCCCATCCCTGGTATGAGATCTATTATTTCAACAGTAGGATTTAACTTTCAACTGTACTTAACTTGAGAAGTAGGTTGTTACAGACTCTTTCCTAAAAGAATTATGGAACCAAACAGCAATATGGACAATCAATCTATTTGGTTGAACCCCTTCATAGCATATGGATACAAAATGTGGATTTATATTGTATTACATGTACGTGCTAATAATCTATATAGTGATATACATGATATGATATGTCATGAGAAACAGAATCAAAGTCTTCCCACCAACCTGGTATCCAGGTCTACAAATTTCTTTGCCAGGTCAGGAGTTGGCAATACTCGACATGAGTGTATGATGTGACAGGTACTAGTGACTTTCTAGTACTCCACCGATTCCCTTCAAGTGCCTTTCACAACTCTGTATGTTAAAATAGATGTGCATATTCTTATATTGAAGAAATTCTATTTTGTCATCTTGTAAAATGAGTGCCAAAAACAAGTCCATGTCCACAGAGATTATACGCCAGTTCACAGTTTAAATTTTGCATGTGTGAGGTCAAAAAAAGGGTAAAGGCCCCTAACTTGTTCTTGTGTCTAGACCATGCTTGATACTATGTTTAGACGTGTTTTGTTTATGTCTTATAGGGGCTTTCAACTTTGACATACCCACCGTGCATCAGACTGCACAGCTGAAACTATGAATTATCTCATTGTGACGCCCATGTGCCATGTCTTCTCACCTCTGTCTGTATACTTCTCACAGAGTTAAACATTTCTAAGTAAGAATGCTCATCACTGAGTCTACGGTGCCAATGGTTAGTTTTTGTCGCAAAGATTTAATGTTAAAAATATTTGCAATATTACAGTATTTAGTAGCTTGCTGACCAAACCAATTTTACCTTTACCTCCTATGTCCTCTCTGCAAATAGTTGCGGAGAGGTTGTAGAGACTCCTCAGTGTCAGCTAAAATGGATTTGGTCACCAGCGTAGCTATTTACAATACTACTATAGTTAACATTGATAGTAACTTTGTATACTTTGCTGTTTCTTTACTGTAGCTTTATGAAGCTACAACATTATGAAATTGTGCTTTTCCAATTATGTTATTATTATATAATCTGGTAAATGTTGTTATTCAGAAAGATACTAGAGGTAGAAGAATGTAGGTAACCTACAGAGCTGTATTTTTTGTTGCATAGATTTAAGTTATGATTTTGAGCGTGTATAGATGGTGACTCCAATGGAGTTAGGAGCTGTGTTTTCTTGCTGTTTGAGGAAAAGGCTGAGACATACACCTTCTCATTCTGTTCTTAAACCTGTCAAATTAAGCATTTATAATGTAGGTAATGTTCAGTATGGGCGATAGGCCACCAAGTTTTTTTTTTTAATTGCTGATACAGTGGATATTAATTTGTTACAATGTATAACAGTAACAAGCATTGCTTGCTGATGTGAATCAAGCATGTACATTTTATAAACTCTGCCAGATGTCTTGCCATTATTTGGGCAGGTGCAGCTAAAGATATACCAGTTTTAATCATGCATACAGGACAGAAACACATTTTACATGTAACTGTTTTTATAATGTTATATTATATGTCAATGTAATGTTGCCCCACCCATAGCTACCTAGGAAGTTGTAGCGTTAAAGATTTGCTATGTACAAATATGTATTTGAATTATTGATTTCCTGCTATTTATTTGCATTTTTGTTCTTTGCTACTATGCTTGCCTGTTTGTTAGCTAGCTTGCGGAGAAAGGCACAGTATTAGATGCTGCAGATTTTAACTTCTTACCTGAGCTAGAACTCGTAATAAGGTTATGGAACAACCAGTGTGTAATGAACATTTGGCCACCATATCGCAAATAAAACAAGACTATTTTATGTAAATGATCTCCTCAGATACTTGACTTTGGAGTCTTTGTCCTCGATTTTAAACTTGTAATGGTTTCCATGTTGTCACAACAAAGGCACCGCACATCTGCTTTAGAGATGGCTGCAGTTTTCCTTGCATGCCCTAGGTGGCCCTGCTGTATGATGAACTACATTTTAACCACATGTAAATGTGTTGTACGTGCGGTACCACTCGTAAACTGCGGTATTCGAGGCTTTCACGTCACCATGTGGACATAGCAAGGGAAAAAGCTGGTGGCAAGGTACGTATCGAAATACCACAGACTGTGCGGTACTATAATCGTAGATATTGACGGGAAAATACTTGCCGTTCGGCGTAGCATGACATGTGTGGGGAGGGGGGCGTCATCGTGAACATAGTTTGACCTCTGGTCAGTGAGGTAAACAACAACGTTAACAGTGTAGAACTGTGCCGTGGAGATTCCTGTCATCACCAACAAATATAACGTTACATTTAATGAGAAAGTGATATAATCCATCGTGAAGAGCCATGATTGGCTCCAAATTATCCGGCTGGAGAACTCAGACAGAAGATGACCTAAATCTGAGATATATTTGAACACGTGTGGTTATGTAACATAAGCATCCTGGATCCATTTAACGTTAAGTTTCTCCCAGTGTTTCAGACTGGGTTTCCTCGGCAGTGTAGGCTTCTGTCCCCGCCTGACCAACATAGCACACCCTGGTGATTTTGTCTTGTCAGAATTCAATGAATTCAATGTGTCTGTCATAATAACTCATTACTAGTATATTGCAGTTATTATATGTTCTTCCAGAGGGCACTTGAAATTGTCTTGAATATACTACTAGTACTGTCTGACAGGGTGAAGTCTACCGTCTAATAACCTTCTGTAACTGTATATTCGGTAGAACTGCCCTTTGGTAGCCTGGGTGCCATCCCCAGTAGTACTAGTATATTCGCCAGCTCTCAACTGGGTCTGGACTTGAACACATATAAAACGATTGGTGATGACGTCACGTAATGAGCTAGCCCGAGCAGCAGGGCTTCATTTGATTGGCTGAGCCTCAGAGGCGACGGCCAATGGCGCACCTGCATTATTCAAGTGATGTTTGTTGTTTTGTAAACACAGATCTTCGCGCGAGTGTTCCTTTTCTCGGTGCGTTCTTTTTTTACCGGTAGGACGCCCAAAACATCACGAACGAAATTATTCAATGCATCTTTTTGCTCATTTTTGAGCGACGATATTCCGTCTAAATCGTCCAAAACGGACGTGATTGCGAGGTCAACATCAACCTCCGTGAGCTGAGCGGCTTGTGCGTCAGCCATGTTGATGATTTATTGCGGAAAGACGCTGATGATTTATTGCGGAATTGCGCTTTAGCGTTCGGTTCGCCGTCGGACATGTTGATGATAAGGCGTTCGGACGTTCGAACGGACGATAACGTCGCCGTTCGGACGTCCGAACGGCCCTTACCTAATATGTACATACCCCAAAAAGGGCTTAGACGAGTAGGACCAATCAGCGCGCTCGTTCAAAATCTGAACGAATATTCAGACTCCAGACGCTACATATGTGTTCAAGTCCAGACCCAGTTATAGAGCTGGCGAATATACTACTGGGGATGGCACCCAGGCTAGCCCTTTGGTGGAACACACCAGCTTCACTGTGAGGCATGTGACACGGTGTCTTACACCGAACGACCTACTACACCAAGGTGTTTTGATTTTAATAATTTTATCAAATATTCCCAAAGACCTCTATAATTTTTCTACTAGTATTCCTATCACTAGATTCACTACTGTGTTTTTTGTTTGTTTTTGTTTTCATTTTAAACAGGGATCAGTTCAGGACCTTCACTCAGGGAGCACATGAGGATAGGTCAACTTGAAGTCAACAACGGTGCAACGTTCTCAAGGACAGTGACTCAGTCTTACTTGAGGAGGATCATGTCTTTAAGTGTTACTCAGGAGTGACTGGCTGACAGTGTCACTCAGGAAAGACGATTGCTCAGGGACCAGGAATATTGCAGCTGCAGCAGCTAAGATGTTCTCTTCGTTGACCGCCAAGGTGCTAAGGATTGTGGGTAAGAATGGCCTCCCAGATGGGTCAAACATTTTGGCCACCTTAGGCCACGTTAATGTCATCAGCCGTATCTCAAAAAACTTATCAACAAGTTCTCCTGTGTGTGTAAGGACACTGCGATATCTGGGTCAGCCGACCCCACAGACCCACCCCCATTTGGTACGACCCGGGGAGGTCACCTCGGGAATCCGTCAGGAGGAATTCCACCGGCGCAGAGGTCAGCTCATGTCCGCCATCACGGAGCATCACGGGAATAAGACAAGACACGTTGTCATCGTAGCGTCCAGCCCTGTGAAGTACATGGCCATGGACGTACCCTACCCCTTCCGCCAGGACCCAAACTTCCTCTACCTCACTGGTTTTAAGGAACCCAACAGTGTTCTCGTGCTCGAATCTTGCCCCGGAACTTCTCCGTCCAATCACAGAGCAACGCTGCTGGTTCCCGAGCGGAACCCTGAACGTGAGCTGTGGGACGGCCCGCGCTCCGGGACGGACGGAGCGTTACAGCTGACCGGAGTGGACCAGACGTTGAAAATCGATGAGCTCGGCAAATTCCTGGTCCAGTTCAGGACTCAGGATTGGACGGTGTGGTTCGACCAGTTCAAACCGGTTCACAGACATCTGTGTGACCAAATCAAGATGTCGCTTCTTCAGCCCAGAACGCTGCAGAGCAACACTCCCACCCAGCAGGTCAGCAGGTTTGTACAGCAGCTCCGATTGGTCAAATCTTACAGCGAGGTGGCGCTGATGCAGAGAGCTGCGGACATCACGGCGCAGGCCTTCGCCGACGCGATGCGCTTCTCGTTCCCCGGCGTGAGCGAGGCACAGCTGCAGGGAAAGCTGGACTACGAGTGTCGGATGGACGGGGCGGACATGTTGGCGTACCCACCAGTGGTCGCTGGGGCCAACCGGGCAAACACACTGCACTACATCAGTAACAATCAGGTGGGTATGGATAAAAGAAGTTACAGAGATGTGTGATTCCTCATAGGTGCTCCCCTTGTACAAGCAGCCCACTTCTCTAAAGTGAAATGCTCACAATCGGGGGTTCTCCAGATCACAGATACAAATGTATGTTGACTGTGTCTTCATAGATATCATGGCAGGGAGAGCACCAAAGATGGCTCACACAGCTCTGCTAACATCTGTAAACTAGCTTGTTGTTTATTTTTAATTACAAGTGCCTTGAAACTGGTTTCTAAAATGGAATCAACTGCTTTGATCAACTAACACAAGCATATTTTTGTTGGATATAATGATATAATATGCAACCATGCCTGAAAATTGGAATTTGTCCCTTAAACTTGTTACTAGTTTGTTTCCAGGTGAGGCCAAAAATTTTATGTGTCACAAACCCAAGGTGTGTTACAAACAACTCCAGGTGATAAACAGTGGAGAGCTGGTATTGGTGGATGCAGGCTGTGAGTACCATGGTTACGTGTGTGACATCACCAGGACCTGGCCAATCAGTGGCAAGTTCACCGAGCCCCAGAAACAGGTGTGTTATTTTTGTTTTAGACATAATGCCATTTGTAGTATGCACAACGTGAATGTGCACGTTTCCATGACAGAACTGAGTTGTAGCCTGTAATAGTTGTTTAATCCCAGTGACAAGCATTTTGACCTTGCAAGTAAAAAGCAAGATGTGTTGACCTTGTATGTAGCACGTCGGCAGAACGTACTGCGCCTGCGCAGAACCCTCTATTTTCACGTTTTTCATTGTTTTTTGGTCAACATTGCATTAGAATTTTGTCTGTTGCAGAGGAAATCTTTTCCAACATAACATTTGGGAACTACAGACGAGATGTTTTCCTTATATGCGCAAATACGACCTTATATGAGATGTTCTGACGAAGTGCTATGTACAATACATTTTGCTCAGGTGCAGTGCGTTCTGCCGACGTGCTTTGTATGCTTTGTATCTTGAACCTGACCTTGTGTGTTCAGCTGTACGAGGCTGTCCTGAGTGTCCAGAAGACGTGCCTGAACCTTTGTCGTCCTGAGATCTCTCTGGACCACATCTACACGGTCATGCTGAACCTGATTGGGCAGAAACTGAAAGATTTGGGGATAGTCCGGGACAAGGATGGCTACGAACTCACTCAGGTAAGTTAGACAAAGCCCTTTTTGTTCCATATTTGCATGAATGACTCAATGAGGCATCCAGTGCAGTTTTTAGGGCTTGGAAACAATATTTTTTAAAGTCAATATTCTAGTCACTTATCTACATACTAAGTTGAAATAACACTGTCCCGAATTGTATATCGACATTGATGAAGCAAAAATGCCCAAAATTCTGACAGAAAAAGGTTACTGAAAGGAGCTGGATTAATTTTTAGGGTACAACCCAGAAGTAAAGGACTAATCTTGGAGCTTTTTTCTGCATTTTTAAATGCCCAAAGTATGAAATACTGATTCAAATGTGCTAATGTGGGGCAGTATGTGTTAATATCAAACAGATTGCCTTATTCAGAGTATTTCCAGTTTTGCCGCCCTGAAATTACATTGGATGCCTTTAAACTCCAACATAAGTGTAGTTGCAGGCCTACTCCACTTTGAAACAACCTGAGTTTACTTGTTGTTGTTGTTAGTTAAAGAGTTTGACTTGTTCCAACACAATAAGGAGAACTCACCATAAATTTTCGGCTGATCCCGTCAACCTTCGTCAGATTTGTGATGCAATCGCTGACTTTCCGGAAGTCGGAAACGTGATGACGTCAGGAGTGCATCAAAAGTGGCGGGAAGACGGTATCTCCCACCATCACGGTTCAGAGAGGGTTGGTGGGCCCTGATGTAAACTGCCTCCTTCACGCCTCTCACAAAGTAATCCTGCTCCGTATCTAGAATGCGCACCTTGTCCAATGTAACTGTATGTCCGGGGGACTCGATGTGTATGTGTTGCGACACTTCCGATGTGTTTGAACTGGGGCGCCTGTGTTCCAGAAATCTAGTCTTGAGAGACCTTTCTGTAACTATGTATTCTACCAACACAGATGAGCTTTCATTCGAGTGTTGTTGTTGTTGTTTGTTTACAGACAGCCCGTAAGTACTGCCCCCACCACATCAGCCACTACCTCGGCATGGATGTACACGACACACCAGACATGTCCAGATCCTCCAAGCTGCAGCCTGGCATGGTGGTCACTGTTGAACCAGGTGGGTTTCATAAAGCCAGCTGGGTTTTTTTAGACCCCGCTAATACCAGACTTTTAAAAACCAGTTGAAACTGCTAAATAATTAGCAGGGGGAACTGTTTCTTCTCCGCTAATTATTAAGCATTTTCAACATGTTTTTAGAAGTCTGGTATGAATGGGGTCATAGAGGTGGGTGGGTTCCACAGAGCCAATAGGGTTTCATAAACCCAGGTGGGTTCTATAGAAAAAGTTGGGTTCTATGGGGTTGGTTAAGTTTTGTAGAGCCAAGTGGGGGCCCTAGGTGGGGTTTTATAGATCTGGTTGGGTTTCAAAAACCTGGATTGATTTCATAGAGCCCTAACCCTTTCTAGGTTGGCTCTATAGAATATGCAGGTTCAAAACACCCATTCTGTTTCATACAGGCAGATGAGTTGTCATATCAAACTGGGTTGACTGAGTGGAATCAGGTTTCCACACAATAAAAAGTTTTTAGCTGTATTAGGCCACACCAATTTAATTTCTTAGTTAACAGATTTTTCTAGAAAAATAATGGAACAGGCGGGCGAAAAAAAATAAATAAATAAAAACAGGCCTAGGCATCCTATTATGGCCCAAAATAGTATGATAGTCAACACACCAGGCTGTTTCGAAATTTAAACAAATGATACCATTGCATTGAAAGATGGACTAAATGTAACAACTAGGATGAAAGGGACTGTTTTCAACTGTTCAGGGCAAAATATGAGCATTTTGCAGTTGATTCTGAATTTTTATTTTTATTTGCAAATCAGAAAAAAATGAAGCGGGCAAATCCGTTAACCAAGAAATTAAATTGGTGTGGCCTTAGTTTCAACCTGTAAGTCCCCTGATTTAGTTTCTGACGTTTCTTATTGACAGGAATCTACATCAGGGAAGACGATCATGCGGCGCCGGCAGAGTTCCGTGGGATCGGGATCCGGGTGGAGGATGACGTGTTGATCACAGAAGGGGATCCCCGGATCCTGACTCACAACTGCCCCAAGGAAGTGCACGAGATCGAACAGCTGATGGCATAACGGGGCTGGAAATACTGGGTGTATGTGCACCTTAGTGCACCCAAATTTGGAGCTGTGCACCCAATTGTTTTCTGTGGGTGCACCAGCTGCAGTACACCCAAATATTTTCGTAGGTTTATGTATGTAAAGATGTCAAATATATAGTAGTATACTGCATATTCTTACATCTAAGTGTCAGGCCTTATAATTATAGTACCTTTCTTTAGAAATGAAACATAGTTAGTTTTTGCTGACATTCTATTTATTTTATCTTATATGGTGTACCCTGCAAAATTTTGTGCACCAAATTTTTCAGGTTGGGTGCACCAGTGCACCTATTCCCAAAACTGAATTTCTAGCCCTGCATAAACTTGACCTGCCTGTCAAAGCAGAGATGAATATATGTTTGTAGTCTAGTCTTTATCCCAGCACAAAGGGAAATACACTCTTCAAATTTGCCAATAAAAGCTTATGTCTTTTTCATTGCTGACTTCAGGGGTGCCATATTATACAGTGCAATTTTATGGAATACAGTGCAATCGTATTAGTATACAGTGCAATTTTACTAATGACGTTGTTATGACGTAACCTGGGCCCGGCTTTTAAGGGACGCCGCTGACGGAGCGTACTCACATCTTTCTGTGTTTTTGGAGTGAATTTGGACCGTTCTCGTAGATATACCTTTAGTCAAATCACTTCATAGTACACACAGGGCATGTTACTGCACAGGAATCATTTCGAATTCGCTCGAAAAAGACAGAAATATCTGAGTCAGCGGTGTCCGCCATCTTAGAAATGAAAAAAGCAGGGAAAGCCGGGTCCAAGTCACGTGATTCAACGTCATTAGTAAAATTGCTCTGTATTCCGTAAATTTGCACTGTATACTAGTAAAATTGCACTGTATACTAGTAAAATTGCACTGTATTCTAATACGATTGCACTGTATTCCGTAAAATTGCACTGTATACTCTGGCACCCCTGGACTTGTTACTTAATGGAAAGGTGAAATCAAGAGATTATTATAATGATATAATTAAGTCGTTGGTGAAAATGACCGATAATCTCCTCAATTTGTAATAAATCAATTTATTACCTCTCGACGTGTTCTGTTGCTTCACTAAGGCCACACCAATTTAATTTCTTGGTTGACGGATTCGCCGCTTCATTTTTTTCTGATTTGCAAATAAAAATAAAAATTCAGAATCAACTGCAAAATGCTCATATTTTGCCCTGAACAGTTGAAAACAGTCCTTTTCATCCTAGTTGTTACAGTTATTCCATCTTTCAATGCAATGGTATCATTAAAAGTTCAAAATTTATTGTTTAAATTTTCAACCAGCCTGGCGTGTTGACATGGCTCCTATCATACCATTTTGGGCCATAATAGGATGCCTAGGCCTGTTTTTATTTTATTTTTTTCGCCCGCCCACTCCATTATTTTTCTTGAAAAATCCATTAACCAAGAAATTAAATTGGTGTGGCCTTAGCAAACCGTGTTTGGCAGTGTTTGTCCTGGATTGGGTTAATCCCTGGTGGTAAAAGCTTAGCATACACAGACACGAACTCACCCACCCACACTCACTCACTCACCATGCGGTTTGACGTCAGTTGTTCTCCGTCACCCGAGGATTAGACGTGCTTGCACACTGATGGCAGCCCGCCATTTGCGTCCATCCTGGTTCACACTGTGTAAGTTGAGGTGGTGAAAGCATGATAATTGCATGTGACAGCAAAATGCCAATGCAATATTAAATGTTTTGATGTACATGTGCCACAAAACAGAATGAAACAGATCGTTTACACTTAGTGTAAACAGATCGTTTAGGCTTAGTGATTGTTAGGCATTAGTTCTGTCGTCTATTAAGTCGTAATGAGATAAACATCCATAGCGCGAAACCACTCCACCAGGCACAAGAAGATATGTCTGGTAAATAATCCACGGAAAATATTAATGGTCTTACCTTAACTGGCGGAGAGCAATTCAAATATGCAGGGATGCACGGTCACTGAAAACTTCATAGCAGAGCTTCCCTGAGCACCAGTGAGCAGATATGTCTTCAGATATGGGGAAGAGAATTTTGTTTTTAGCTTCTAGGGTCGGTTGTGAGATAGATAGATATAGATAGATACAGATAGAGAATGTTGAGATCTTCTCGTTCCATATATCTGGTCGTAGATTGACACTAAGAGCGGAATTCACCCTTGGGCCAGATAGCTGAAGAGGAGTGAGTGATTCAGTCGAAAATCGCGGTTAGTCCAATTTTTTAGACTTACAGAACAGTTTAATTGTTCCACAGGGCGTTCACCATAGCTCTTGGAAATTAGTCGAGGCAACTCTTAAAAAGTACATTTATTTCTTAGTTCCAAGACACCATTGGAGTCTACTTGACAGTTACGGATGAGGGAGGCAAATATATACATTAAAGTGAGCCAAGGTTAGACTTTCTCTATCCGAGCCATTACTGTATAGAACGCTGTCTCCCGCAGGGGGGAGGCTGGATTTACGCCAAAAAAACAGTTACTCAAGCAACTAGATATGATTTTGGAAACTGTCAGACGTTTCAGGGAGCATCCACTACCTTTCGTCAGTGTCACTGATGGTGATTTCTAACCTTCACCGACGAAGTTGGATTTAGTGGCAAGGGTAATAAGGGAGCTATAAAGGGGACTGTTTTCGCTGTATTGAAAAATATCTATTGCGTCAACAAACCAAATACACCTCCGGTTGTTAGCTGAAGAAGATTGAATCATCACCATAATGCAGCTGAACCTACTGCATCATTAATTAGGCATGTTCCATAGGTAACAGTCAAGACCTAGCCTGGAGTCCAGCCTTGTTTGTTAGCTTTGGTCCACTTCCCAAGATTGGGGTAGCGGGCCCTGGGAAGCGGACCAAAGCTAACAAGCTAGGCCAAGGCTGAACTGCAGATCTTGGGAAGCGGACCAAAGCATAAAGGCTGGACTCAAAGGTACAAGTGTAGTCATGACCTGCTGCAAAGTGAACTTCACCATAGCTATCGGGAATTAGACGAGACGCCTCTTTTAAAAAGGTACATTTATTTCTTACCTACAAGACGCCTTTAGGCTGCTTACGTTTGTCTACATCAATCTCATGAAAGCCATGAAAGTAGAAGCCAAAGATCTACTAAGTTAGTCACGGTTAGCAGTGTCTGTCTGAGCCATTAGTGTCTGGAACGCTGGCGCCCGCCGGGAAACGAAGTGAATTTTCAAGTTATTACCCTCCATGAAAATGGGGGTACTGTTTTTACTCCGTTTCATGTTTGGTCTGATATCTGAAGATCGGTGAGAAGGAACTGTACGATATTTGACAGATTGATGGATGGGGCCTTGGAGATTGTGTAGGTTGACTTTGAGCCCCTGGTGATTGACCTTGGTACTGCAGTTTAATTTTTTTATTCTGTTGTTTGCGCGTTATGGACTGTTTGTGCGATATTAAGGTAGCATGTAGTTGTTATTACCATGGTTTAGTGGTTTAAATTTGGGCTTCCTAGCTGTTTGCGTTTGATATTTACAATATGTTTAAAGTTGGTCTTTTTGTGTTGAATGTTTGGAAAATCTGGTGGGTCGTTTGGTATAATATTTGGTATGTGGGTAGTTGTTGAGTCTCTTTGCGTTTTAGAGTGCATTAGCAGGTTGTCGTATATTTGTATTGCTTAATTTAAAAGGATTTCTACATTATCACCCCTATTTTATAGTAGTGTGGTCTTTGTTGACCCCAATTGGCATACACTTGTATCTATTTTTACCTCCTGTTTGACAGGCTATATATTTCTTTGGTCTGGTTATTTTTGGGTTACTGACCTGCCGGCCTTGGTAATGGGGCGGTTTGTTTGTGTACATGTTGTGATTGAGAGGTCAATGACCTCACCTCTGCAGGATTGATATCTGTGCCTCCTCGTACCCCGCCCCCCCAAACCCTCTGTTACCAATTAGTGATGTAAATAAACTACCTCCGACCGTGTGGTCGGTGCCAGTCCTGAGTTGTATATCTGGGAGTGAAGTCGTCCCTCTCTCTCGTGACCACGTAACATCAATTTGCTCAGTTAACAAAGAGATCAGAGTAGGATTCTTGCATTACTAATAGCTATGAAATGATATATATGGAATAAAGTATACCAAACACCTTGCAGGCTGCTCCATCAATTCTTTACTTCTTTCTTTCAATTCAGAACATACAAGTCTCTAAGTACTAAAACTCGCTTGAAAGTTTATCTGGGTTGGTACTTAACGTTACATGATAAAAATTAAAATTGTACCAACACAAAGCAACTCCCTCATTATTCATGGCCATATAACGTCCAATTAAATTTAAACCCAGCTGTCATGTTTTAACAATGAACACATGTGATAACATAAAAAAGAACCCTAACAACACCAACCTCGTTCATGGAGGGAAGATGTCTATTGCTTGTTTTCAACTGGATTTTGTGGAAAGTAATACGCAGCACAGACATTAGGCATCTCCGCTTTTCTTATTGCATCAACAACCGAATATGCTTTGTCGTTAGCAGACTCAGCCACTGAATCAACCGCAGGACGTGTTCCATCATCAGCCGGACCTGTTCCATCATCAGCCGGACCCGTTCCATCATCAGCCGGGCCTGTTCCATCATCAGCCGGACCTGTTCATCATCAGCCGGACCTGTTCATCATCAGCCGGACCTGTCCCATCATCAGCCGGACCTGTTCATCATCAGCCGGACCTGTCCCATCATCAGCCGGACCTGTTCCATCATCAGCCGGACCTGTTCTATCATCAGCTTGGTCTGTTCCATCGTCAGTCGGACCTGCTCCATCGTCAGCCGGGCCTGCTCCATCATCAGCCGGACCTGCTCCATCATCAGCCGGGCCGTGTTCCATCATCAGTCGGACTGCTCCATCATCAGCCGGACCTGTTCCATCATCAGCCGGACCTGCTCCATCATCAGCCGGACCTGTTCCATCATCAGCCGGACATGCTCCGTCATCAGCCGGACTTGTTCCATCATAAGCTGGACATGTGCCATCATCAACCGGACATAAGCTGATCCAATAGCCGGGCTACCCACCGTGATACCGTTAGAGCAGGCATTGAGAAGTAACTGTGGAACTCCCCATCTACCATTTTTCAACAGGACCTTGTACATACACAGTGTGTTGCACTACCGGCTACTATAATCCCGTCTTCAGCCCAAAGCTTGGCAGCCTACGGTACAAGGTAAGTTTATTTCATGAACAGACTATGAGCACCTATTAATGTGTCCGATTATGTATCTATCTGTCCGTGTGCGCCACTTAGAAACTGATTCTATGCTGAGAAACCCTTGCTAGACACGACCCTTTAAAACTATATATGACCATCCAAGCTAGTACCTAGCTACCCATCCCCGCTGCCAAATACAGTAGGAACATATTTTATTAATTATATTTAGCATTAGCTATTCTTTTCTAAGGCAACTGGTTTTGTATTGAAGTTTGTTCATAGCGTCCACTTCTCCCATTCTGACCATTCTGATACAGTATTTAGGGAAAACTTCTTGTCACCCCAAAGCATTCATGTACAATTTACGGTTTGGCAAGTAATAAACTATTTCCTTCCCTTGATTATAAACCCCTGATGCTGCAGGAGATTATGCGGGGATTAAAGTCTAACGTTATATGGTTTTTCAGAGGAGCGAATTCTGGTCTCAAGAGGACGAGTAAAGCTAAATTACCAATTCATGGAATAGGCGCTATAGACAGTATAAGAGGCTTAGTAACATGGGAGTGATGTCGATGTTGCATTATGAGAGGACTTGTTGTCACCGTCTCTCATTGCAGAAATCACATTTCTGCAGCTGTCGTGCTGCAAAGAGGACACGGTACTTCTCAGCTAGCACATCGGTACTTCACAACGTTAACGAACACCACGGTGTTTCACATGTACTAAACTTGCCGGTAAATCACAGCTAACGCCACGGTGTTTCACAACTAACGTACCGGTACATCACAGCTATAAACGTCACGGTACTTCACAACTAACGCCACGGTGTTTCACATGTATTAAACTTGCCGGTAAATCACAGCTAACGCCACGGTGTTTCACAACTAACGTACCGGTACATCACAGCTAACGTCACGGTACTTCACAACTAACGCCACGGTGTTTCACAACTAACGCCACGGTGTTTCACATGTACTAAACTTGCCGGTAAATCACATCTAACGCCACGGTGTTTCACAACTAACGTACCGGTACATCACAGCTAACGTCAAGGTACTTCACAACTAACGCCACGGTGTTTCACAACTAACGTACCGGTACATCACAGCTAACGTCAACGGTACTTCACAACTAACGCCACGGTGTTTCACAACTAACGTACCGGTACATCACAACTAACGTACCGGTACATCACAACTAACGCCACGGTGTTTCACATCTAACGTACCGGTACATCACAGCTAACGTCAAGGTACTTCACAACTAACGCCACGGTGTTTCACAACTAACGTACCGGTACATCACAACTAACGCCACGGTGTTTCACAACTAACGTACCGGTACATCACAACTAACGCCACGGTGTTTCACAACTAACGTACCGGTACATCACAACTAACGTCAAGGTACTTCACAACTAACGCCACGGTGTTTCACAACTAATGCTGGTATTGGTACAACACAGCTTTCAAACGTCACGGCACTTCACAGCTTAGTGAACGCCGGGGTTCACAGCTAACACACCGGCACCATACAGCTAAACTCCAAGGTACTTCCAGTCTATAGAGCCGCAGTTGCAACATGGAAAACACCACTGTTGCTATTGAACGCACGGGAATTCCAAAGGATATGAGCTCCACTACTGAGTTTCTAGCTGCCACCATGACCCCCCTCGTAGGAACCACCTGGGAATGGAGAGGTAGCGCTAGCGATGCTGCAACTAACGTTACTGGCAACTTCAGCGTCGGGGATAACCACACGGACTCCATCATGACCAACATAACAGACTACTTCGAGTTTGTTGAAAACTCTACGACTGACAATTTTCTGCATGGCGACAATGGCGGTACTTTGAGAGTCGGTCAAACAGTCTTGATCGGTACGGTGGCCCTGTGTGCTTTGGTTAGTAACGTGCTGGTAATCCTTGCAACTGCCAAGAGGAAAGACACATTACCAAGAAACATTGGCTACCTGGCCTGCTCTATGGCTGTTGCTGACTTTATGCTGGGGTTATCGTTAACATTTTCCATCTATCCCTCCACGCTTGGCTATTGGCCTTACAGTGACGCCTTGTGCACCGCTCAGGCCATCGTAATCGACATTAACCGACTTATTGTTTGGATAACCCTTGCTTACATTAGTGTAGACAGGTACGCGGCGGTAACTAGCCCGGACGGTGTCATGCAGAGTAGGCGTTTTTGCGGGGTCTCCGTTTGCCTGACGTGGACAGTAGCCTTGCTGTGGTTCGTTGTCGTCTACTCAGTGAAAGGGAACATGAGAATAGCATACGCGAAAAGAATGGCAGCGTGCATAGTTAAAGATTTTGACAGTATTGCTGGCCTGGGGGTAGTCTTCCTAGTGGGAAGTGTCGTCACGTGGATATTCCTCATAAAAACTTGGCAGGCGATGGCCAATCACGGGCAGCGCGCTGTGGCACCACCTGCCGCCAACCAGGCACCAGCGCAGTCTTTGGGGCTGGCGTTCCGGACTCTTTTTGCGCTGACTGCCGTACAGTACCTTCTATGGATACCCGAAGCGTCTCTTGCCCTTATCTATGGATTGAAACTGCTGAAAGTCCCTCCGCTGGCTAACTTCTTGATATACTGGCTAGGACAGTTCAACACATTGCTGGACTTTATAATCTACAGTTTTACGCTTCAATCGTTCAGAAAAGCGACGAAGAGCCTGTTTCGGGACGCCATCAGCGTTCTTTGCAGACGTTTGACCGGGCGTGATTTCTTCCCAACGCCAGTCGTAGAGTTCCAGCATATGGAGACTGTTTCCCAGAACGCGACGGTCAACCTCACAGAGGAGAATCCGTCCCCGGCCCACCGTCCAGAAGAGATCCCGTTCCAAGAACAGCCAGTCCGCCGCTCAGAGCGTGAAACCCCGTCCCGAGAACAGCCACGTCCGCCGCTCAGAGCAAGCCCCGTTCCGAGAACAGCCGGTCCGCCGCTCAGAGCGTCAAACCCCGTCCCGAGAACAGCCAGTCCGCCGCTCAGAGCAAGCCCCGTTCCGAGAACAGCCGGTCCGCCGCTCAGAGCGTCAAACCCCGTCCCTAGAACAGCCGCTCCGCCGCTCAGAGCGAGAAACCCCGGCCTGTAAAACCAGCAACAGTGAGCGGCATCTTCCCGCGCTGGCCGGATCGGAAGACGTCCCAGAGAATGACCAACCTCCCATTCAGCTCGAGAGCATACAACCCACGGTGCCCGCTGTTCCCGCACGTGTGTCCGTATTTATTGATTACGACAGTGATGATGATGATGATGATAGCGCAAATGACGGAAAAGCCGACATGACCCAACTTCCCGGCATGTTATGGGATCTATAGAAACAATAATTCTGGTAAAAAGTCAGCTCAAGCACTGCCTCAAATGAATCTTACGGATTTTACTCTAGCAAATCACGAACATTTGTGACATGTTTACGTGACAGCAACGGTTGCACGAAGTCCGGATCCACAAACTATTGCAGAGTATGAAGTTCTTCGCCATGTAACAGGTGCTCCCAAGCATAAACGTGGTTGCGTGACGTCACGTTAATGTCTGGCCAATCAAATGACACGGTCCGTAAGTAACATCCAATTAACGTCAAGTATGTACTTACCGTCACGTCATGGACATTCCGCTACACGCTAAATAATTCACGTTTTAATTTCGCAAAGTGGTCGGGGCGGAGTTTTCTCCATTGTTCTCACCTCTGACAGGGCTAATTATCCTATCACCGCATGCTGCGGTGCGTAGAGACTATTGTGGACCTGGTGGCCGGACTGTGCACTTGCCTCTGTAAGGGATCGGAATATTGGGAGTTCGACAAGCGAGTCTGCGCACACGCCATGGTAAGATACAACTTTTAACTCTTTCCTGCAATAAAATATGGCATGGCAGCGGCTGACTTGGGCCTGAAGGACTGTTCATTTTGTTTTACTCACACGTTGGGGAATAAACAAAGTGTTAGCGCACCTGCCTTTTGCACAACACATCGGAGCGATTCAATAGACTGCTTATGTACGTATGAACAAGTGACGGGGTCGCAATGCTAACTATGTATGACGTGACAATGTTGGTAATACAAGTAGCTATGCATACCGGAATGTGACAGACCACTGTCTCTCTTTCTTTGCTTCGAAGAAAACAGAGCACTATCTATAATAAGCTTAGGCTGTCGAACCTCAAACATAGAACATTTAGCCTCTACCAGGCCGCAGTTGGGGAGGCGGCTGGAAATAGTAGGAATCGGCCAGATAGAGAGATAGCATGCTAGGGGATTTGGTCTGCTGGAGAGTACAGTTTGCTGCACCCGAAATGTATACGTACCCTCTAGCGGACCAACTTCCTCGGCATGCTATCTCTCTATTTGGCCGATTTCTACTCTTTCCAGACGCCTCCCGAAGCCTGGTAGAGGCTAAGAACATTATCTGTACGGTATTAATGTGAGTACATTAATACTAGACAGATTCAGAGATATAGTGTTGACAGACGTGCAATGAAACAAAGTCCTGAGTGCAGACCTAACCTTCGACATGAAAATGTAGAGTACAACTAACCAACTCACCTTGCATTTTTTCCTATTTTGTTTTGCTCAGGTCGAACACTTGACAGACGAACAGATAGAGGGTGAGTGATTATACGGGTTATACATGTAGTGGAACTCCAATATCGCTCATGGATAAATTTGGATTCCTTTTCTGGTTTGTTCCTTTGGGGTCAGAAAATAACGTATCCTGACTGACCCAAAACTACAACTATTGTTTGTCAACTGCCCATTAAAAAGTATTGGTCAGCTGTCCTTGGCAATCACGTTAACGATATAAAAAATTTCAACATTGAAATATTGAAAAAAAATAAATTAATAAAAAAATAATTAAAAAATAATTAAAAATAAAATAAAAATAAAATAAAATAGAAATGAAAATAAAAATAAAAATAAAATTAAAATAAAAATAAAAATAAAAATAAAAAAAATAAAAAATAAAAATAAAAATAAAAATAAAAATAAAAATAAAAAATAAAAATAAAAAATAAAAAATAAAAAATAAAAATAAAAAATAAAAATAAAAAATAAAAATAAAAATAAAAATAAAAAATAAAAATAAAAATAAAAATAAAAATAAAATAAAATAAAAATAAAAATAAAAATAAAAAAAGGTAACGACATGCGTTGTTCTTGGTTTATGGGCTGTACTCACTGCATAAATATTTGTCGTTAGGCTGTCTATGGTACAACCAATGAACCATGTAGAAAATGATAATCATGTTTTCCTCAACTAGAAATCAAGGACGCGTTTGTGTCCTTCGACAAGGACAGTGACGGTCTGATCGCCACGAAGGAGATCGGCTCCGTCATGAGATCGCTTGGACAGAATCCCACCGAGCCCGAGCTGAACGCCATGATCAACCAGGTGGAGATAGGCGCAGGTGAGAACTGAAGGTGTATTCAGTCTGTTTTAGCGCCGCGGTTTTACCGATCGCTTCCCTGGAGCTCGCCGAATATTCTACAGAGAAGCGAGGATTTAATCAATGCTTCAACGTAGACATGCCTTGCTCATGGATACTGTTTTGTGGCTGTACCACCCGCCTCGCTAGTAGGCCCCGTTAAGTTAAATACTCTATTTGCGTTTTATAATGCCATGTATATAACACTGTGTAGTGTATTATCACCCTCCCGAGCAGGGTTAGTGGCTCGGCCCGGAAGGGTCCTAAAAAAATTGTATTATGCATTTGAATGTATTACTTTGTCTATTTATTTGTCGACATGGTGGAGTGGCAATTGAAAGGGTGTACTTGGGTCCACCTGTTCCACCATGCCTTCCATGTATGTTCCACTATGCCTTCAATGTATACATAGGATACAGGAGTTTTCTTTTACACAACCTAGATAGACTAACCTTGCTTACGTTTGATGTCTATCAGACGCCTTCCTCAGAGCTTTTGACAGGAGCTCTGCTTCTTGTCGCTATATGTAGCCTATGTAGGTGGCCCTTTTGCGGCGAGAACACAGGGAAGTTTAAGATCGACTTCTAAGACAATCCAACCTTGCACGTTGTGTTCCAGGAAAGTTCAAGATCGACTTCCCCGAGTTCCTGGACATGATGGTTGAGCAGATGGAGTCCCACAGCAGCGAGCAGGAGATCGCAGAGGCCTTCAGGGTCTTCGACAAGGACGGCAACGGTTTTATCAGGTGGGATTTTATGAAATAAAGGCCGTGTTTATGTGAAGTCACCCAAACAGCGATTCGGGTAACTCACATTCCTCACATCTGGTCCACGTGCCATACATTCATTTTAAAACGTGTCCGATCACGATTCTCCGAAACTACATTCATTGTTGTATGATGAAAACACGCTAGGTAGCGTGTTATTATTGTCAGAGGTCAACGACCTGCTTGCTTGTGCCCCCTCCCAGCGTATCTCGGCCGCGAACTTGCCGACGTGGTCCCGCCAGAGGCGATGAAGCTCTTGCTATAGAACGGACACATTATTTGACCATTACTACTCTTTAAGTTGCTGACACGTAAAATTTGGTATTGCATATAAATAAAGAAATATCACCCCGTAACCATGACCAAGTGAAGTCACATTGAAATCACATTGCGTTCAGACGCAAATCGCGATGCGGGAAAACCGATTCGAAACCACCTCTAGAAGTGGTATGGGATCGAGGCGCTTTCAATGTGATTTGGAGCGTTCAGATGGAGCCACTTGAAACCGGCTTCGGGGTAAACCACATGTAAAGCGCCTTCACTGACTTCACATAAACACGGCCAAAGACTCAACTACATGTATATCTTTGCCAACACTGAAATGAACTTCAGTTGGGACTTACCCCAAATTTTCGGCTCGGACTCCTTCAACCTTGTTCACGGGATGGACCCGTCTACTCGTGTACGGGTGAATGGATCTATTCCGTGAACAAGGTTGAAGGTGTCATGCAGCCGAAAGTTTGGGGGTAAGTCCCAATTCATTCCAGTGTTGGTAGAGAAAGTTGAGTCTTTATTTCAAAATGATTGGTACCGACACAGATGCACTTTCATGCTAGGTGGGATTTTACTTCTTCTGGCTGTCTGAATGGAATCATCACCAACCGTTGACTCAATTGGCTCTCTCAAATACATTTATGTATTTCACAAGGAGAACAAATAAAGATGAAACTGGTCACGAAAATATGATTGCATTCTGTTCTTCTATCTTACCACCTGTTGGAGCCAGGCTGTAGAAGTCGTTCGAGGTAGATCCTCGGTGGGGCTCAGAGTCAAACGTTCCTTGGCACCGTATCCTCGGGGCATGCCATGGAGCCAAGGAGCTTGTGTACTGCCCTGGGAAATGTTTGTCTTGTAGGCTATATATAGCGCAGCCACCGGTTGACCAATTCAGATACCGTCAATTCTCAAGATGCATGAGGTTGTAGGCCACAGATGCTAGTATGATAGGACACTATGTACAGCCTAACTCGTTCCCCAATGGCAGTTCTTGATATGTATCCAGTAAGTATACATGACACTGACACTACAAAATGTTGTTTGCCAGTGCTGAGGAACTGCGGGACATCATGAAGAACCTTGGCGAGGCGATGTCCGTCAGTTATTTATAGATGACTAACAGTGTTATAAGGTTATGTAAGTTGTTAGTACAGTAACAGTATGTACGTACGAACTGTTGTTTGCCAGTGCGGAGGAACTGCGGGACATCATGAAGAACCTTGGCGAGGCGATGTCCGTCAGTTATTTATAGATGACTAACAGTGTTATCAGGTTATGTAAGTTGTTAGTACAGTAACAGTATGTACGTACGAACTGTTGTTTGCCAGTGCGGAGGAACTGCGGGACATCATGAAGAACCTTGGCGAGGCGATGTCCGTGGATGACGTAGATGAGATGATAGAAGCTGTGGACACGGACGGAGACGGACAGATCAACTTCGACGGTGAGACAAACTTTAGCGTGCCCAGGGGCCGCGATGAGAGCGTGCAAAATTGCAGTTATTCCAAATATATAACCCAACCTGCAAATTTAAAAATTTGAGCAGTGGCGGTTTTGGTGCCCCTGATGTGTTTGGTCACCCCTAGACCATTTTACTCTTGACTAGTGAAACCCATGTTTTGTTTAGCACTACCAGGGGGTATACATGTCACTTTTATGCGAATTTGGTAGATAGCAACTTCATGAAATGTTAATGATGTGACTACACATAAAAACACGTGACAGCGGGTTTGGGGGAAATGCTAATCATAAAATGGGAAGAAACAGAACCCCTGGATGCTAATACATAAACGCTGTCATTTTGGCATCTGTCATGATATCACGTGCCCTTGCCATACTTGTGCACTGTCCAAGTATGTTATGAAGAAGTTCCAATAATCCAAGTGTAATTTCTGATTTCAGAATTTGTGGCGATGATGACGGGAAAGTTCTGACCTGTTGTTGGATACACCGACCACTGCAATCTCTACTCTCGAACTATTTTAATATCATCTCTAATTTAACTTTCTAATTTTTGCGATTTCAATTAAAAGCAATGTACAGTATTAAGAAAAAGTAAACATTTCAAAAAATGAGCTGGTTCAGTTTTTTTTCATCATTCAATGAAGTAGTTGTAGTTAAGATTTCCCCACGCTGCTTTAATGTCTTAATGAGAGAGGATACAGCAAAACTAGGAGTCAAAATGTGTTTGAAAGGGAAGTTACGTTGACAGCTCACAGTAGCTGATACTAGTATTCACCAATTTCACACTTCCCATAATGCCTAGTAAAAGTCACGGATATGACGTAAGACCACCGAGCTCCCCCGTGTACACTACTAGTATATGACATCCAGTAGATTTCTAGCGGGGACCAATCAGAGGGCTGCTGGCAGGTAATAACCGACTAGCGGCTATTAGCACCTTGTTTCATGTAAATGCCATGAACTCAACCAGAACGCGTAATTGTTTCTTCAATTCTTGTTTACTTCAGTACTAAGTACTAGTACTTCCACAATTTGTAAAATCATACCTTAGTTTTGTAAAATCATACCTTAGTAAAATCTACTTTGATGAACGAATCGAAACGGGACTGTAGCGATCACCACGGGAAGGAACAGATCTTAGCGAAGCCGGACTGTGGAACCTCAAACTACTGTGTGTTTGTTTAACTACTGTGTACTGTGTGTTTGCGTCAGCGGAAAGGCTGTCGAAGCAACCACTACATGGAAAATTGCGGCGAAAAAGTAACATGTGTTCGTCCCAAATCTGGACGCAAGTAGTGAGCTACAAAAGTAATAGAACCTATGCATCTTGCTTGTTGCTGTCAACTTACCCGTTAAAGATTGAACCGATACATGTGCCTACTATAACTTGCCATACCCTGCCAAACACGACTACATAGTACATTACTGTTACTCTTCAATGATAGCGTTACATTATCTATCATTGTCATTTGTGTGAATTCCTTAGAACATCTACTGTTATTTTGTGTAACATTACGTAGTGCTACAATCTGCGTAAAAAGTAGGCTTCATTGCGTGTTAACTGCTAAGTCGTCATGGTATTGAAAACTGTTTCATTGTGCCGTTCTTCTACAAACAGCCAGCAGAATTATAAAGATCCCCGTTCTCAGCACAAGTTGCAAAGTAAAGTAATGGCAGTCCTACGAAAATTCTCTTTGTAATGTATAAGCGCTTTATATCGACGGACAATGGTTGTGAAGTACGTGTTTTCGCACATCTTGTGCCACCGGATCAGTGGTAATTAGCTACTCTACAAGTGAAAGAATCGGGTCCGTGGGCCTTGATAAATTATTCATAAATCGATCGCCGCTAGAAATTTACTGGATGGCATTCAGTGACGAGCCTCCCCCTTCCTCGATGTAATATTTCCAACAAGTTCTATGTACAAACTGGTCAACTATTGTTTTGAATTATTTCTCTAGTATAAAGCGCATGCCATAATTGCATTTTTGTTGGAATTAGAGAAAATGACGTACCTTCTATCGTTTAGAACGATACACGTCTTATAAGATTGCCTCAAGACGAGTGAAACCTCTTTTAATTCTTGAAAGAGAAGAAAACAGCTGTAGGTTGCACGACAACTTATAATAGCTTAGAACATAGGTTTTGATACCATCATTTCTACCACATACAGCTATATAAAGTGTACCTTAATATGTACCCATTTTGATACACAGGAAACACTAATATCACAATATATATTATATCTTTGTATATACATGTTTATATGTCATTTTGGTGTATAATGAAATATCATACCATTTTCATTGAACATTCTTGTGCTGGTGTAGTATAATATCCATCAAACATGCAGCATATGAAATAAATACCTACACTCCCCTGGTACACCCAGGATACTGGGTAATGATACAAACCCAGGCTATAGGTACACCCAGGATATAGGACAAACCCCAGCTACTGGATACACCCAGGGTATTGTAGACCCAGAATATATGGTATACCCACTACCCAGGCTACTGGGTATACCCAGGATATTGCACCCAGACTATTGGATACACCCAGGATATTGTAGACCCAAGATATTGAGTATACCCAGGCTAATGGGTACACCCAGGATTTTAGGTACACCCAGGCTATACCCAGGATATTGCACCCAGACTATTGGATACACCCAGGATATTGTAGACCCAGGATATTGGGTATACCCAGGCTAATGGGTTACACTCATGATATTAGGTACACCCAGACTATTGGATACACCCAGGATATTGGGCAAACCTAGCATGTCGGCAGAACATACTGCACCTGCGCGAAACCCGTAATGTATTGTACATAGCACTTCGACAGAACGTCTCATATAAGGTCGTACTAGCGCATATAAGGTTAACATCATGTCTGTAGTTTCCAAATGTTATGTAGGAAAAGATATCCTTTGCAACATGCAAAATTCTGATGCAACATTGACCAAACATCCACCGAAAATCATGAAAATACAGGGTTCTGCGCAGGCGCAGTACGTTCTGTCGACGTGCTGGCAAACCTAGGCTACCGGGTATCCTGGCTAGCAGATACATGTGTGCACATACAAATGAATTCCTTATACCGGTATTATGTATAACTTCATGCTCATCTTACTACCTGAGCTACACTGTTGCACAAAATCAGGAAGTTGTACACTTGGCATCTACATTTGCATTGCTTTAACATATTAACTTGCACTTAGGCCACACCAATTTAATTTCTTGGTTAACGGATTCGCCGCTTCATTTTTTTCTGATTTGCAAATAAAAATAAAAATCCAGAATCAACTGCAAAATGCTCATATTTTGTCCTGAACAGTTGAAAACAGTCCTTTTCATCCTAGTTGTTACAGTTATTCCATCTTTCAATGAAATGGTATCATTAAAAGTTCAAAATTCATTGTTTAAATTTTGAACCAGCCTGGTGTGTTGACTTCATGGTTCCTATCGTACCATTTTGGGCCATAATACAATGCCTAGGCCTGTTTTTATTTTTATTTTTTTTTCGCCCGCCCGCTCCAATATTTTTCTAGAAAAATCTGTTAACCAAGAAATTAAATTTGTGTGGCCTTACAAGTTTTAGTTAATTACAAGGTTGACACTATACTTGATTACTTTGCAGAGACCTGACATCTTTTCTTGGAAACGAAAAAGTAAAGTTTAGAAAAGAAACAAGTCATTGTAGGTGACCCCACAATATTGTTACAAAATTCCTTTTCTGGGGAGCAGGTACATGTCAGAATTTGGCAAAATAACTTTATACATTAAACTTGAGAAATTCTGAAGTGTTGCCATAGTGATCACATACTCCCAATCACAGACAAATCTTCAAAACTTCCATGATTGCATCAGGATCCAGCAATCCACTCACAGATACTGGCTACTTCTGATTTAAACAACAACAAAAAAAAACAACACAGGAAGAAAATAACAGAAAACCTAAAACACACAATATTGCCCTAAAATCATAAACTTATAATGGAACAAAATAGTGCCTTTCTGAACCTGTAGCAAGGCATGATAATACCTTTTCATTTATATCTAGTATATAAATTATATAAGCCTGTAGTGGGAGCTGTAATGTGCCCTTCCTATAAACAGACTTATAGCAGGGCTTGTTACATATAATACCCTTCATAACAAACCCTTCGTTAGCAGAGCATCATAACACCCTTCATAACAAACCTGTAGTGGAACATAATACATGTAATGTCCTTCATAACAAACCCTTAGCAGAGCATCATAATACCCTTCATAACAAACCTGTAGTGGAACATGATAGATGTAATATCCTTCATAACAAACCCTTAGCAGAGCATTATAATACGCTTCATAACAAACCTGTAGTGGAACATAATACATGTAATGTCCTTCATAACAAACCCTTAGCAGAGCATTATAATACCCTTCATAACAAACCTGTAGTGGAACATAATACATGTAATGTCCTTCATAACAAACCCTTAGCAGAGCATCATAATACCCTTCATGACAAACCTGTAGTGGAACATGATAGATGTAATATCCTTCATAACAAACCCTTAGCAGAGCATCATAATACCCTTCATAACAAACCTGTAGTGGAACACATGTAATGTCCTTCATAACAAACTTTTAGCATTGCATCATAATAGCCTTGTTAACAAACCTGTAGCAATGTGCCATATAAATAGCCGCATGATTATGAACCTGTAGTGGGGCATTATCAGATTATAAACATACAGAGGGACACCATCATGGCCACCATCACTAACCCATAGTGGCATGCAATAATTCCCCTAACAGGACATAATAACGCCCTGCAAGTGGTCGTTCAGGTGTGGTAGTAAACATGAGGACACTTTATGTTTGGAGTTCCAACAAAAGAACACACCTGCTCTTGTCTCTACAAAACAACCCCTTGCATAGTACAAAATACGCCTCTCAGGAACTTTCCCCTGTCCTTTATGCATCATTATTACTGATGTATGGAACTAACCTACGTACACATAGAACTCTAAGACTTGTATTCCATTGAAACCAAACTCACGTTCTATGGAAGTCTGTGGAAGCCAGAAAAATGGCTTTTCTACCAAGATTTGTAGGAATGTGAACATGCATGGTTTCCATGCGTATATCTATATGGAATGGGCACAGTCAGAGAAGTCTGGATAGGAATGTGTCATGAGGAATATCCATGCTAGTTTTGGAGGAATGTACAGTCAGTGATGAGGCCTTCATGGTCCCACTGGCACGTAGACATCTTTTTCTAGAGGCAAAAACTCCATATATGGAAGATGGCAAAAAATTACCATATACGGAAACACTGTTCTCAAAAATCCATAAAGGAAGATATCTAGTTGTTTTTCAGAGGCAGAAACTCCATATGTATAGAAGATACAAACTTACAGGAAGATCAAGCATGACTTGACCAGAGTTCTCAGAAACACGTTTCATTGCTTTTTTTCAGTCTTAAAATCTTAAATAAGGAAATTTTCAGTGCCCTTGGCAGGGCTGTTGTTCTCAGAAAAAGGAACATAGGCTAACTGAGAGTTAACTAGTGGCTATGCCGGTTCTGTGTCTTCATCTTTGACAAAGTTTTCATCCTTGAAATCCTCCTCGAGGGCTTCCATCTCTTCCATGATGTCGCTTGATTGGTCGGGGAGGGCGGCCAGGACCACGGGCGAAAGGTCGTCGTAGTTGACCCTGGGGACGGTGATCTGTTCCGGGTAGAGCCACGGTTTCCACGACGGTTTGTGCTGCGCCTTCCACGCAGGGTACTTTGTGGCCGCCTTGTTGATCTTCTGCATCATCTACAAGAAGGTACAAACTGTAGTTTACAAATCATGGGTAAAATATGAGGACAGTAACAGAGACTTGATGAATGACAATTTATGGAACACTTCCCTGTTCCATTCTGACATGTTCAATAGTCAGCACCCTTAGCTTTCTACATTGCATATTATATTTTATGATTGTTTACATGTTGTACATATTAAATGTTACGACACAATAATCATCGGATATTTGTGATGGTGTGCTAGTTTACAATTATAAGTTTTGTACTGTGGATTTAAAATGGGTAGGGGGAAAGACCTGTACCTGTGTACTAGGTTTTTTAAAACACCCCAAAAAGGTCCATTCTACTCCTCCTCCTACAAAAATCAAATCCTTCCAAAAATAAATGAATTTACAGTATTAATGACAACAGAAACACATGTAAACACAGTCATATACCCGCACATGTACACAGACAGGCACATATGTACAGGCACATGCATGAACATTGTCAAGTGAAGAAGTGAGACTTACTCTTGGAGCGTAGAATTGTGTCGCTTTGTTCACCCCCCACTTTGGCAGGGATCCTGTAGAAACATGAACATTCAAGCCTTGGTCAGTAACCTAATTATTTGGGTCACCTAGCAGCCATGAAGCATCAGGTACCAAACTGTACATGTATAGGACTCCATTGTCTTCTGTAAATCTAATACCATGCAAATAGACCAGCTCTATTGCCTTAGTTAATACCTAAGAACTTCATGCATTGTGAAGTATGAAAAATGTAACTGCTCTGAATAGCATGTTAAGTTCACCTCTTGGGTCCATCTGTGTCAGATATGTGAAATGGCAACTGTCGGAGGTCAGGGGTCGTATCAAGTATCCCGACAACAGGGAGATGCCTCGTATAAACCCCTTCTTAGGTGGCACTTTCTGTGGAAGGCAAAAATCATGGTGTACTTTACTCAGTCATGGCAAACACAGGTGCACAACTGTCCACATGCGCACACACGTGCACACGCAAGCACACACACACACACAGACACACACACACACACAAAAATAGCACTCACTCATTCACTCACTCACAGACATATATAGTGACACACGCAAACACATACACACACACACACACGAGAATGCTGTCAGTAACATAACCCTTTCTGGTCAGCATTTTGTGGGTTATAAGCAAAAATTACAAAGACATTAGCCTGGGATCCATCTGTGAACACTTTGTCTCTGCCCCGTTCCTCTGACAGAGCTAAGGAACGGAGACAAAGCATTCACGGATGGATTCCAGGCTACAAAGACAAATGCAACTGACCTGGTGATTGACAGAATGGTTGATGATCATGTATTCCGTCCCAGTCTCCAGCCAGGATCTTAGAGTGACAAAGTCACGGTTTTTCAACGGTGCGGGACACTTCCCTGCAAAGGCAAAAGTTAAGTAGTACTACTAGTAGCCTACATTGCAGTTAAGGTAGTCCTGCCTGTGTAGAAGCCTACAATGATACAATTATGATGGTACCTGTGCTTAAACTTTAGTTTAAGGAGTTGTAGTCTACATGCATTGCTGTTAGGATGGTACTAACATAAGTGGTAGCCTACAATGCTGTTAGGATGGTACTGACATGAGTAGTAGCCTACAATGCTGTTAGGATGGTACTGACATGAGTAGTAGGCTAGTAGCCTATAATTTAGTATAAGTAGAATGGTACTAACATGAGTGGTAGCCTACAATGCTGTTAGGATTGGACTTACATGAGTAGTAACCTATAATGCTGTTAGGATGGTACTTACATGAATAGTAGCCTACAATGCTGTTAGGATTGGACTTACATGACCTACAATGCTGTTAGGATGGTACTTACATGAGTTAGCCTACAATTCTGTTAGGATGGTACTTACATGAGTTAGCCTACAATTCTGTTAGGATGGTACTTACATGAGTTAACCTACAATTCTGTTAGGATGGTACTTACATGAGTAGTAACCTACAATGCTGTTAGGATGGTACTTACATGAGTAGTAGACTACAATGCTGTTAGGATGGTACTTACATGAGTAGTAGCCTACATCATTGTTAGGGTTGAGTTGGCAGATTTCGTAAGCCTCTATCATGTTTGGGTCCCACATTTTTCTGTACTCAGGATCATGAAGAACGTCATACAAAGTTGCTGCACAAACTTTCTTGAACGTCACCGAAACCTGTCAAAAATTTGAAATGTAGAAGATTTGTGCACAAATCAATGAGTGAGTTCTGGTCTGGGATTGGTTTTAAAGCTGGCTATTTCTCAACAGTATTTATTGGGACGATGTCGGGCCTAGTGCTTTGTACAGGTTCACTGGACCGGTTCCGGACATGTACTTGTAAAAATGTTTAGGTTCAAGTAAAAAAGAAAGTCAAACTGAACGTCTATAACCAGTTCTGGACTTACAAAAAACAAAATCATGTCACAGTCCATTTTTCATTCTAAACCACGTAAAGCCTTCCATAGATCAAGTGAAGAAAACATTGTCATTGGTCATTGTTATGTGTCAGCCTCTGTAAATTATGTGGCCATAGTTTCTCCCAGTTTCACCCATCTTGATATATTGCTTTTAACCTGGTAGCACAGTGTACACTACAAAATGTATGCCAACATGCAGTTTTGTATATGCCATGGGTTTAGGTTAGTGATGCATACCTAAACCCAATTTTAGGTTCAGGTCCGGACTCAAGTCCAGAGGTTTAGGTTCAGTTCCGGACTTGTAAGTCCGGACCTAAACCCATGGCATATACAAAATTGCATGTTGGCAACCTTGCAATGTTGTCTGGGTGAAACTTTGGCCACATAACATGGAGGCCGGTACTTGACGATGCCCTATGGCAATGTTTTCTTCGTTTTGAAGCAAAGATTTTACAATCTACGGAAGGTTTTAGGTGGTTTGGAAAGAAAAGGGGTATGTGAAATGGTCTTTTATGGTAATAAGTCCGGACTCGGTTCTTGACTTTTAGGGTTTTTGGACTTGAACCTAAACATTCTTACAAGTCCGGATCCAAGTCCAGTGAACCGGTATGCATCACTAGTTTAGGTCTGGACTTAAATGAACCTAAACCTCTGGACTTGAATCTGGACCTGAACCTACATGTAAACATGAGTTTAGGTACACTGCACTAGTCGGGCCTAAATCATCTTTCCATCATTGCAAAATAATACTCAAAGCTCCACCACAATAACAGTCACACAAAGAAGAGTTACCCTTCAATGTGAGCGTAGAAACAGATGCTACAACTACAATTTCCGCAAGTCCCAAGGGCTTTTGTTCCTTTCACATCTGGTGCCAGGGATGACCCAATTTCACCACAATTGTCAACCTGTCACACAGATATACCCTAGGGGAAGTAGAGTAGTCTCCAAGCAGTTGTCTAGTGGCAAAAGTGGTAGGGTTTAATAGAACTGGCGATGTTGTCACTTTCTCCTAATGTTTATTGGTTCAACCACAGCTAGTTTTGATATGTAATACTAGTGACTTGGGCTGCAGAAGAACATGCCAGATGTTTAAAGAATTCCTTTGAAGAGGACGATTAGGACTGACTTTTTCCTTCCCCTTCCTTGAAGTTCTTCGTGGAACAACCGGAAGACAGACCTAACCCTTGGCTAGGTGCATGCGCAGTAACAGGTGGTTGTTACGCCTTTACACCCCCCCCCCCTAAATGGGAACAGAAACTCATACCCTGCTGTTGAACCTGACCCTTTGGCCCTGAACTTGACATGACATCGTGTTGGGTTTCTCATACATGTGTAACAGCCATCAAAAATTCATAACAACCCTATATATCAAACAGATTTCCTTTCTACCACCCTCCCCGCCCCCGTAATCCAAATATGCATATAATTTCTACATTATTAACGATATGATTATTCCCAATACGGTCCATTAAAGCTATAAAAAATTGTGAGGGAAAAAAACGGAGGAAACGTTGATTTTTGTGTTTACCTTTAACAGTTTGACAGAAGACGTATCCTGTAGTTTGGCGTACACCACAGTTCCGTGTTTGTTGTACTTCTGTTCCCAGCCGTCTTCGTGATTCAAACACGCCTGTTTAAAGTCCAGAAAATCCTTATCGTCGGCGATTCGCACCTCTTCCAGCAGCCTCCCGTCCATGGCAAGAACTCTGCGTAGACTGGTGTGAGAAATAACGGTACAAAAGAGCCGTGGACAGATTGCACCGGCTGATATCCGGCTTACACGTAGGCAAAATACCGCCTTGCAACAAAGAACAATCCCCTACAGATGGGCCATGACGCCTAGTGCGCATGTACAGAACGGGGTGGTGGGCGGGTTTTACGACAGTGATGACGACATCGCCACCTGTTTGCGTCATTGCGTTAGTTCGTGAGTTAGTTAGTGCGTGTTTGGTGACGTACTCTCTGTTCAACTTAGATTTTGTACAATGATATAAAAGCAATATTCCATGCTCTTGGCAGGTGGTTAAGACAAACTAGCATATCAAAATTATTTCAGGTATCATTTTTATGTAGAATAACAAGAGACAACCATCAACAAATAATTTAGCATTGTATGAAATCGTTTTATTAGCTGAAAGATCTTTTATTTACAACAACAGGGGCACCCTAGATTGTATACATGTAACAGTATTTCATTTAGTGTTCACATCATGTAGACATTTCATTATGTGATTGTTATCTATATCTTTATGTACAAAATAGATGATCAGTCAACAAGTTCAGTCAGTTGAAATCTGATGGGAAACAGCCTCTTTGTTTGTTTCACATAACCAGTAACACACCAGTTTTATTAGCTAAAACATCATTTACCTACAACTACAGTGGACCCAAAATTATGCCTTGGGGCACCCCAGATTGTATTTCATTTAGTGTTCACATCATGTAGACATTTCATTATGTGATTGTTATTCTATATCTGTATGTACAAAATAGTTGATCAGTTAACAAGTTCAGTCAGTTGAAATCTGATGGGAAACAGCCTCTTTGTTTCACATAACCAGTAACACACCAGTTTTATTAGCTAAAACATCATTTATCTACAACAACAGTGGACCCAAAATTATGCCTTGGGGCACCCCAGATTGTATTTCATTAAGTGATTTTTATTTTATATCTGCATGTACAAAATAGTTGATCGGTCAACAAGTTCAGTCAGTTGAAATCTGATGAGAAGAACTATTATTATGTATGTTCCAACATGTGAATGTTCAAGCAGCAGACCTGATCGGTGATGATATATGTCAGGGACTAGTAAACCAAAGGTCTAACTGCTGTCTTCCTCATCGTCAAAGTGTACTCCACGAGGGGCCTTCACCCTGCAAACAAACAAATAATGTTCAGGAGAACTTGCACTTCTTGTTCCGCCGCTCAGAACCTTTCAGCGTGCCACTAGGTTCTCTTCCAGTTCTCATATCAATACACCGTTAACATACCTGTCTCCAAGTCATTTTACAACAACAGCTTCTTTCCCCGGACTGCAAAATTATGGAACTCTCTTCCAAACAGTTGCTTTCCGTCCGACTACAATCCACAAAGCTTCAAAACAAAGGTCCACCGCCATCTCCTGACATTATACTACATTATACTCACTTAAGTACCTCTAGCTCTATGCCTAGAAGTGGCCAAAAATAATTAGCCTTGCATTGAGCGACACCGTTAAAAAAAATGTACTTCAATGACATGCGACCAATTGAATGTGCCTCAACAAAAATTCTTATTACAACCTTGTAAATGAGTATGCATCTTGAATGAAGCAACAGGTATTGCAATGAGAAAATGTCTGCTCATTTTACTTTTTCCTTTACCTTTTACTCTCTGGGTTGAGTATGCTGTATCCCTCCTTTCTCCTGACTTTAGCAGCAGGTCCTCTGTTTCTCTGCATATCCAAATCTGTTGAAGGAGGAAGTGAATAAGTGGAAATTTGAAACAATATTTGGTTTGAGTGAAAGAAATGACCAATATTCCTCTTTTATCTGCAATAAATCTATAGTGTCGATGAAGGTTAGACATCCAGGTAATAAAACCAGTTACTCAAGCAACTGGATATGATATTGGAAATGGTTAGACATTTGCATATCAATCAATAGTTTGTGCTTATAAACCTGCATTTCTCCTGCAGTCTCTGGTGTCAATGACAAAACGTAGTGGATGCTACCTGAAACGTCTGACCATTTCCAAAATCGTATCCAGTTGCTTGTGTAACTGTTTTTTTTGCGTAAATCTACAGTGTTTTGACTTTGTTGCCATATATGGTGATGACCTTACCGAATCCAGCACCACCCTTCCCCCCAACCTGGCGCTCTGGATGGTTCTGCCGCAATGCATCCAACCTGACAGTGGAGTCTGGAAAGATATATTCATAATTTAATACAAAAGGTGGCTGAATGGACCAAAGAGAAAAGAGGGCCTGCATGGGGGGGGGGGGGTGTTCTGACAATATGCTATTAGCCTAAATTTTGAGCGCTGGCTACATATCACGCTGAATTCAAGAAGCCCCCCACTACGTTTTACGATAAAACAGCAAAGTACGCTCTACCCAAAATGCGCCAATTACGCTCTACATTGAATTAGAGCAGTCCGTCTACGCTGTACATTGAATTAAAATGGGCAAATACGCTCTACGGAAAAGGGCATGTGGGCTCCAGAAAACACAGTTACAGATTAGATCACAAACAAAATGCATCATAAATGTATTAAAAAATCTAAAAATTCAGAGCCATTGACAATCCTGAGGCTGAAACTTACCTGCCAGTTTCTGGTCCAACTCTGTAACTTTATCAGCCAGTCTAAACAAGATGTGTTTCAGCTCTTCTTTCCTCTCACTGGCTGTTGCCTCATATAGGTCGTAGGTCAAGGTCGAGCTGCCCTTTCCCAGGGTGCACTGCAACCTGTGACCTGTCCCTGATATACTGACCTCTCCTGCCAGGAATGCCGTTCTGAAGGGTAAAGGAGGACATGACTGAAAAGGATGATGATCATGGCTTATAGAATAGATGTAGGACAGGCCTAGAATTGCATTGGTTACCCTCAGACAATATATACCACAACAACTGGACCAAGAAATTACCTGAACCTGGAAAAGTATGCTTCAAAACTGGACAGCTCAGCAACATCCCTCTGCAAAAAAAGGACAAAAGTTCATAAGGCATTAATGCCAAAGTCGATACAGGTCATCGCCATTCATGACATGATACACTTCTTGTTGCCCCTAATTGTTGATTATGAATATGATGATAATACACTAAAATATAGGTACAAATATGGTTTGTTTATAAGTAGTACACACAATATGATGTACATGTAACACAAGTACACAACTAATAAGTACTGTACCTGTGTATGTCTATACATATACAATTGTATACTGTGTGTGTGTTTGTGTACATATGTGTCTACTTGTACTTACTGCACGTTTAATACTTGTAAGTAGCATAAGGCTGACATGTAACCTTAGTAACTCACATGAGCGTCCAGTTCTGCCTGCCCAGCCTGCCATATCCACACATCAACCCCATCAGTCACACTGCAATAAAAAAATCACAATGACATACCTATTGAGAAGACCATCTGATAGTGGGGTCGTGTGGCGCAGTCGGTAGCGCGTTCGGCTCACACCCCAGAGGTCACGGGTTCGAACCCTGCTCATGTCACCGATCTTGTGCCCTTGGGAAAGGCACTTTACACGACTTTCCTCACTTCACTCAGGTGGAAATGAGTACATAGCTTCGGTTTGGGACGTCCCTCGGATAGGACGTTAAATGGAGGTCCCGTGTTTGGGAAAGCCACACCCCATGCACGTTAAAGAACCCACCGCACTTATCGAAAAGCGTAGGGGATCTTCCCGGTGTGAGTGGTTCAAAACCTTTCAGTCCGGTCTTACGCAGCTTGTACATGTACGCACATGTACAAAACTGGTGTGTTACGACTAAAGGCAGTTTACCGATTATGCGAAACAAACAAACAAACAAACAAAACAAACATCTGCACACAATGCATCTGTTCTATGTCTATTCTCTCTCTTTAGTCAGGTCTATGTGTTTGTTCGCTTGTCATCCCACCTGATGCTCCAGGCTGCAGCTGTGCACCTGGTGAAGCAGACGAACCTGCCGGCTGCACAGTCCACAACCTGCTGCAGCTGTGCACACCTGCCATCACCAACCAATTCCGACACCGAACTCATCTTGAGTGAGTGTCTCCCGGCCCCAACAAAATTTAGGAAACTAAGGGATCCGTCCCTGAGGTATGGCCAAAAATTTTCAACTGTGGGATCGGACAGACCTAGACCAAGGGCCTTGTCACTACTGAATTTAACTCCTGCTGTTGTTCTTTCCAGACCTAAACTGGTCTATGATACCTTGGACATTCTACAAGTCCTTAATGATACACAGAGTCCACTGTAGCTGTCCGGGGATTCTGGAACCTTATGAGACTCGACTCACACCTACAAAGTTGTCAACACCTCACATATGGACGACCCGGAAGCACATTTAGACCGCTCCCACATGCGCAACCCGGAAGCAAAATTATGTAGGTCACACACCGGACGTAACATAGCATAATTTTTACTGGCCAATCATAGATAATAGACAACATTGGTCAACAAAGGTGCACTTCTACAGGCCCATTACGCGATTCACACTGAAAGAAGCATGCTGCTGCTGATCACAACACACCAGCAGATGTTTCTGAAGCCGCACCTTTGTGGATGACCTTCCGGTCGCACATGACGTCATGTTACATCATCGGGGGTTCCCCCACATGGCAAACATGGCGATGGCGTAGTGCTGTTGCGTTGTGTTGGTCGTTTTTTCAGGCAGGTTGTCACTAAAGACAGGTGGATTCTGATGTTTCTACGTCATGTGGAGGATTCTACAAGGACTCCCCCGGGGTAAGGACTGTTCTTGTTATGTTTTAGTGGCGGTATAAGCCCTAATTCTCAAGTCTTAGCGAGCGTATTTTTTCGCCGGCAGGGTGCAGGTTGCATGATAATAATTTCACCGATTTTCTAACTAATCTAATGTTTTAAGGGCGAATACATGTTTTCTGTCAATGTCAACAGTACATAGCTGGTCTATACACGAAGTTTGTCGATAGTTAGTGCGTGAAATGTCTCTTTAAGGGTAGGTTTTCATTAAAAAAACAAATCTTTTTTATAAGACGTCCCCAACGCCCTTCAGCATAAGCACATCCATTCATCCACATCCTTCTTATTAAACCACCTCTTGCCAAATTTCTAGTAAGTCAATGTGTTCAGATTCTTTACCAGGATAACTTAACTTTGCCAAGTGGCAGTATATTGCCTAATTTATTGAGATGGAATTGTACAGGTTATGAATTACTTTCAGTAGTATACTGCAGTATTAACTAATGGGGGCCTGCATGGGGGGGTCCGGACAACGCTATACGCTAAATGTTGAGAGCTCTTGAGTACGCTTTACGATAAAGTCCAAGTGGCTACAACAGATTACGTAGGATTAAAACGGCAAAATGCGCCAATTACGCTCTACGTTGAATTAGAGCGGTCAGTCTACGCTCTGCGTAGAATTAAAACGGCCGATTACGCTCTACAGAAAAGGGCATGCCGGCCCCCACTAATTACTAAAGTTACTAGTATAGGCTACCCATATTGAGTCCCTTCACTGCTCAGGTCTTAACAGTGATACTCCCCATGTTTCAGTGTTGCGGCCGCAAATCAGCTCAGCTGCTGGTAACCATGGCAACAGGACGCTGTCGCCAGGGCTGTGGCTGGAGGAAGGAGAGCACGATGCGAGTTCAGCGCAGAGGTCACCACGGGTGACGACTGTGGGGACTCGGCCGTTTGTAGTCAGGTTAGGAACAGGAAAACTGATCTATGTCTATCAAGTATTGGTACACCCCAATGTACATAGATGCAATACTTAGTATACTCAAGGATAATGTCTTTGGTATACTATACTTTACTGGTATGCAACGTACATGTACTATACTTTTAGGCCAGGTTTACTGGTTAGGCGATAAATTTATGACAAAAAAACAAAACAAAAACATGCTAGCTATAGTCAGTCCCAGACCTACTGGTTTTTTACTGGTATCAAATACATGTATTCTTGTTGACTTCAAACATGTGGCAGTAATGCTGCACTAATGCCATTGCAAGTATGTGTAAGTACTAGGGCTGCGTACCTTTTCGTAACATCAGGTACAGGAACAGGTACAGCAACTAGGTACAGAGGTTTAGGTCCAGGTCCGGACCTGTACCTGTACCTGAAAATTCACGCGCGTCACATGTTCTACTGAAATTCTTCAATAATGACAGAAACATGAATAAAGTGTTGACAATTTGTCCTATATCTTTCAAAGAACATCAAATATAACCATGGATGATATAAATAGGTTTCCTATCTCACTTCTCACTAGTTCTCAGAGACGGAAACTAAGGTAAATCTCTTTATTTTAATGCTGGATGTTCATTTTCCGGGCAGGCCTCCTTGTTGTAGTGATCAAGTATGAATTTTTGTACTATTTTCCCGGTCTGTACTGGTCCACCTGGACACCTGCAGCACTAATGCTTCACTAATGCCGTTACTGTATTGCCATCCAACACATGTATCTTTGTTCTACAGACTTCATTCTGATGGAGCAGGCCATAACCATGGCAAGAAGGAAAAGGTCAAACAAGACTTCTGGTCCAACTTTGACACAAAGGACCTTCATAGTTTGTTTGATGTTATTGGCTGGGTAAGTCTCAATCTTCTTGATAATGGTCTTGATATTTCAGATTAAAATAAAAAATCCCAGAATCTATGATAAATATCAAATGACTGAAAGCTTACTGTTCACTTTGCATGGCTTCAATCATATCTTTAGCTTAATACATCAATCTTAATACATCAAAACAAGGTATGTGAATGCAATTGTCATGCAATTAGCATAGAATGCCTTCCTTCCCATTAAACAACTTTGGGATAACCTTGTGATTGTTTTCTGCAGGGTTCTGCCATTTTACTGGGGTTCCAGCTATGCCGCCATCTTTCCTGGGACGTGAGTGGAGATGGGGAGGGGCGGCGTCTGGTGCACACTCTCTACAAACTTGCCTTCTCCCTGCCCCAATCCCACCACTCCGTGCTGCCCAGTAATGACAGGAACTCCCTGCCCCCCTCCCATCCCTCTGAGCTGCCCAGTGCCCAGGACCAGGCAGAGGAGCAGACCAGGCATCGATCTGTAGCTGCAGCAGCAGTGAGTTATTTTTTTTTACATGTACCTACTGTCTTACCATCAGACAAGCACTTAATCTTGCCAATTTGTGTCAAGGTCACTTTATTGCTCCCTTTCTCAATGTCATTCCATACCATCTTACTCAGAACCAGTGAGTTCCTTTTTTACATGCATCTTTAAGACCTACTGTCTTAGGTAGCCTGACTAAATCTGCGCTCCTAGCGGCTGGCCCGGTATTACACCAGCCGCCCCCCAGAAGCTTGATGTCAAGTCCGCTAGGAGCGCAGATTTAGTCAGGCTACTGTCTTAGGTAATATCAGACAAGTGCTTGATCTTGCCAATTTGTGTCAAGGTCACTTCTTAGTTACCTTTCTGAAGGTCATTCCATACCATCTTATTTTATCTTATGCATAATTTGTCAGATGTAGTGTGTAATTGTGGACACCACAGTAGTACAGTATGTAAGTATATGCCCTAGTTTGTGCCATGGATAAAAGGCTGTAACTAAGACCCTGTTCATACCAGACTTATATTTAGCGGTTTCAACCGGTTTTTCAAAAACCCGGCTAAAACCCTTAGCGTTCATACCAGACTTTTGATAACCGGTTTTGTAAAAATCCTGTCCGGTGAATATGCAATTAATCGGCCATGACTGCAGTTTGAATAACCGTTCCTCCCGTTCTTCTGATTGTTGTCCTTGGCCTTCTTGCTTTTATGCCGTCTTCAGTTTGTTTTTTTACCTTAGTGCGGCACTGATCCTTTATCTTCAAGAAATCAGCCTCCTCCAACATTTTTGTCTCGGTAGAGCCCTCGCCCCCCCCCCTAGCTTTTTCGAATTTGGCGACTCCTGCTCTCCAAACCTAAGTATCAGGAGCGTCCCGTTTGCCGACCAGGTTGCGTTTGCTGATTCCATCGCAAAATGAAGAAAAAACGTGGAAAAACAGCGGAAACGAACTCAAGTTGGTCAAAACAACGCGCTCAAAAAAGCTTACAGGTCGCACACGGCCAGGATGCTGACCCCGTGACCCCGGAATTATGACGCAAAAACCGGTTCAATAAACCCTTAGCGTTCAGACCAGGTTTTTCGGTGGAAAAACCCCACAAAAACCCCTCAAAAACCACCTCCCGAGGTGGTTTTTCAAAATCGGATTTAAACCCCTAAAAAACCGATTAATTTGCGTTCACACCAGGTTAAATAAAAACCGGTTTTTGAAAAACCGGTTGAAACCGCTAAATATAAGTCTGGTATGAACAGGGTCTCAGTAGGATGTAAACAGTATGTAAATAGGCTGTAAACCCTACTCTGTTCCTCCCCAGCCACTCCCTGAGCACAAACTGCACCAAAATGAGCTCCTGCAGCAGGCTCTGGCTGAGTTTGAGACTGCTACAAAGTCGTGTTCAGCAGCGATTCAGCACGCCATAGGGCTGCAGCTGGCACGGGAGGGTGACATCAGACATGCTGTGGACATGTTCAGGTAACGTAATATTGACCTTGGAGTGACATTGTGATGCCAGCAACATGATTCATGGCCTTACAGTCCTGATACAATGTATCATGTTGTAGGATACCAATTAAGGCCACACCAATTTAATTTCTTGGTTAACGGATTTTTCTAGAAAAAGAATGGAGCGGGCGGGCGGAAAAAAAATAAAAATAAAAACAGGCCTAGGCATCCTATTATGGCCCAAAATGGTACAATAGGACTCTATTAGGAGCCATGAAGTCAACACACCGGGCTGGTTCAAAATTTAAACAATGAATGTTGATATTTTAATGATACCATTGCATTAAAAGATGGAATAGCTGTAACAACTAGGGTGAAAAGGACTGTTTTCTACTGCTCAGGGCAAAATATGAGCATTTTGCAGTTGATTCTGAATTTTTATTTTTATTTGCAAATCAGAAAAAAATGAAGCGGGCGAATCCGTTAACCAAGAAATTAAATTGGTGTGGCCTAAGGTACAAAATCAATTGAGAGTGTGTATGCTGATGTTTCATGTCCTCCACAGGATTGCAAGTGCTGCAGGAAGTGCGAAGGCCCAGTACAATCTGGGGGTTTGCTATGAGCAGGGTAGAGGGGTGGACAGAGACCTCAGTAAGGTGAGACAATTGCAAAACCTGCTTATGGTTTAACAGTTCTTATTGTATCTCTATTTGAAGTTAATCTATATTATGTTTACCGAAGGAAAACATATGGCTTTTGCTATGTTTCCTCTTCTTCTTCCGTTCCAAATACTGACCTCTGACCTGGACAGCGACCTGATTTGTTGACGTCTCTCACCATGGTAACTACTGTCGGGTTACATAATGTTGCTATTTTATGGTTGGAAAGATTGATACTCTTGTCTGACCATATATATGAATGTAGTTGAGTATTACTAAGAATTAACAGAGCAGACCATATGCGAAGGTAAACATTATGCATTTGCTTTGCAAATGTTACCTTTCTAGTGTTCTGTTTGTGCCTTGATGACTTGACGAATACTGTTGTTGCAGGCAGCTGAGCTGTACCAACAGTCTGCTGAGCAGGGCCATGGCCGGGCACAGTACAACCTGGCCACCCTGTACCTGCATGGGGGAGGGGGGCTGCAGCAGGACACACACAAGGCACTGAGTCTGCTGCAACAAGCAGCAGCACAGGGGGTGCAGCAGGTGAGTAGGGGGGGGGGTTCTTTCCTGGGTGTGTTCTGGTTGGCTGTCTTAAATGTACCTTGCCATAGGTTAAATGCTTTGCTAATCTAGGTGTGTTGTCTCATAGACCCAGTCTAACCTGGGTGTGTTGTCTCATAGACGCAGTATTATCTGGGTGTGTTGTCTCATAGACCCAGTCTAACCTGGGTGTGTTGTCTCATAGACCGTCTAACCTGGGTGTGTTGTCTCATAGACCCAGTCTAACCTGGGTGTGTTGTCTCATAGACCCAGTCTAACCTGGGTGTTGTCTCATAGACCCAGTCTAACCTGGGTGTGTTGTCTCATAGACCCAGTCTAACCTGGGTGTGTTGTCTCATAGACCCAGTCTTTCCTGGGTGTGTTGTCTCATAGACCCAGTATTATCTGGGTGTGTTGTCTCATAGACCCAGTCTAACCTGGGTGTGTTGTCTCATAGACCCAGTCTTACCTGGGTGTGTTGTCTCATAGACCCAGTCTAACCTGGGTGTGTTGTCTCATAGACCCAGTCTTACCTGGGTGTGTTGTCTCATAGACCCAGTCTAACCTGGGTGTGTTGTCTCATAGACCCAGTCTAACCTGGGTGTGTTGTCTCATAGACCCAGTCTTACCTGGGTGTATTGTCTCATAGACCCAGTCTAACCTGGATGTGTTGTCTCATAGACCCAGTCTAACCTGGGTGTGTCCTGTTGCAGGCCCAGTCCTACCTGGGTGTTTACTGGACCATGGAGCCCCACAGAGACATGTTCACAGCCAGCCAACACTTCACCAGTGCAGCACAGCAGAAGGTATGTTCTGATAGAAATTCATTGTTTCAGGAAGTAGCCACTCAATATTGGTACAGTTAGGCAAACCCATACTTCTATCATTGACATATTTCCCAAAAGCTTAACCCCCATGCTATGTTGCCAGTTCTGTTTGATTGCTTTAAACTGTAAATTTATCTATTTTTGGTGGCACTTAATTTCACATTAGGAGTGGAAAGGAGGTTTTCTGTGTTTTAAGTTTCCCTAGAAGAGTAGTAAAAAACATGTATTTGCAGCATCATGATTTCATGCTAAGAAGTCATCACAGCACAAACCATGCTCTCTTCCCTCCAGCACACAGGTTCTCAGTACCACCTGGGGGTTTGTTACGAGCGTGGCTGGGGCGTGGAGAGGGATCTAACCCGAGCTGTGGAGCTGTACATGTCTGCTGCTGCTGCCGGCCACACACAGGCAGCACACAACCTGGCTGTCCTGCAGGAAGGTAGGCATGTGGTGGGACCATAGAGAGCAACTATGGGGGGGGGGGGTGCAATTTGTCAGTTCTGCAGGGAGCAGAAACATCTATTGGTTCTTCAACAAAATTTATGTAGTCTATAGATGTCAAAGTAGTTATCCTCTTTAACACTTGACACTGTGCCATGAATATGACATTTAAAGCTGACCTAAAGGCATACTATCTTCAGTGGTCTCTGACAACCGTGTGACAGTGACTGATTTCATCGGGGAGAATTTTGTTTTCTTGTTCTGAATCTGTCTTTTGTATCTGCCTTTCAAATCTAGGGGCAGCAGGAGATGCAGGAATTGAAGGTGAATCACACAAAATAGTTTCTACACAAGACAGACCAGAAGCTTCCTTGCAAGCAATAGTCAAGGTCCCAGATATTCAGATATCTGAACACACACCATCATCAAAAGTGAGCCATAGGTGCCCGAAAGACCTGAAATCTGAGGAGTCTGTAGAAGTTCTACCCTGCAACCTGTCAGCTGTGTCTTTTCATGACCTTGGAGAGGACAGCAATGATGCTGTGTCTTTTTGTGACCTTGGAGAGGACAGCAATGATGACTTTGAAAAATCCAGCCATAGTGACCTTGGAAAGGACAGCCATCATGACCTTGGAAAACCTGGCTGTTATGACCTTGGGGAGAACAGCAATGACTTTGGGACAGCCAGTCATGGCAGGTTCCACATAGACAGGTACAGAGCCCGGCACATGGGTCAAACATCAGGTCTGAACAAAACTGTCCAACTAGCTGTGAGCTGAACTTATTAGAATATTATATACTTATTAAAATGTTTCTAGGATTACTAGGTAGCAGGATATAGAAACAAACTTCACAGAACCTTTATATGTAATGGACAGACTGTATATAACTTACATTAGATAGAGTAGAGTAGACTATGTAAATTTTGTAGGATGTACTATACCCTCAAGTTTTGTGAGAATAGCTTGTTGGAACCAGATGTTGGTCTGATGGTGACTTAGAGGTTAGAAGATAAAGAAATGGTGCTTCTTGCTGCCTACCTTTACAAGAACAGTATTATGGCAATTTGATGTAAGATTAGGCAATTGAAATTCACTTGCAATAACTCATAGCAATGGATTGACTTCAGTTTAATCAAGGTTTGTAGGATATTACAATAAGGAAGGGAGTTGTTTCATATACCGTTACCATTGCCAAAAAACAGTTACTCAAGCAACTGGATATGATTTTGAAAACGTCAGACGTTTCAGCTAGTATCCACTAGCTTTCGTCAGTGACTGAAAGACCCCACCCTCAACAGGGAAGGGGGGCTACGGGTCGATCTTTCCGGCACTTGAGATTTGGCACTCCCAGCCCCGAGGACAGACAACACTTTAAGCTCCTGTCCTGTATAACAGGAGCTTTCAGACTAATTTGCATCATCTTGTCTTGACTTGTCTGACTTTTGTTCCTTTTTCGACTTCCAAGAATTTGTCTTCACTTTATTTGCATATCAATCAACAGGTTGTGTATATAAACCTGCTTTCCCCTCTGGTCTCTCAGTCACTGACGAAAGCTAGTGGATACTAGCTGAAACGTCTGACGTTTTCAAAATCATATCCAGTTGCTTGAGTAACTGTTTTTTGGCATATCGTATTACCTGGATGTCTAACCTTCATCGACGTACCGTTACCATTGTTCATCTCATGTAAATAAACTTTTTCTACAATTTGTCTGCTATATTTCTATGCTTCCTGTATATTTATGTTTACCAAAGGAAAACATATTGTTTTTACTCAATTTCCTCTTCTTCTCCAAACACTAACCTCTGACCTGGCCAATGACATGATTTGTTGACGTCTGTCACCATGGTGACTGGTGTTGGGTTACATAATGTAAACTTCATGGTCTGCTCTGCTTCTGTCACCATATACTAGTAGTACATGTATGTGAATGTGTTTGAGTTAAAAATTAACAGGGCAGACTATGTCCGAAGGTAAACATTATGCATTTGCTTTGCAAATGTTACTTCTCTAGTTTTATGTTATATTTCACACATTTGTCTTTTTAACCCAAGGATCAATTTTGAAATGACTTTACATATATGAAATACAGATTCAAGGCAATCAAGCAGTCAAATATTTATAAAGTGGTCAAGTCTCTAGCTCATCAGCTGTCATAATTTTTTCTTTTTTAGACAGGTTAAGAAATGAGTATGGCCAAGATAGGAACCTAAAATTCAACTTGACAGGCACCATGACCTTGGCACTATGTACAGTATTTCAGCTGTCGTGACCTTGACACTATAACATCATGGCCGCCATTCCCTCGTCCAGGAACTTCTTGTAGATAGACATGAACTTGGCGACGAAGGCCTCCAAGTGGTAGATGGACTTGTTGCCGAGCTGCAGGCGATGTTCGTAGTACGCTGCCCACTGTGTAACCTCCGCTTTCAACTGTCCATCACAACTGTCAATCAACTCTGCCAACAGGCCCTGTTTCACAAAACAACACCACAGCTTGTTAATTTGTTGTTTCTCGGATTTTTTCAGAAAACATCAGGAGCGACAGGGCGAAATAAAAAAAAACAGGCCAAGGCACTCGATGATAGCCGGAAATGTTACAATATGAGCCATGAAGTGAACATACCAGGCTGGTTTATAATCAAAACAATAGATTTTGAACTTTTAATGAAACAAAATTGCATTGTTACATTGAAAAACTTAAGAACTAGGAAGAAAAGGACTTTTTTCAACCGTTTGGGCCAAAATACATCTTTCATTGAGCATTTTGCAGTTAATTTAGAACAGGAGATTTTTTTTTTTGCAAATCAAAAAAATGTACAGGGCGATAAGAGAAGCAACACATTAAATTGGTGTGGCCTAACAGTCTACTTCATGTACTAAAAAAAGATGTTTGCATTTATTTGTTAATCTGGTTAAACTACAACAACGCTTTGTGAAAAATCAAAATAAACAAACAAGCAAATAAACAAAATTGCATATGGTTACCTGTGTGCCAGTACAAAGAAATGAGTTTGAACTTAGCAGAAGAGGAAAAATGGCCTTCGGTGGTCATCTGAACATTTCAATACAAGCTGGATGTCTAAACATCATCAAGCTTCGGTTAGTTATGGAACCTGTATACTGAGGCCACACCGATTTAATTTCTTGGTTAACGGATTTTTCTAGAAAAATAATGGAGCGGGCGGGCGAAAAAAATAAAAACAGGCCTAGGCATCCTATTATGGCACAAAATGGTACGATAGGAGCCATGAAGTCAACACACCAGGCTGGTTCAAAATTTAAACAATCAAAAACACAATGAATTTTGAACTTTTAATTATAACATTGCATTGAAAGATGGAATAACTGTAACAACTAGGATGAAAAGGACTGTTTTCAACTGTTCAGGGCAAAATATGATCATTTTGCAGTTGATTCTGAATTTTTATTTTCAAATCAGAAAAAAATGAAGCGGGCTAGTCTGTTAACCAAGAAATTAAATTGGTGTGGCCTGAGAGACAATTCTAACTCACCCTTATGATGACATCAGGAGGGATGCAGTGGGTCAGCAGCTCATACAGACGACCTCTAACCTCCAGCAGTCTGCAAACAAGGTCAACCAACAGGTCAGACAAGGGGTACTCACAGGTCAAACCAGATCAGTCTACAGGAAGGATGTAAGACGAAAACCAATGTGAGAGACAAGTAAAGCCTTACCTCCGAGGGCTCTGCTGACTGACGATGGCATTAGCTGTTTCCCTCAGGAAGACTTCCCAGTCTGCCTCCACTACCTGCTGGTCAGGCCGAAATGGGTACCTGAAAAATAAATGAAGTGCAGGAATGCAAACTTTACCTGTAATCTGAACAATACTCCACAGGCTCCTCCCCTGAGGCGTCGCCAAAAATAGACTTCTAACAAAAGAGCACAGTACCACCTGTCCTATGCAGGCATCCTACAGTACTAAGCTTCAATTTTATAGGAGAAAAAGGGAGAAATATTTTCAAACAACCCACTGTTGTACTTTGCAGGCCTCCAGCATCAGGATGGCCCTGCGGAGGTTCCGGCTAGACTTGTCAGCGATTCGACTGGCCAGTTCAGGTGGCAGCGTCAGCCCCTCCTTCTTACACACCGTCTGAAGGATACTATTGATCTAAACAGAAATTAAGAAACATGTCAAGACATCTTCATCCAAAAAGAGAACCCATCTCAGAGTACTACTACTACTAGTACTACTACTACTGCCACTGCTACTACTGCTGCTACTACTATTACTGCTACTACTACTACTACTACTGCAACTACTACTGCCACTGCTACTACTGTTGCTACTACTGCCACTGCTACTACTACTACTACTACTACTGCTACTACTACTGCTACTACTACTACTACTGCCACTGCTACTACTGTTGCTACTACTATTACTGCTACTACTACTACTACTGCTGCTACTACTACTACTGCCACTGCTACTACTGTTGCTACTAATATTACTGCTACTACTACTACTACTACTACTACTGCTACTACTACTACTACTGCTAGAAGAGTAATTCACACAGATTTCACATGGTACATGTGACCTATTGGCACAGGGACTTACCTGTTCGTGTGACGGTGCCGGGACTCGAACCCCGAGACACCTGCTCCTGATGGCGGGAATGACTTTACTGGTGGACTCACAGCAGAGGATAAGCCGGCAGGTCGTCACATACTTCTCCATGGTGCGCCGCAATGCATGCTGGGCATCCTTTGTCAGCCTGTCCACCTCTGTCAGGAGAACCACTGAAAACATAAAATGGCTGCTGTCAGGGAGTGTTCAATTTTAAAATGGGAGGGGGGGTCTTGTGCATACATGTGCGAGTAAGGTAATTTCTTGGTTAACGGATTCGCCCGCTTCAGTTTTTTCTGATTTGCAAATATATATAAAAATTCAGAATCAACTGCAAAATGCTCATATTTTGCCCTGAACAGTTGAAAACAGTCCTTTTCATCCTAGCTGTTACAGTTATTCCATCTTTCAATGCAATGGTATCATTAAAAGTTAAAAATTCATTGTTTAAATTTTGAACCAGTCTGGTGTGTTGACTTCATGGCTCCTATCGTACCATTTTGGGCCATAATAGGATGCCTAGGCCTGTTTTTATTTATTTATTTTTTTTTGCCCGCCCGCTCCATTATTTTTCTAGAAAAATCCGTTAACCAAGAAATCAAATTGGTGTGGCCTAAAGGCTATGGAAAAATTTTGGGCTACAGTATCTTCAACTTCTTCTGTGCATGGGTGTTTACTAACCTTTGAACTCTCGCTGTGTTGAGGAGTCGAGCTGCTGTGCCTGGGCCACCATTTTGATGAGCTCTTGAACAACAACTCGGTCCTGTACACCTGCATCGCTGTTACAAGGAGCAAGTGAAAACAACAACAATAGTAAATAACTCAATTAACATAAAACAGCTCAGTTCATTTGTCAGTGAAAACTTCAGCATTCACCAATTTCACACTTCCCATAATGCCTAGTAACGGTCACGGATATGACCTATGACTCCCCCCCCTTCGACAAACTGGTCAACTATTGTTTTGAATTATTTCTCTAGTATAAAGCGCGTGCCATAATTGCATTTTTGTTAGAATTAGAGAAAATGACGTACCTTCTATCGTTATAATATATGCATTGAGGTCCTCCATTATACACGTAACGTTAATGCGACTGTGCGAGTAGGAGAGTCTTCGGTAGAACGATAGAAGGTACATCATTTTCGTTAATTCCAACAAAAATGCAATTATGGCATGCGCTTTATACTAGGCAGATAATTCAAAACAATAGTTGACCAGTTTATCGATAGAACTTGTTGGAAATATTACATCGAGGAAGGGGGAAGGGGGGTGGTCTTACGTCATATCCGTGACTTTTACTAGGCATTATGGGAAGTGTGAAATTGGTGAATGTCAGAATTAGTTTTCCCTTTAGCATCTTTATTAAAGTTCATATTTGAAAACTAACAGATGAGCCAAAAGAATCTTACCTTGGACACACTTCTATGTGGTAATTACTCGCGATTGTGGTGATTTCAATCTTCTTCTTGGAGGGGGTCTGCAGTCAGAAACAAAAGTGTTAATTGGGGGTTGGAAGGTTCTTAATTTGCAGAAGACATAGATAGTAATCCCACTCTTTACCAGTCCAAAATTGGCAGTTTACTGGTCATGATCATCCTTAGCTGGGAAGTTGAAAAAAGAAATTTGAAGTCTACAATTGCAAAATTTTTTCTTTCTTTTCTAATTCTAAAGTACTTCCCCACTCCATAGCCTGGAAATTCAGTTGCTATGAAGCTGTAGAGTTTTGTGTACTGTTTATCCTCACTATGAAGTTGTTTTTTTTTTTGTTCTCACAGTGAAGTTGTGATGTTTGTTTGTTTGTTTTTACAGTGAAGTTGTTGTGTTTGATTGTTTACATGTTCTCACCGTGAAGTTGTGGTGTTCGATCCTGAGTTTCTCCACCCCGGCACCGTACAGCTCTCTCAGCAGACAGGTGATCCGCGTCTTCTTACCTGCACCTGACGGACCGAAGACAAGCAGGTGGGGGAAGTCACCATTCTGCACCTGCAGGAGTCAGGTCAAAGGTCAGGTGTCATGGGAGTCTCAAAAATAAGGTTCAAAGTTCAAGTTCAAAGTTGAAAACTGTTATCAAACATTGAAGCACAGATGAGTGGAATTTGTACAGCCTTGTCTCGTATGACAGGTTTGCCATGGCAAATTTGCTACATCCTAGTTTGTGGATGCATGTTTCTTTTTTTCCCCGCACGGTAAGCGAGTGGAACCAACTGCCGGGCCCAGTGGTGGGGGCACCGACAGCAGAGGCTTTTAAGGCCAGGGTAGAAGCCGCCCTGCCTTAACCCGTGTACCGCTTCCCCCCTCAGTGATACCCCGTACAGGGGTCGTTCGAGGGTACTTAAGAAGAAGAAGCATGTGTGGTGAAGTTCAATTTATTTTGATTGCTGTCTTGCAAAAGAAAAGGTTGTCAATGCTGTCATCTCCTCATGGAAAATCAACAAACAAATCACATGACGTATTTGACTATGCACATCAACTGGTTTATGGAAATTTTATCACAAATATAGGATTCTGAATGATAATTTGGCGGTTTTTGCCACTATGAGTGTTCGAATAACGAGTTCCAAATTATTTTCCCCGGACTTGTATCTAGGAAATGCATGTGGTGGGGAGGTATAATTATTATTAGTATTACTCAGTTGAGGAACATCGAGCAACTATAGCATAGGACCAAATTATATGCAGACCTGCCCCCCTCCCCCATCTCACTAACCCCCTCCCCGAACCCACCAGTCTTTTGAGCTGCGCCGCCTGCTCTGTGTGGTAGCTCAGCTTGCTCAGGGAAGTCGGTCGGTACTTGTCCACCCACAGACTCATCCTGACGACGAGACGTTCGTGTTCACAGCCAATGTCCTGGCTTTTAACTCAACAAAAGTGAAACGGTGATAGTTTTTCTGCTACGATTTTCGCGGGAACAAAGCTGCGTCTGCGCACAAAGTCGAAATGCGTTCAACCATCCAAAAGCGCCCTCTGGCGATCCCGTGCTGTACTGGTGAAGCACCGCAAGAGTGCGCTTTTCTTTCTCTCAATCACATCGGAGTTTTATTTGCCAGTCAGAAGACACCTGTAGTTTTAAAAGCAGATGGAACTAATATTATCATGTCAAATTAAGTCCAGTTCCGAAGCTACGAGGAAAGTTTCATGCAAAGACTAATCAAATGTTACTTACGTTACAGTGCGTAAAGCTAAGCAATAAAAGTAATATCAATGTCCTTGCTATTATAAATATGGAGCTGATGTTTTGTTCCGTTTTAGTGGGTATAAGGTTAACACTCTATCTTCAAGACAGCTATAAGAGGATGTGTTTCAGACAATTTATCATTTTTGGCATCAAAATACAAACACTTGAAACAGGGATTGCATAAGCTAGACGTGAGGTGAAAGTTCAACAGGTTACATTTGGCTGCGTTCCTGCAGAAAATGGCGGCGGAGTCCGAAGTGGGCGGAACAGGAGCGGGGGAAACCCTGCCGTCTGTCGGCGACCCGGAGTTGGACGGGCTCGTACGGCAGTGGATGGGGTGGGACAAGGTGAGTAGCAACTTGTCTGCGCGGCAGGGGAGCCAAGCTGCCACCTGAAGCGACTGTCAGCCCCAAATTCGCGGTCGTTTTCATCCCCACTGTCAGCTTAAATTTAGATCCTTTGAGGGCAGGAGGTGACGTTTTTTTCTGACGGCCCCGTTTTCGGACTACATCGGCACGCAGTTGGTCCGATCAAGGGAAGGTCATGAGCACAAATGACTGCATGATCCGAACACTAGTTGCCGTGCCTGCCACTAGCTAGACTGAAGAGTAAAGGGCCTACCACCACATGCGGTCACAGTAATTAAGACCACTTGTTAAACATTAAACGTTATCCATCAATCATTCAATTTGTCAACCTGTCTTGATTAGCGTTACCTTTATATAGCCAGATGGCATTGGCTAATAGGGACCCCCCATTCGATGTCAATTTATGAGGTAATAGACAGTCAATAATTCTTAAATGTTTGGTATTCTAACAACCGTAGATTTGCCAAAAAACAGTTACTCAAGCAACTGGATATGATTTTGAAAACGTCAGACGTTTCAGCTAGTATCCACTAGCTTTCGTCAGTGACTGAGAGACCAGAGGGGAAAGCAGGTTTATAAGTACAACCTGTTGATTGATATGCAAATAAAGTGAAGACAAATTTTTGGAAGTCGAAAAAGGAACAAAAGTCAGACAAGTCAAGACAAAATGATGCAAATTAGTCTGAAAGCTCCTGTTATACAGCTCCTGTTATCTTATAAACCTGCTTTCCCCTCTGGTCTCTCAGTCACTGACGAAAGCTAGTGGATACTAGCTGAAACGTCTGACGTTTTCAAAATCATATCCAGTTGCTTGAGTAACTGTTTTTTGGCGTATTGTATTACCTGGATGTCTAACCTTCATCGACGTAACCGTAGATTTGTCCCCACCATTTGGTCCAAGCATTTGTGTCTGACTCAGCTTTTTGTGTTGAAGAATTCTGTTAAGTGTTTAGTTGGGCAGCCTAGTGTCTATAACTTAACTGTCTACTGACTGTGACTTCAAATAAATTGTTTATTGCAAATTCTTGCCCGAGGGCTAATTGCAGGAACAGAAGAAACATGTGGTATAAAAACAGACAATTAGTACACATACAACTACTGATAACTACATCGTTTGGACCTATTAAAGGAGAGATTGGACTGTATCTGTATCGGTATAGCCGGTATAACGCCCTTCGGTGTAACACGTACACCAGCTTTGTAGGCATATCACACTGAACGGCTTGTTACACTCAATCTTTGCACATTTGAGTGCAGGAGTTGTTTAAAGCTAAATTCTAGTGATGATGCCCCAACTGTGACTGTAACGGTTACATGATAGTTTTGTGCAGTTGAACATCTGTAAAGCCCACCAACACAAACTTTTCCACCATAGACTGAGGCTACCCGAGGGGTTCTGAAGCAGCTGGTCCTTGACAAGAATGTGGAAGAAATACGAAGCAGGCTCGGCCAGCGAATGGCATTTGGAACTGCAGGTAAGGCTTTTAAGGGTTTACCATGTTTGAAACTTATATTGATGAAAATCAAAACTTTCGTCAAGGTGTTTTTGTTTACTTCATTTTGTTTTTGTTTACTTCTCATGTGGAATTTTTCTGGATCTGTTTTCCAGGTCTGCGGTCCAGGATGGGAATGGGTTTTTCCCAGATGAATGACCTCACCATTATACAAACAGCACAGGTCAGACTGAATGTAACTAGTAGCGTATATGTTACTTAGGCCACACCAATTAATTTCTTGGTTAACGGATTTTTCTAGAAAAATTATGGAGCGGGCAGGCGAAAAAACATAAAAATAAAAACAGACCTAGGCATCCTATTATGGCCCAAAATGGTACGATAGGAGCCATGAAGTCAACACACCAGGCTGGTTCAAAATTTAAACAATGAATTTTGAACTTTTAATGATACAATTGCATTGAAAGATGGAATAACTGTAACAACTAGGATGAAAAGGACTGTTTTTCAACTGTTCAGGGCAAAATATGAGCATTTTTGCAGTTGATTTTTGAATTTTTATTTTTATTTGCAAATCAAAAAAAATGAAGCGGGCGAATCCGTTAACCAAGAAATTAAATTGGTGTGGCCTTAGTGGATGATATACACAGATGCTACATGCATATGTATGTAGACATGAGCTATATGCAAAGGTGTGTGAACTTAAGGTATGCATACATGTCTGAAAATTTGCTCTATGTACATCTGTATGTATCAACCTGCTATATGTATTACACAGCATACATATAGAAGGTTATGTTAACTATAACTACTTGAATGTATGTTTGGGATGACAGTTAACTCTTACTTAGTGCTTTCAAACAACCATTTCTGTAAATTCCAGGGTTTTCTGCGATACCTGCAGAAGACGTTTCCTGATTTGCAGAAAACAGGGATTGTCATTGGTTTTGACAGTCGACACAACAGCCAAAGGTTCGTGCCTGTTGATGTTTTATTATCATTGTAGCAATGTCCATCAAATAAGGTAAATCAGTACATTGAGTGCATGTAATGTATATTCCAAGTTAGGAAAGAACATATGAACTAGAAAGGCTGACATTTGCTTGGGAGCAAATACAGCATATTTCAGTCCAATATTGAATGTGTGGGTCATTGCGCACGACGTACGTGCAACATGACCCCAGGTAACCCGCAATGGAGCACGTGTTCGATAGCCAACGATAGATGGAATGGGCCATTCTTTAGATGGAACATGGAACAAGTATAGCACTTTTGGCCCTTTTTTGGCTGAAAATAGCCACTAAAGTCCCCAAAATGAGTCATTTGGAAGTGGTGTATGTCAAATATGTGACTGCTATTCTGTAGACACATGTTCAAGGTATTCTTATGCCGAATTTCAGATCATTTGGTTGTAATACCGGGGCTCAGGATCCAAAAATCCATTTTTTGTCGAAAAATGCCAAAAAAAACCTTCATAAAAATTTTTCAAAGGCATGTATCAAGAAATTGACAAAAACGCCTGGGGGTATTGGCCCACTTTACCTCCAAATTTCAGGTCATTTGGCTAAAAAATGACAGAGATGAATCCCTTTGACTGTGTGGCAGAAGAAGGAGGAGAAGAAACATGAGAGAACACAATATATTTCATCCATACCATATCATTATGGTATGGACTGAAATATAATTACCCATAGAGTTGGTCTTGAATACTGACTGTTCCTCTCAGGTTTGCCCAGCTGACTGCAGGGATTTTCTTGCACGCTGAGGTTCCAGTCTTTCTTTTCTCCAAGATCTGTCCAACTCCCTATGTGGTAAGAAATCTGTTCCTAAGATCTACAGTTGCTGTTGAGGTTGTCCTATGTGTGTTGAGGTTGTCCAATGTGTGTTTAGGTTGTCCCATGTGTGCTGATGTTGTCCCATGTGTGTTGAGGATGTCCCATGTGTGCTGAGGTTGTCCCATGTGTGTTGAGGTTGTCCCATGTGTGATGAGGTTGCCCCATGTGTAGTTGAGGATATCCCCATGTGTATTGAGGATGTCCCCATGTGTATTGAGGATGTCCCCATGTGTGTTGAGGTTGTCCCATGTGTATTGAGGATGTCCCCATGTGTGTTGAGGTTGTCTCATGTGTGTTGAGGTTGTCCCATGTGTATTGAGGATGTCCCCATGTGTGTTGAGGTTGTCTCATGTGTGTTGAGGTTGTCCCATGTGTATTGAGGCTGTCCCATGTGTATTGAGGGTGTCCCATGTGTATTGAGGCTGTCCCATGTGTATTGAGGTTGTCTCATGTGTGTTGAGGTTGTCCCATGTGTATTGAGGCTGTCCATGTGTATTGAGGTGTCCATGTGTATTGAGGCTGTCCATGTGTATTGAGGTTGTCCATGTGTATTGAGGATGTCTCATGTGTTCTGAGGCTGTCCCACGTGTGTTGAGGTTGTCCCATGTGTATTGAGAATGTCCCCATGTGTATTGAGGTTGTCCCATGAGTGTAACAATTGTTTATATATCCCTATGTGGTAAGAAATCTGTTCCTAAGATCTACAGTTGCTGTTGAGGTTGTCCTATGTGTGTTGAGTTGTCCAATGTGTGTTTAGGTTGTCCCATGTGTGCTGATGTTGTCCCATGTGTGTTGAGGATGTCCCATGTGTGCTGAGGTTGTCCCATGTGTGTTGAGGTTGTCCCATGTGTGTTGAGGTTGTCCCATGTGTGTTGAGGTTGTCCCATGTGTGATGAGGTTGTCCCATGTGTGCTGATGTTGTCCCATGTGTGCTGATGTTGTCCCATGTGTGATGAGGTTGCCCCATGTGTATTGAGGATATCCCCATGTGTATTGAGGATGTCCCCATGTGTATTGAGGATGTCCCCATGTGTGTTGAGGTTGTCCCATGTGTATTGAGGATGTCCCCATGTGTGTTGAGGTTGTCCCATGTGTATTGAGGATGTCCCCATGTGTGTTGAAGTTGTCCCATGTGTATTGAGGATGTCCCCATGTGTATTGAGGATGTCCCCATGTGTGTTGAGGTTGTCCCATGTGTATTGAGGATGTCCCCATGTGTGTTGAGGTTGTCTCATGTGTGTTGAGGTTGTCCCATGTGTATTGAGGCTGTCCCATGTGTATTGAGGGTGTCCCATGTGTATTGAGGCTGTCCCATGTGTATTGAGGTTGTCTCATGTGTGTTGAGGTTGTCCCATGTGTATTGAGGTTGTCCCATGTGTGTTGAGGTTGTCCCATGTGTATTGAGGTTGTCCCATGTGTATTGAGGATGTCTCATGTGTTCTGAGGCTGTCCCACGTGTGTTGAGGTTGTCCCATGTGTATTGAGAATGTCCCCATGTGTATTGAGGTTGTCCCATGAGTGTAACAATTGTTTATATATTTCTTCAGTATAATAAGTTTTGACACAAATGTGCTATTCTGTGTTGTAGCCTTACAGTGTTCTCCATCTTGGATGTTCTGCTGGCGTCATGGTTACAGCCTCGCACAACCCGAAGGAGGACAACGGATACAAGGTTTACTGGAACAACGGGTCACAGGTATGTACAGATCTACACCATTACACCAGCCTTGTTATGTTTACCTTCACAGAAGGAAAGCATATTCTTTTTGCTCAGTTTCTTCCTCCTCTTCCTCTCCAACAAATAAGGTCAATGACCTGAACCAGAGGTCTGTCACCATGGTAACTAGTGTTGGGTTACATCATGTTGCAGTTTTATAGCAGGAGGGATTTAGACTCCTGTCTGACCATATATATGAATGTATTTGAGTAACAATTAACTGAGCAAACCATATGTAAAGGTAAACATTATGCATTTGCAATTGTTACCTTTTTAGTTTCTAATGTATACTTTTGCACAAGGTTTTTTTCATGTACAGATCTGTATTTACACAAGCACTGTTTCTTCTCAGATCACCTCCCCCCATGACAAGGGCATCGCCAGTTCCATCAGTGCCAACCTGGAGCCCTGGCAGACATCCTGGGACGTGTCTGTCTGTGAGCAGAGTCCGCTGTGTCAGGACCCTATGGACAGGATCACCAAGGCTTATTATCAGGACCTACAGAACTACTGTTGCCATAGGTAACCAACCAGTAGAACTACAGTTGCCATAGGTAACCATCAAACAGAACTACTGTTGCCATTGGTAACCATCAAACAAAACTACTGTTGCCATAGATAATCATCAGACAGAACTATATATACTGTTGCCATAGGTAACCAACAAACAGAACTGCTATTGCCGTAGGTAACCAATAAACAGAACTGCTGTTGCCATAGGTAACAAACAGGACTACTGTTGCCATTGGTAACCTACAACCAGAACTACTTTTGCCATTGGTAACCAACAAACAGAACTACTGTTGCCATAGGTAACCAACAAACAGAACTACTGTTGCCATAGGTAACCAACAAACAGGACTACTGTTGCCATTGGTAACCAAGAAATAGAACTATTGTTTCCATAGATAACCAACAAACAGGACTACTGTTACCATAGGTAACCAACAAACAGAACTGCTATTGCCATAGGTAACCAACAAACAGAACTGCTGTTGCCATAAAAACAAACAGGACTACCAGGGTACTGTTACACCAAAAAGATAGCTGTATCTAAGCGACTTGGTTTCCTTTGCAGGGAAAACAACCAGCAGACAAGTGTGAAGTTCACATACACAGCCATGCACGGGGTGGGGTACCAGTTTGAAGTTCAGGCCTTCCAGGCCTTCAGTCTACCCAGCTTCATACCTGTGGAGGAACAGGTCAGTTCACGGGTCAAAGGACATGTTACGTCATAGTTTATAGGGACAGGTCAATTCATAGGTCACAGGACACAGTTTATATGGACAGGTCAGTTCATAGGTCACAGGGTGCGTTGTCATAGTTTACAGTTACAGGACAGGTCAGTTCATAGGTCACAGGGTGTGTTGTCATAGTTTACAGTTACAGGACAGGTCAGTTCATAGGTCACAGGACACATGTCATAGTTTACAGGGACAGGTCAGTTCATAGGTCACAGGACACATGTCATAGTTTACAGGGACAGGTCAGTTCATAGGTCACAGGACACAATGTCATAGTTTACAAGGACAGGTCAGTTCATAGGTCACAGGACACAATGTCATAGTTTATATGGACAGGTCAGTTCATATGTCACAGGAAACAATATGTCATAGTTTATAGGGACAGCTCAGACCATAGGTCACAGGACACAATATGTCATAGTTTATAGGGACAGCTCAGACCATAGGTCACAGGACACAATATGTCATAGTTTATAGGGACAGCTCAGACCATAGGTCACAGGACACAATATGTCATTATGATAGTTTATAGGGACAGGTCAGTTCATAGGTCACAGGTCATGTTATGTCATAGTTTACAGGGAAAGGTCAGTTCATAGGTCACAAGAACAGGTCACTCTATAGATCTTAGGAACAAGCCCAGTCTAAGTCACAGAACAGGTGAGGTTATAGAACATGTGTCAGGTCATGATATGAGAAAAATACATTTCAATAAAATTGACAACAGCTATAATCCTGGATGTTTCTGTTCCAGATAAAACCAGACCCTGAGTTCCCAACTGTTAAGTTTCCTAACCCTGAGGAGGGCAAAAGTGCACTGGTAAGTTCAGAGATAGGAACTATGTTAGGCCACACCGATTTAATTTTATGGATGACATCCTCTGAAGACCCCCAAACTAGTGCGCGCGGGCGAATAAAAAAAAAATTCCGGCCAAAAATAAAAATGCTACTGAACCACAGGAAGAAGAATACAAAGCTGGTATTGTGAATTCCCGACAGTACATAGTGACGTAAACGACAAGTTAAGCCGGCACATGCTGGCTTTTTGTGGCATTTATAAATCTGTACTATACTTATGTACTGAGTTCTTGAGTCGTGGAGCTTCGAATTCGATAGCCTGGGTGCTCGGCTCCGTTTTGTCGCTGACTAGCATGGACTATCCAGGCCTAGAGCCAGGCCAGAGCCTCGGTGGAGGTGATCTTTTTTTTTTTTTTTTTGAGGGCGACAGGCGAAAATCAATGCGCGCGTGGATGTCATCCATAAAATTAAGTCGGTGTGGCCTTATTGTGATGTTTTTTGTTTGCTTGTTGTATATATAGGATGCTATGTTGTTTGTTGTTTGTCTCTGAGAACCTGCTATTGTAAGTTTGTAGGTCCTGGTGGTTATGTTTGCTGTTTGTAAGACCTAACATTGTTTGTTTGTTGTTGTTGATGTCTGCAGGACCTTGCTATGCAGACTGCGGAGAAACATGGTAGTTCTGTGATCCTGGCCAATGACCCTGATGCTGACAGGCTGGCTGTGGCTGAGAGACAAAAGTAAGGAAACATTTTACTTTGCATTCCATGTTTAACCTTCAGCCTGCTATTTAAGGTAGCCTTTTGGCAGCAGGTAGAAGGTTAAGGGCAACTCTAATACCAGCAAAAATGGAACAAAGCTTCAAAATTAATGTAAGGCCACACCAATTTGATTTGTTGGTTCTCTGATTTTTTCAGAAAAAATATAAAGGGCAAAAAAAAAAAAGATAAAAACATGCTATCATGATAGGCGGCACGAAGTCAACGTACCAGGGTGGTTTATAATTCAAACAATGAATTTCAAACTTTTAATCAAACCACTCCATTGATTGATGGACAAATTGTAACAACTCTGAAGAGAAGGGACTTCCTTTAACTGTTGGGGGCCAAAATATGGAATAAGATATAAGCAGTTTGGAGTTGATTCAGAGCCTGAATTTTTTTTTTTTTTTTGCAAATCAGAAAAAAACGAAACGGGTGAATCCGTGAAACAACAAATTTAATTGGTCCGGCCTAAGAATGCTTGTATATGTAACAGAAGCTAACAGTTGATGTTTATGTGAAGAAAGCTTTCTTTTTGCTTTTTCAGTGGTTCCTGGAAGGTTTTTACGGGGAATGAGCTTGGTGCTCTCCTGGGCTGGTGGGCGTGGCAGTGCTGGAGACAGAAGAACCCAGACAAAGGTAACATCTTGTTTTGGAAATGTCTGGCCCTTACAGTTCATCCCTTGTGTGTTTTGTACAGTGTGGTAGCTTATGATATGTGCCAAAATATGTCTAGTAAGAACTACAATTGTACCTGTTTTCACTATTATCATACCGATGTTCCACAATGGGTGGTGTGAGAGTACAAACTACAAAGTTAATACATCATGGCTTTATTAATATTATTCCAGATACCAAAGATGTATGGATGATAGCCAGCACTGTATCATCTAAGATTCTCAGGGCCATCGCAATCAAAGAATCCTTCAACTTTGAGGTAAAATGCTTCTGTAAGATGTAAATTTTGAAGTGTTTGCAGTGGTTTTATGTTAATGCCAGAACTTTAATACACTGACAGTAACAATGTGCACATAGTATTGATGCTGAAGTATAGCATTGTTGCAATCATGAACTTAATTAAATGGGGTCTCACTCTGATGTTTGTCTTAATGTCTCACACTGATGTTCTTGTCTTTCAGGAAACACTTACTGGCTTTAAGTGGATGGGTAACAAAGCTGATGAGTTGATGAAGAAGGGACAGACTGTACTGCTTGCTTTTGAAGAGGCCATAGGTCAGTAAAATTTCCATGGTAGCAACAAGAGGCATAATTTATTCAGTTTTCTGTGTTAGTATCTATTACCATACTGTATAGTGTATGTACTGGTGTCAGTTAATGCCATAAATATGTTGCTGCAGGGTTTGTGTAAAATCTGTATTATTGCAGGGTTTATGTACTGCCATGTTACTGTAGTGTTTGTATACTTCACTATTACTGCAAGGTTTATGTACTGACATGTTACTGCAGCATTTGTGTACTTCTGTATTACTGCAGGGTTATGTACTGCCATGTTATTGTAGCATTTGTGTACTTCGGTATTACTGCAGGGTTCATGTACTACTTTGTTACTGCAGGGTTTATGTACTGACATGTTACTGCAGCATTTGTGTACTTCTGTATTACTGCAGGGTTATGTACTGCCATGTGACTGCAGCTATTGTGTACTTCTACTGCAGGGTTTATATACCACTTTGTTTCTGCAGGGTTTATGTATGGCACTAATGTGCTGGATAAGGATGGGATCAGTGCGTCTGTGGTGATGGCAGAGATGACATGTTGGCTGGCCAGTCAGAAGCTCAGCCTCACACAGCAACTCAACAGGATCTTTGAAACGTAAGCACTGCAATCTTTAGGGTCTTTATTACCTCCGGGGGAGGAGACATCCTTCTGCGGAAGGGTTTTGTGAGAGATTTAGATTTTCATGTTCGCAGCTGTTTCTCGCGGTTGGGTGGACAGATTCTTTTGAGACTCGGAATATGTTTTGCTGTTGGGCTGCAGATGATGCACGTTCTTTTGTTTTTTATTGTATGTTTTCGGGCGTGAAAATGGTGCCTTTTGGTGGCCCGAAAACACCCCTTTGAGCTTGAAAGTGGTCGCGACCGTTGACCTTTGGCATGTTTAAGCTATTCTCGGCCTGGTCCTTGTATATGACCCCTCACACTGAGGGGTGTCCGGTCTCGATAAATTCTTTGTTTAAAACCCTATCATTATATAGAAATATACTGTAAAGCCCGGAGGTGTAAAATCTCAGATTTTACTTGTTTTGTAGCTATGATTATGAAATGTCTGTCATCATTATGTCTGCACTTAATAATCCTTTTATCATTTCTGTAGCTATGGTTACCACACATCAGAGAATTCTTACTACATCTGCCACGACCCACCGACCATTACAAAAATGTTTGACAGGATGAGAAACTGGGATGGCAAAACTGGCCAGGTGAGCTCCAATTCATGATACTCTGAATATATATTTCTCTACTATACTACACAATCATTGCAACTGCAAACTTAAGACTACTTTTCCCTTCTACTGCAAAATGAAGTCCAAAGAAATGAATGAATTTACAGTATATCTTAGTCTGACAATGTTTGTCTTTCTTCTTCACCAAGCTTGTATATTCTGATCCAGTACCAGGTTGGTATGTAATACTTTTCTGATTGAGTTGAATTTGTGTGTTTCCAGTACCCCAGTACTTTGGGCCCATATAAAATCAAGAACATACGAGATTTGACAGCAGGGTATGACAACAGCAAGCCAGATAACAAACCTGTAAGTATGGACGTACACATGTACCTCTGTTACTTAATTTACAATGATGCCCAACACAACTGCTGTTTCTAGAAGTGTCCATTTGTGTGTTTCCAAAAAAAAATCTGGTAAAAGATGGTAGAGGTGATGCTGTGCATCATATAGGATTGAAGCTATAGGTAGACATTTTGTACTTCAAGTTCTCAAGCTGATTTTGATTCTATCACAGGTGCTTCCCACCAGCAAGGCGAGTCAGATGATCACCTTCAGCTTTGAAAATGGCTGTGTGGCGACTTTGAGAACAAGTGGGACGGAGCCCAAGATCAAATACTACACAGAGATGTGCCTGCCGCCTGGCACTGGAGGGTCAGTTGTCCTTCACTCCAGAATTCAGCACCAAGGACAGGGCCGGGTGAACCTGGTGCTGTCTACAGCACCAAGGACAGGGTCAGGTCAACCTGGTGCTGGCTACAGCACCAGGGACAGGGCCAGGTCAACCTGGTGCTGTCTTCAGCACCAAGGATAGGGCCAGGTCAACCTGGTGCTGTCTACAGCACCAAGGATAGGGCCAGGTCTGCTGGTGCTGTCTTCAGCACCAAGGACAGGGCCAGGTCAACCTGGTGCTGTCTTCAGCACCAAGGATAGGGCCAGGTCAACCTGGTGCTGTCTACAGCACCACAGCTCCAATGATAGGGTCAGGTCAACCTGGTGCTGTCTTCAGCACCAAGGACAGGGCCAGGTCAACCTGGTGCTGTCTTCAGCACCAAGGACAGGGCCAGGTCAACCTGGTGATGTCTTACTAATGTGTTGTTTTCGTGCTGTTTATATCTTGTTTCTAAGATGTTTCTTTATTGTTATAGTTTGCACTGTGCTGTTGACGTGTTGCTTGTATGCTATTGCTGTGTTGTTTTAGGTGCTGTTGCTGTTTCGTTTCATTGCTGTTTTAACAGTTTCGATGTGTTCTGCACTGTTGGTATTTCTAGGTTGTTTCTGTTCCACTGTGGTGTTTCCATGCTGGCTTAATATATTCTGTGCTGTTTCCATACTGTTAACGTATTGTTTCTGTGCTGTTTTCATGCTGTTAATATACCCAGTGGGTATGTGTGTACAATAAAGGTCTTCATTCATTCATTCATTCTTTCATTCATTCATTCATTCATTCATTCACTCTCTCACTCACTCACTCACTTACTCACTCACTCATTCATTCAATATATTGTTTCTGTGCTGTTTCCATGCTGTTGACATACTGTTTCTGTGATGTTTCAGGTCTCCTGAGTCGGTTGCAGCAGAGCTCCATGCCATGGTGGAGACCATGGTCAAGGAACTCCTGCAGCCAGAAGTGAACGGGCTGATCGCCAGAAGTGGTTAACAAGTCTAACCTGTAGGGGTAAAGATAGCTAGCTGTCATCAGCCCAAAAAAAAAAAAAACTGCCAAGCCCAACCGACTTCTTATCTTAGTGGTTTCTACATAAAATTATATGTATAATCTTGCACAAGGTTAATTTCTTGGTTCTAAGATGAAAAAAAGTAGGCTACTGAAGACAGATTCTTTTTTCTATGCATGGTGCTATGTCTCAGCTTAGCAGCTGTCTCTCAGAGTATGAAGGAAAAGTCTGTATATTGCTACAAACAGTTTCAGGGAGTGAATGTACTGTAGTCAGATTTAAGTCTTTCTCCCAGCCCTTTTTTTATTATGACCTCTTGCTGAATAGTTGATTGAGAACCATGATTAGGAGCACTAAATGCCCTACAGTGTATGGTTTGAGCAATGCCAATGTGAGGAACTCCACAATACCTGAAGGGGGGAGGGGTGATATTGTATGTGCTGACACCTACCTACCAACATGCTTTTGTGGAGGGGTTGATGTGGTCAGGATTTTCATTGGAGTGTTTGGTTTACATGGCTGTATGCACGTACATGTAGATGAACAACATACCCCCAAGTTTCCACTGTTAACTTACTGCTGTATTTTTTGGCGATGTTTTAGGGAGGAGCCTAATGGTACAGTATTGTGTGCAATTCGCAAGAATTCTAGGAATGGTACAGGCATTTTGTCCACAGGAATGGAATGTCCACAGGCATTTCTCTGACCCACATCTATGCCCACATTCCTGGAAACTCTTGGGAAGACCCAGAAGACCTGTCTGCCACGGATGGCCCTACTTTCTGTGACCCCGGGGCTCGTTCACTATACACTCGGGGGAAGGAGTGCACTGTATCTGTCTTGCTCAAAATCATGGAACGATGGCAGTGCCATGCAAACAATAACCCTATCATGAACCACCGTCGCCATGGCAATGTATGTTTTCATTGCCAGTCTTGTTTCTTACCAAAATCATGCGGTGGCAGGATATGTGGATGGCATTGTGACATTGGGTCTATCTATGGCATTGCATCTATGACATTGATTTCTATCTTGCTTTACAGCAATCTTCTTCACTGTTAGCTTTGTAATTGTTAAAACCCCAGAACTGCTTACAACATATGTAAATGTTGTATAATTAGTTCTTACCCCAAAGTGTCAAATATTCTCGAAACTTGATACTATAATACATGTAGGATTAGCATGAAATAAATGAATACTTGCAAGCAATAATAATAATAATATTAAATGATATTTTGCACTTATTAAGGTCATACCTCGGGTGATCGTTGTGAATGATCTTGTTTCTTGTGTTTTTTTTTTCCTTTTTGTGAACTGCTACCTGCTTACCTTTGTTTTGTTTTGTTTCTACACAATATTAGACTATCTTCTTCCTGGAGAGCTGAATGTTTTATATCCATTGTGAAACAACAATGAAGCAAAAAAATCTTAAAGAGAAAAAAATTAGTAGCTTTTTCAATGCGATACAAAAATGCATATTAAGCGATGAGATGGCAAAATACTAGTAATTACCTTCATCTTGCTGATCAAAATTTTGCCATAACTAGACATTAGATATACTTGTCATTTTACTTGATGATTTGGGTATAATTGTTACACTGCATTTATGTCAGTCCATCTTAAATGAGACTTTAAAATAAAAGAAGAACCTACGTGTCTGTTTCTGTGACAGTTTGGAACTGATAAACATGATTTTGTTCTCGTGATGACTTGCTGGGTGACTTTTGTACTTACCAATAAAAGCAAGAATGATGGGTTCAGACTTCAACAGTGTGTGGGGACTGATTTATTAGACTAGTTCATCGTCATGTAACAACGTGTATCTGTACAACATGGGGTCGTATGGCGTAACAGCTAGACTCGGAACCAAGAGATCCTGGGTTCGAGTCCGGACATGCCACTGATCTTGTGCCCTTGGGAAAGGCACTTCCTCACTTAACTCAAGTGAAAATGAGTATTGTCTGTCCTGTATTTGTTCTATGTCTGGGAAGCAACACCAGCAACAGCTGCCTTTGTTCCACGTGTATTGTATTGTTACAATTTCAATAAATCAAATCATTAAAGAAAAAATATGCACATTGCGCATACATACATAAATACTGTATCTGCATATTGCGCATAAACATAAATGCTTGATAGCACAGAAAGCAAGCATTCAATTTGGTAGTAAGGCAGAGAAAAACTAGTCCTAGTGTCACAGTAGTTACTCAAGCAACTGGATATGATTTTGAAAACGTCAGGCGTTTCAGCTAGTATCCACTAGCTTTCGTCAGTGACTGAGAGACCAGAGGGGAAAGCAGGTTTATATACACAACCTGTTGATTGATATGCAAATAAAGTGAAGACAAATTTGGAAGTCGAAAAAGGAACAAAAGTCAGACAAGTCAAGACAAGATGATGCAAATTAGTCTGAAAGCTCCTGTTATACAGGACAGGAGCTTAAGTGTTGTCTGTCCTCGGGGCTGGGAGTGCCAAATCCCAAGTGCCGGAAAGATCGACCCGTAGCCCCCCTTCCCTGTTGAGGGTGGGGTTGTACATTCTTTCATATATTGCCTCTTTAACACCCCGTTCCCACCAGCGTGTTTCGCGGTCTAAGACATCCGTGGACTCGAGTTTGAAAGAGTGACCCTGGTTGTGTTGTAGGTGGTGGAAAATAGCTGAGGAGTAGCCGTTGGCACTAGGTCAGCAATGTTCTTTGTACCTTACTTTAAGCGGTCGACTTGTCTCTCCGATGTAGGTGTTGTTACAATTGGGCTCCTCACATTTGAGTCTGTAAATAACATTCGCCTTGGTACCCTTGTGAGGTCGGTCCTTAGGGTGTACCAGTCTTTGTCTGAGGGTTGAGTGAGGTTTGAAGTTAGTGGCTATGTTGAAGTTTTGGAAGATCCGTCGGAGTTTCTCAGATACTCCTTGGACATACGGAATAGTGATGTTGGCCTTGTTTTTGTTGGTCAATGGTTTGCACTTCTGGGTTTTCTTAGACTGATCTGAAGGTTTGAGCGCTTTGTTGAAAGTCCAGTTTTGGTAGCCACATTTAGCCAGGGCACCTCGGAGGTGTCTATGTTCGTCTGTTTTGGCTTGGTCTGAAGTGACAATGTTGTCTGCACGATGGAAGAGAGTTTTGATCACTGCTAGTTTGTGTTCCAAAGGGTGGTGGGAATCAAAGGCCAGGTACTGATCAGTGTGGGTTGGTTTCCTGTACACTTCGAAACGAAGGTTACCATCTTCCTCTACGATAGTTTTGGTGTCTAGGAAAGGGAGCATGTTGTCATGGCTTGGCTCCTGTGTGAACTTGATGTTGTCATCTATCTGGTTGATGTGGTCAGAGAAGTCAGCAGCTACCCTCTCCCCCGGCCAACTGGTTTCGATATGTAGATGACACTTGGTGCAGATTGAAAAAGAGGGTAGCTGCTGACTTCTTTATAATCACACACAACGAACAAATACAACACCATTTCATGACATAAATCACCTTTAATATAAAAAATCTAATTCATGTACGTCTTGCTACGACAATCAAAATAAATAGAAAAGCTACTTTTCCTGATTTGTTTTCAAGAACAATATTGAACAGAAAGAGAACTTGATTGCATATTCCAATGAAATTAAAGGAACAGCTGCTCATCTTAACTAACTAGTGATATACCCCAAAAGTAGGCATTTGCCCTGTTATTACAAAACATCATTTTCATGCAAAATAAAAAGCTAAGCAGGAAAGTCTGATTACAAAACTCTCATTGAAGAGGTATTTAATCTGAAACACCACTAAAAGTACATAAGTGAGAAAGAACACCAGTCATAGCATTGCACCACTTTAGATGAGTTTACTGTAGTCCCTTTTTAACAGCTGCACTATGAACTCTTGATTTTGAAGACATCTACAGCATTCAACTGTATATATCTTGAAATTCCAGGGTGGTCACTGAAATGCAGCTTTGATTTGAAATTGCCACATCATAACTCTTGCGATGTAGTCATAGCAGTCTTTTAATCATCTCCAAACATTGAATGGACTGTTCGATGCAGTTTAACCTTCCTCCTGACCAAATCACCAAAATAAATACATATTTGGTGCCGAAAAGGTACCTCAGCTGGGTGAAGGTTAAAGGCACAGATTCCTTTTCCCAGTTATTGAAGAGTTGCTGTTATGTGTCCCACTGGGGTCCTCCTCCGTGGTAATTTCCCGTTATTTCAGCATCCGCAAAATTCAGCCCTGGATTCTGTGGATGGAAGAAGAAAGAAAGTAGCACAGCTTAAATTCAGTAGCAAGAAATGTTTCTTGAACCTCAGAGCTCAATGTACGTCATCAAAATGGCAAAGAACTGATCAGCGAACAGTGACTGACAGGTCATCCAAAATTTTCTTAGGCCACACCAATTTAATTTCTTGGTTAACAGATTTTTCTAGAAAAATAATGGAGCGGGCGGGCGAAAAAAAAATAAAAATAAAAACAGGCCTAGGCATCCTATCATGGCCCAAAATGGTATGATAGGAGCCATGAAGTCAACACACCAGGCTGGTTCAAAATTTAAAGAATGAATTTTGAACTTTTAATGATACAACTGCATTGAAAGATGGAATAACTGTAACAACTAGTAAGGAAAGGATTGTTTTCAACTGTTCAGGGCAAAATATGAGCATTTTGCAGTTGATTCTGAATTTTTATTTTCATTTGCAAATCAAAAAAATGAAGCGGGCGAATCCGTTAACCAAGAAATTAAATTGGTGTGGCCTTACTAGTATCCTTTTGGGAAGGTTGGTGTATAACCTCTCAGGTGGCAAAGTATCTCCGAGTCAGTATCTCAGAATTATCATTTACGTTCATCAAAGGCACTGCATTCCACTTTGAAATGATGCCCTACGATCTGTAATGATTCAGACTGTGTGCATGTAAGGAGTGGGTCATGCTTGTTGGTACCAATTGCAAGCTCAAACACACTTAAATGAAGGATAACACTGAAGGATGCACAATAAAACAAACTCTGGAATTTATTCAACAAACTTATTCTTTTATAGCTACGTACATGAGGATGAGGGAACATGGTATGAATATCCATTAAGTACATGTGCATTGACAATACATTGTAATACATGTTGTACATTACATTTCCACCTTTGAAAAATACATTGTAAACTACAAGACAAGTGCAACTGAGATATCATGCTGGTCAAGCGATAAACTTTCTGTGACCATTTCTGCCAGTGATTAGTCTTGCATATGAATAATTACAGTATGGGCATCCTCACTACACTAGATAGCTTGCAGTTATCGCAGATGTGCAAAGGTCAGATGTTACAGGCCGTTCATTGTAATATACATGTAAGCAGCTGCTACCAAGCTGCATGCCTGTATAACTGGTGTGTTACACCAAAGAATGGATCTACCAGCTATACAGATACAGATGAACATTATGCATACATGCTCAAACAGGTAGTCACAGCTACAACTACATGTACATGGTGCCTCTAGGTACAGCATGCCATTCACAAAGTTACAGCTTTGTTCCCTACTTACACTCTGCATTTGCAATTGCAATAGTATTCTTGTGAGCTGCATCCCACTGCCATATCTGCTCCCAGGAGGTTGTGTTCTCTACGCCTTGGGTCTGGTAACAATGGTTGTGGTAAAAGATGACATATTACAAACAATACTGTCTTACAGATTGCCTTCTTGCTACCATTGATGAAATTCAGTGAGTAGGCAAATTTGGGAGGCTATTTTTCCCTTGATTCATGGAGTTAACTTGTAAGTGGACCAACTATCATAAAGGTCCTGGAATTTTGTTGACGTGGAAAGAATATTAACTGTTCTTTGAAAATGAATGAAGTATATGAATCTGCACAATGTGTTTTTGTAGTCTTTTCTTCAATCTTTGCAACTTACAGTCCTTGTCAAATGTACACATCATGCATTCATGCATATTTGTCACACACACACACGAAGTTAATACACCCACACACAGTCAGTCACACATACACAAACTCACATACACACATGACATGCTCTGTTGGTGCTAAACAACACTAAACAGTGATGCAAGTGTTCTACAGGCTCGTTCATGATATGATGCACTTTGGGTAATACGTCAAAGTTGCTGGCCCTCTGGCCATGTGTGTTACTTTGTGACATATTTTCCACAGTGCATCACATTGTACAATGTCATGCACATTTCAAAACATGAACAACCTTAATGTGAGGAATGGTCTACTGTACTTCTCAACATTTGCATGCAGAATGGTACCAGCAAGCATGCCCACACAAAATGCAACAAGACTTCATGCCACATTCTTTCCAAGGCAACTTCAGCCCTGAAACTTGCATTGTCCATAAAGAGTTGGAAAAGAGTCAAGAGAACAAGCAATTATATAAAAATGTGTATTCCAGCTTCTCCTCATATCAACCAGGTAGTACATGTATGCACTGTGTCCATCATAACATGAATGTTTGTGTTATATACTATACAATGTATTCTAAAAAAATGCTCAAGTACAATAAGAAAATCTACCAGCAGGAAAACATAATTATTTATGATTTCTATAAAGTATGTTACTTAAAAAGGGATATAAAGTACCAAAATGTATGTTCATGGTACAAGTAAAAAAAGTCATGTTTTGGTCTTCAGATGTTATAAAAAGAGGATACAGACAGATCTGTACAAACAACAGTTGAAAATAAAATGTCCCAATATGTTGTATGAAAAATAAAGGGACATGAAAAAGTCTGTCAGACCAGTGACAGTACTTACCAGTAACAAAACAGTAACTGTCCTATACAGATTCCGATGGAAGGTCCTAGACGTGGTAAGACAAAAATGACTCAGGAAACCAACTTCTGCTTGTTTTGTATTGTAGGTATATCATCACATGGACTTTGACAAGGAAATTACTCTTCATTCATGTCAGAATGCTTGTAAGTGTTGGTTAAAGTTTGGATGCACCAAACTACCTTTTCTGAATACAAGTATTACAGTTGTTATTTTTCTTAACACAACCTACAGTGTTATGCACAATTTTTACACAGTTTAGACTGACCTCTCTCTGGACTCTCTCCATGGTCAGTTTCTTCTCCATGTTGTCGTACACCTGTGGGTCAGCGGGGTACTGACCCTGCAGTAGAGACTGCCAACAGTCTCGGCCCGTGCGGTCACTCTTGGTGATCACTATCCTCAGTAACTTGTTATCCTCTACAAACGGGAAAGCAAAAAAAAAAAACTCTGCATGAAGCATATCCACTCACATCATTAAAAATTTTTCTGTATGATATCTATCAGAAAAATTGTCATACTCATAGCATCAAAATAACAGCCCCTATGTTGTCCTCATTTGCATATCAATGAATTGAAGAAAACGTCTTTGATTCTTGACATATTCACAGTGGTTTTATTTTTGCAGTGACCTTGCCAATGGGATTTTATGACACCAAAAAATATGCATTTCAAATGTATTACATGTACTACAGAAGTTCTGAACTGTTTCAACTGCAAACTTAAAAAAAAAAAAAAAACACTGTGAAAAACATTTTTCCCTTTTATCGCAGAATCATATCCCTGCAAAAATGACTGAATTTATACTAGAGCAATAATAATTATCAAGTCTTTCCATCATATCAGGAACCTAAACTTACCAACTGTCCAAAGAAAGTCATCTGTAACAACATTCCCAGCAACGGTACCCTGAAATAACAACATGCAAGAATAGTTGTTACTAAAGAAAATCCTTTTTCTGTAACTTTTGTTAGCTACAGTTCAACATCACTTGTTTGTGTCAATCATTCAATTGTTTATATTTTGAAGATATTATAATACATCCTGGTACATATCTTTTACTACTACATTTGTACTTCAAAAAGAGTCTTAGACATAGAAAAAGATAATCTACGGGTAATTTATATTTTAATGCAAAAAAAACTTCATTTCAATTCTCAATGTTGATTTTGGTCCATAACACAACAACGTTAGAAGATAGTTTATGCCTTTGTTGTTCGTTTTCAATTTGTTTTATCTTCAAGGAGCTTCAAACAAGAAAGAGAAGCTCCTTGGTTTCATTACCTCCGGGGAAGGAGATATCCTTCCGCGAGGAGGTTTTACTATTGTTCGAAACATTTCTGTCAGCAGCTGTTTCTCGCGATCGGCTGGACGGATTGGTCTGTTGTTCGGTATACGTATTGCTATTGGGCTGCAGATGGTGCAGAACGTTTTTGTTTAATTGCATATGTGTTTATGGGCGTCGAAATAAAAGGTTTTTAAGTGCTCCGGACACCCCCGTTATGCTGAAAATGGAATTTACCATGTTGTTAAGGAATGGGGAGGTTGCAGTTTTGGGTCTTACCATTCAAAAGGGGTCAAACAGAGGGGTGTCTGGTTCCGATAAAAATTTTGGGTGACGGCGCAGCAATGACGGCGCGGGATGACGGCGGGGGTAATGGCGCGGGTGACGGTGGAGGCTGTCAGACTGAGACACGTTAATCAACAGTCCATACCGAACCAACCGTCAGTAGCCATCAAACCGGCATACAAACATATTACGCACATAACTTTCATACTACACACAAACAAATAACCTAAACCAATAGAAAAAAAAAACCCGGAGGTTTGAAATCTACGATTTCCCTTGTTTAAGGTGAAAAAGTACAACTCCTTTCTGATGCCTTCCTAGCCCGTGTTAATTCAAACCTTACTCCTGAACTCCATATATTTCAGTAACTTACACCCACAAGGCCAGATCTGGGATAAAAATAAACTGGACTTAAAATATCCATTTATAGGCATAGACAGCTGTGCCTATAGGCAATGGCATGCGAGCATGTGTTGGTTTTCCAAAACTAAAAAATGGGATGCACGCATTTGTTAGTGCTATAAAAGTTACCAATCAAAAGTACCGTTATAAACAAAGACTATAAACTCACATTTACGATCTCCTTCCCCCTCACGACGGCTGTCAACTTCTTCCCGCTCAGCTTACACTTGATTTCCTTCGCCTTTGTTCCCGGTTCTAGCGTTACCTCCGCCACTATCTCATCCACAGTCTGATACCAGCAACCCCAGGGCGTCTTACACTCCACCACGCCGCTTCTCTCGTCAAACTCCGCCATATCTACAACGGAACACGTTTAAACTGTGGTTTGTGCGATAAACACAGTAATTTGGAGCCCTGGAAACAAGCTTTTTAGAAGCTTTTGTTCGCACAACTCCCTCGACTTGTCACGCCTCCACTACTACCCACTATCCTCCGGGAACCAGGAGGTAGTTCACTTCCGGGTTCAACGACCTGTAGCGCGCGAAAATATAAACCTGCCGCCAGGCAGCTCTTCTCCCAAGTAACTTTCAAGGAGGGTCTTCTCCAATTGCATATTTGAAAATGAATATAGAGTAAGGCTAATTTTTCTAATTTGGTGTTTGGAAGGTTCATTTCTCTTTTTTAATGGCCAAATGTCTAGCATGGCTGGGAACGAGTCGATCAAATACCCCCTGACCTCCACTCACTACCCTGGGTACGGGGCTCAACTTCTGTCGTAAAATTAAAGAGTAAACATATTTTTATGAAATAATTAAAGTGTTTGAAGACATGCATCAAAGGATTAGCCTAGTATTGGATACCGTGTACGGTTTATGTTCACAAAAGTCAGTTAGAGCTGTTTTTTTGCTCTAGAAGCAACCCAATTCTGTGAGAGAAATGCCGCAAAACGTGCTGGTAGTAGCCGGGTGTGCTTGCATCACTTCACGTGGAGTTTCAGCACTTTGAGCTCTTTCTTGTTCCTGCCAGTTGTTGAGCAACTTTGGAGCAAGGAATCACATCTCGTTCTTGATTGATGCCAAGTACACATTTGACAGCCTAGAAATCCGAAGTCTAGTAGGCTGCCGCAGTGCCGAGCCCGTGTATTGGTGAAGCCCCCCTCCCCATCCCATTGAAGTTTCCAGTATGGTAAGCGGGCTCTTCTGAACAGGATTTTCGTTTCATATTATGAATCTGAATATGTTAGGTAAACATGACTAGTATAAGGATTTCCTGCGTTGAGATATTCTAAATAGCTACATAATTGGTAAAAAGCAAGAATTATTATGCCACAGTCCACACACCATTTATAAAGTTTTGGATTTTCAACCAATGTTAATTAACATAACGTTATAAGCTCTGCCCCCTTTCATTCAGATTTTCACCCCCAACCCACCATGACATAATAAAAATTCGTTTTCATTCACAGATACTTAATTTCACAGTAATAGTAGCAGAAGTGAGCTTTTTGTTGTGCGTTATTTACTTTTAAATCTTTTTAATTGCAGCAATTTAAACTGCAGTATTTTTAATTGCAGCAATTTAAACTGCAGTACAGTAAGTAATAATTAGAGGTAACAGTGGAAAGACCAGTACCCATATAGGGACAGTATGTTACACTCAGTACAGTGTACCTCATCGTCACCCTAACAATCCAACATGCACTTGCAGGAAATCGAAGTGGAAAGGAAAGGAACCTTCAAGGTAGAAGCGTTGCGAGAGATCGAACGTCAAGTTCAGAAACGTTGGGAAGAGGACAAAGTTTTTGAGGTGGACGCTCCAGAGAAAAACGATGGGTAAGATCATTTCAACCTCCTGGGTAAGATTTGGTAAGATCACCTTTTGCACTTTCAGAAGACATTGAACTCTTTGTAATCACTGATGATGCAACCTTTAATGGGGACCCACATGCCCTTTTCCGTAGACCATAATTGGCCGTTTCAATTCTGCATAGAGCATAGACGGGCAGCACTAATTCAACGTAGGGCGTAATTGGCGCATTTTGTGTAGAGCGTATTCGCCGTTTTAATTCAACAAAATGCATTGTAGCCACTTGGAATTTATCATAAAGCGTAAACGAGAGCTCTCAAAATTTAGCGTAGAGCATTGTCGGGAACGCCCCCATGCAGGCCCCCTTTTAATACATTGAGGGCTAAATACTACTAGTAGTCAGAAAGCTGCCGCTGGGCATTTTGGCCACTAATCTCTTTAGTATACCTGTAATTATTAAAGTACAAATAATTCAGTTATATTCAATAACTTATTTGTATGAGTCTTGTATGATCATACTAGATTCATAGGTCTTTGGTATTCACTTTCAGGAAGAAGTTTTTTGTGACCTTCCCCTACCCATACATGAATGGTCGCCTCCACTTGGGCCACACCTTCTCTCTGTCCAAGAATGAGGTGAGTAAAGACTATTTTCTAAAAGTAGGGCAAGGAAATAAAATTTTCCTTAAGAAAATCATTAAACTAATGTACCAACATTCCCCAAGAAATATTGGAAGGTAGTATACACATTCCAATTGTACCACATATACATTAGTGCAAATTCTGTTAAATGTAAAATTTCTTTCCTATGCAGTTCATTATGGGTTATCGCCGCCTCCAAGGCAAAAGATGCCTGTGGCCATTTGGTCTCCACTGCTCAGGAATGCCAATCAAGGTAAGCAGATATTGTCCTAAGGTCTTAGAAATGTTTTGTAAATCTGGCCTCTTAGGAACTCAACTGTAGTACATTGTAGTAGTAGTGATAGTAGGATGCATCTTTCCATTGCATGAAATAATTGTATCACTCCCAAGGTCACAATGTCATGCAGGCCTTGCATGACAGTCATTGTACATATTAAGCTTGACTGTATAGCAAAAACAGCAAAAATAAGATCACTGAACTTTTCAAGATTGACAGTACATGTATTTTGTTTTATATCCACCACCAATCACTGTTATTGACTGATGATTCCCCCCTCCATCCTCAGGCCTGTGCTGACAAGTTACAGAGAGAGATCCAAGAGTTTGGTTATCCTCCAGTGTTCCCTAAGACGGTGGCTAAGGAGGAGGCTCCTGTTGACAATGAGCCCATCATCAAAGACAAGTCCAAGGGCAAGAAAGTCAGTAGTCACCATTCCTACCACTTTCATGTTCTTTGATGCCACTGTGTAACATTAATACTACACCATTATGTTAACGGCAGAATTCTTACAAGCTAAAAGTGAAAATGCTGCTGATTTAGAACAATCATAAAAATTGAATTTCTACCTTTGAATTTCTACCTTTTATGTTTTAAAAAATCAGTGTTTAAAGTTAAGCCACACCAACTCATTTCCTCCGTTTTTGGACATTCTTATTCTTACTAGGAATAAATTAAGCAAAAGAGGGAGATGAAAAGAGAGGGCTGGGAGGAGAATATTAATCTGACTGTATTTCACTCCTTGAAACTGTATTTACCATCAAGTATAGACGTTCCTGCTAGACTCTTGTCTACTCCAATTCAGCATCATTTTTCTTAAACAAAGAACCAACAAATAATTGGAATGTCTATAGAATGACAATATTTTTCACTTTATCTGCCAGAGTAAAGCAGCAGCAAAGGCGGGTGGGGCTGACTACCAGTGGCAGATCATGCAGTCCCTGGGCCTGAAGGATGAGGAAATTAAGAACTTTGCCGACGCTGCGTACTGGCTGGAGTACTTCCCTCCACTGGCCAAACAGGACCTCCAGATGATGGGGCTCAAGGTACTGTAGAGTCATTTATTTTTGCCGTGGAAAGGCCAGGAGGTTTTCACACTTTTTTTAAGTTCACAGTTGAACAATTCTGTAGGACAGAAGTAATGTTTATGTTCAATGGAAATGCCTATTTGTGGCATCATGAATTTGGAGTGAAAAGTCTATCATGAAAGTAAAATCACCACTACCACAAGAATTTCAAGATTTACAGTACATGTACTACTAGAAATGTAGTGTGGTCGTGTGGTGTAACAGCAGAGCATTCGGTTCAGAACCAAGAGGTCCTGGGTTCTAATCCTGCTGTGTCACCAACCTTCTACCCTTAAATTGAGAAAGGCACTTTATACGACTTTCCTCACTTCGCTCAGGTGAAAATGAGTATGCCAGAATGATCATTATCATGATCATGGGCATTAAGAGAAAACCAAATGTACCATTTTCCATGCAATGTATGTTTTCTGTGAATGAAGAAGAACTTATTGTGTGTTTTGTGTGGTTTGCAGGTGGACTGGAGACGTACCTTCATCACCACTGATGCCAACCCTTACTACGACTCCTTTGTGCGATGGCAGTTCCTCACACTCAAGGACAGGAACAAGGTCAAGTTTGGCAAGAGGTGAGAAGAAGTCCTATGTCAGGAAAAGTTATGGAAAATTGCTGCTCATCGATCAAACCTATCAGTATTTCAACTTCCCAGTAGCTGCATTAAAGCCATAACTTGGCATAAGGTATAGACATGTACTACTGGTATAGTCCTTTTAAGCACAGAATTTGCATTATAATATGTATTGTCAAACATTCTTTGATATCAAGTTTCATGTCCAATTTTTTTTTAATTTTCCAGTGTTTCTGTCTGAAATTGTCTTCATTTTCAGGGTTTCAAACTAATCAATTTTTATGGGTCCAAATATTCCAGTTATGACTTCTTAAAGCATTCTTAAAGCAGTCCTAAAATCTGTTGACTAAAACAACTGTCTGCTAAGTTTTAGGTAATACCAGGTTGTTTGATGACTGGTTCAATACATTCTTTTTTTTCAGATACACAATTTTCTCACCATTTGACAAGCAGCCTTGTATGGACCATGACAGGCAGACTGGAGAGGTGAGGGCTAAACTTTGAAGTTCATGAACCCTTTCAAGTCAAGGACTTTGTCTTGTTTTGATATTGCTATGAGCCATGCATCATTGCAAGCCTATCCTATTGTTCCCTCTTTATATATGTTACAGGGAGTTGGACCACAAGAGTACACACTTATCAAAATGAAAGTGATGGAACCATATCCACCAAAGCTTAGGTAATCTGGCTTGTTTGATTCAGTGTTTCCTCTTTCTTATACTGTTACAGTATCTTAATTATGTACAGTATTTGGGGATATAACAATAGGGGTATCTTAAGTTGAAAATTTGAGCCAATGAAAACCTGCATTGTACAATTAGCCAACAGAAAAAGCGTCACACTTCACCTCAGTAGAAGATCTGTGTCTGTATCAGTATAGCCGGTATAACCGCCCTTTGGGGTAATATACCAGCTTCGCAGGCATGCGGCATGGTGGCAGCTGGCTACATTACACCAAACAAGTTGTTACACTTAACCCTTCAACATCCAACTCTATACATTGTTTAAAGCTATCTAATGTCGTACTGTACTTGTACTGTACTTGGTGACAGTGAGTTCCACACTGCGATAGTTTAAAGAATGAGTTTTTGAACACCTCAATCCTTGATTGATAACTCTGGTACTTGATGACTGTGTTATCTACCAATTATCTGAATGACGATTGAAGAAAGCCCCTCAGCTAAGTTGGTCCTTGGTGTTCTGTTTTGTTTAGTGGTTTGAAAGGAAAGCCCATCTTCCTTGTTGCGGCAACCCTGCGTCCTGAGACCATGTACGGGCAGACCAACTGCTGGGTCCGTCCCGACATGCCGTACGTGGCGTTCCAGACCGTCTGGGGCGAGGTGTTCATCAGCACCAGGAGGGCGGCGCGCAACATGGCGTACCAGGGGTTCACAAAGGATGATGGGAAGTACGAAACGCTGGTGGAGCTAGTCGGGCAGGTTGGTATTCTTTTGGAATTGAAGGCCGGAATGTTGTGCTGTTTCACACAACTTGTTGGAAGCTCAATCCTGGTTTAAATCACCCGACATGCATTTATCATATGTCAAATATCATTTATCATTTATCAATTATCATATATCATTTATCAAGCCTGCCTAAGTATTTATGGCAGCAGGAAAACTTAAGGGCTGATGACAAATTTCAGCCAAATTTTTATGTGTTGCCTCTAGATGCAGTCAAACTTGTCTAAGACGACCACCCATGGGACTAAAGAAAAGTGCTCTTCTTAAACAAGTGGTCTTCTTATACAAAGAGCAAGTGGTGACAAGTCATTGACATAGATACAGAAAGACTGCCCCATTGCTTAGGCAAGTCCCTTAATGCATCTAAGGGGAAAAATCGGGATTGAAAAAAGCTGTCATTATGGCCAGATGGCTGGCTTATAGAAGTGGTTCCCTGGGTGGCAGCCAAGTTTACGGGCCGCTAGCCGTTTCTTTCGGCAGCCAGAAGCCCTTCGCCCGCAGACCTCAATTACCGCTGCGGTGGAATTGAGCCCGTGGGGAGGTTTCGTTGTAGGGCCAGCCAAACTCCCCCCGGTCTAGACTCCCCCGTAGCGCTAATTTACACCAGCGGGCGAAGGGCTCTTGCGGCCCGGAAAACGAGTTCTGGCTTCCAGGGTATAGAGGTGGTTGCTTTGGCAAGTTTGACAGTACAATAAGTTGAGGCACCCCTTGTTCTCCTTCCCAGGATATCATGGGTGTGGCCCTGAAAGCGCCCCTGACCAGCTACGACAAGATCTACACCCTCCCCATGCTCAACATCAAAGAGGACAAAGGAACAGGCGTGGTCACCAGTGTGCCTTCAGACGCTCCTGATGACTTTGCTGCCCTGAGGGACCTCAAGAAGAAAAAGGTACACTTTAAAAATGCTTTTAAGAAATTGATGTTTACAACATCAAAAGTTACAAGATGTTTATTCATTTATTTAAATTGCTAACACTGCAATACAGTGGAAGCCCTGGCAGCTGAGCTGATGTCGGGCCCCACATTATGAAATACATACATACATAAACATACACACATCATAATACAATAAAGTCACAAATCACAGAAATCTCTTATACTTATAATCCATAACCTAGGCTAATGACAGTATAAAAAAGTAACAATATAACTCAGTATGGTAGGAGGCCAGAGGTCATTCAAATATATAATATTTCAATATTTACAGTGTTGTAGGAATAGATGGAAGGACTAAAAGTTAGAAATGGTTCGTTGATGAAATATAAGTGTGAAGAGCGGCCGAGAGGTTTTGATCTGTAAGAGGGTCGTGACCTGGATAACAGTTGAGAAGGCTGTTTTGCACTTTCGTTACAATGTACATAGAAGTCCTTCTTACATGTATACTGCATGGGCTGAACCTTGGTTAGTAGATCTAGAGTACTTAGTACCCTGTGCAGCATTCCTGCAAATCACTAGATGGTGCACCCATTGTAACATAATATCCACTATTGCTCTCTGTGACCTGATGTATTGATTGATGCTGTACACAATATTCTACCCTTCTCTGCAATGTTAATTGGATTACTGTTTCCACAGCCAATGAGAGAGAAGTTTCAGGTGACAGATGAAATGGTTCTGCCCTATGACCCAGTAAGTACTTGATGGTATATATCATAAGAATCTTTTAAGAGCAATGACTTTTAGAAAACACATTTGTTGTCTGTAGTCAATAACAATGATGGTACTGGTATTTGCTTTTGAAGACAATGGAATCAGTACAATTTTAAAAAGTTTTACTCCTCTATTTTTGAAAAGACATCGTACCTCTGCATGTACATGTAACTGTTACATCTACTACATGTAGTATTTAATTTCTGGGTTCCCAGTCTTTTAATTTTTGTACAGTACTAATTTCTCTACCCTATCATCCCCATTTTAACTACCTAACTTGTTCAACTTCAATGAACTTAACTGTAAAACATATCATGTGAACAACTCTCTGTTTCAGGTACCAATCATCGAGGTCCCAGGGTTTGGTAACCTGTCTGCAGTGACCGTTTGTGACCAACTAAAGATCCAGAGTCAAAATGACAAGGACAAACTGGCCGAGGCTAAAGAAAAAGTCTACCTGAAGGGCTTCTATGAAGGGGTAAGGCTTAGGAAGATGAAAACTACATGTAGACTTGGTATATTGAATTGTATGTACTCTGTATATGTAACTGTAATTCAGTTTTGTAAGTTTCATGCTGTAGGAAGGAACAGTAATGGTCCAAGGATTATTCCTTGAGGAACACCAGTTCTCACAAGAACTGCCCACTACTCCATACCTAGAATTTGTTCCTTCACTGTACATGACATTTACTATAGCTTCATTACTTTTTGCATGGACTTGATTATGCGGTAGGAGGAGCAAGGTGGTCTTTTAAATATGCAGTTGAAACACTTCTGTAATATTGTAAAAATAACTATTCTCAGTGTCATGATTTTTCTTTGGAGATGTTACATTAGAAAATTTACAGTATTTACTACCGGTAGTCACAAACATTTACCATGTAATGCAGGTGATGCAGGTAGGAGAATACAAGGGCAAGAAGATCCAAGATATCAAGCAGGATGTCAAGAAGAAAATGGTTGACAAGGTAAGAATGCCGAGTCAGAATTCTAAGTCTTGGTCTTATGTTTCTACCAACACCTTTGGTAAAAGGTTTGATAGCAGTTACCATGTTTGAATGTTAAATAAAAATGAACATTTCATAAATAATTGTTAATAGAACTTTAACCCTTGTCCTGCTGGCATTCCTGGCACAATATTTTGCAATAATTTCATGTCTTAATTAGATCATAGACGCCCAAATTTTTTTTCTCTGCAGTGGCATAGTTACTTTTGCATTCGTTGCGTTTCGCTGCGGTGTGATGCGTTGCACGAGAAATACTGTACCGGTTTGGGGGTATTTTTCTCGTGCAACGCATACATGTATATAGGGTGTTATATAGATGGTACTGTATGTGGAGAACAACAATTGTTGTGCTCCGCAGGACAAGGGTTAATTTACATCACTTCATAAAGCTGACATTATACACTGACAACAATCTTTGGCCTAATTTGTTCATTGCCAGAAAGTTGATGAATTTCAAAACTGCCAGAGCTAGAGGTATGAGCTTACAACTGAACATCTACCCTATGACATTGGATGGTGATTGGTGACCTGCTAACAATGGCCAATCCCTGTAAATTGTGCAGCGATCGAGAGCACATTAGCCATATCCTAGCCAAAAATGTTATTTTCAGCTCACAGATATTCTTGCTGTGTGACTACATGGTGTAAAAGAACTTGGAACTCATGGAATTTCAAAGTGCAGCAAATGTTGTCACTCAGCACCTTCTTGCACAAAGACTTGCCTTCTGACAAATGTTATCTGTGGACAGAGGGAGGCTGTAGTGTACATGGAACCAGAGAAACAAGTCATGTCCAGGTCTGGGGATGAGTGTGTGGTGGCCCTGTGTGACCAGTGGTGAGTCTGCAGTCTTTTTACTGTCAAAACCTGGTTTTGTTCGGAGTGCTCTGAATGGGGTACTGTAAATCACTTTATATTCGCTGTAGCAAAAAGTTTGTGGTCTGAGAAAAATGACATGTTCGTGGAACTGTATGTTTGCAGTGGTGGCAGGTGCAGGAAAAAGAAAGTTTGCAAATTACTTGTTCGTGGTAAGGATAAATTCATGGTACAGAAGTGGTTGAATTGACAACTGGGGGGGGGGGACGGGTAATGTTGTTTGTCAGTTGGTCTAAATTTAATGATACCGATAATTTAGATGATAGTCTTTCAGTTCTTCAAACTGACCTCAGTCACTTGGTCACATGCTATGTTTTAGGTATCTTGATTATGGTGAAGAGGGATGGAAGAAACAAACAGCTACAGCACTGGAGCAGATTGACACGTGAGTGAACACAGTCCAGAATACTTTTTCTGAGACAATCCTTGGGAGTGCTTTTTCACTCTGTTCCTTCATGTTTTTCTTATCATTTTGGTATGCTTGAGGCAATGGTCCATGGGGATCAAAATTGTATATCATGTTTATTTCAGGTATACAGATGATGTGAGGAAAAACTTTGAGGCAACACTTGACTGGCTCCATGAGCATGCCTGCTCCAGGTCCTATGGACTGGGTGAGTGCATGTACTGTACTACACAATGTCATGTATAAATTATAACAATGATAAACTTTGGAAACTTTATTCATACACCTTCTTGCAGACACGAGGTCTGAATTGGTAGGCATTTACAACAATAAAATAAAATGGCTAGGAAGTTAAAAGTTGACATTTGATTTACAAATATGTTAAAATTTTATAGGCCTCTAGATACAAGCTGTACAAACATGTGGTGGATGTCTGTATTTACAGGTATTAATTACAAAATGTACATTTCTTGAAATGCCTTGGTCACAATTTCAAGAGTTGTGGTCAATTAAAGCAATAGGCCCTATTGTTTATATGTATTATGTTTATGTAATGTATTATGTTTATTCAAATATTGCTTGTACTATTCATTGATTATGTTGATCAAGTGCTATTTATAGGCTGATGGTGAATGCATGATGTTCTAAAATATATTTCACCACATGAAAAGGTACAAAGATGCCGTGGGATGAGCAGTACCTTGTAGAGTCCCTGTCTGACTCCACCATCTACATGGCCTACTACACAGTGGCACATCTACTGCAGGGAGGAACCTTCAATGGCTCCAAACCTGGACCACTGGGAATCAGGTAATAACAGTTTCCACTACATCAGACAGGGCTTGAAATACTGGGTGCATGTGCACCTTACTGCACCCAAATTTGGAGCTGTGCACCCAATTTTTTTCTGTGGGTGCACCAGTGCACCCAAATATTTTTGTAGGTATTTTTGTACATATCAAAGTATAATATTATGCAGGATATTCTTGGCATCTAAGTGTAAAAAAATAATAAAATCTTTGATGTACATTGTAGTACTTGTTTAAGATTTTGAAGTTCCCATTTCAACCTCAGAAGAGGAGCAGTAAGATCTGTAATTAGGTTTTGTTTTATATGGTGCACCCAACAATTTTTTTGTGCACCCAATTTTTTAGGTTGGGTGCACCAGTGCACCTATTCCCAAAAATGAATTTCGAGCCCTGTCAGATATACATGGAATGTTAGGAATGAAGATTCACACAGTGTTAGTCTCGTCTAGCATGCTAGGTTGGCACATCACATGTATTTCTCTACGCCAGTTGAAGTTGGCACAATCAAGCATTTCATGATCAGTTGCATTTTGCTATGGCAGTAGACAGACCCTGATATTCCTTCTGCTAAGATGACCTTTGCATGCAGCACTCACCTTGCCTGGCAACTACCTAAATTAAGGTTTCTCAAAAATCCCTAAATTAGGGTTTCTTAAATTCCAAAATAACCCTGAATTAGGGTTTCTGAAATAACCCTACGTTAGGTTTTTTTTTTCAAATAACCCTAAATTATTTGCATATCAATCAATAATTCGTGCTTATAAACCTGCATTTCTCCTGCAGTCTCTTAGTGTCTCTGACGAAAGGTAGTGGATGGTACCGAAACGTCTGGCCGTTTCCAAAACCATATCCAGTTGCCTGAGTAACTGCTTTTTGGTGTATCTTATTACCTGGATGTCTAACCTTCACCGACAAACCCTAAATTAGGGTTTTTCAGATAACCCTAAATTAAGGTTTAAATTCTCATTCACAAATAAATACTTGTATACAAGTAGATAAAAATAAAAAGCTAATATAATGATAGGTACATTTGTACTATTGTCATCATCTGGACCATCTACTGGAACAATCAGGTGATAGTGAAGACATTCAACTTGTCGCTTTTCCTTTGACCCTTGTCCAGACCAGAGCAGATGACCAGGGAAGTGTGGGACTATGTGTTCTTCAAGTCGGCACCCTTCCCGAAAACGGACATTCCCAAGGACAAACTCAACAGGATGAAGAGAGAGTTTGAGTACTGGTACCCCGTGGACCTGAGGGTGTCAGGGAAGGACCTGGTCCCTAACCACCTGACATACTTCCTGTACAACCACTGTGCCATCTGGCCAGACAGGTAGACACCTCGAGTATAAACCACCTCACAGTTCTGTGTGCACATCAGCACGTCAGCAGAATGTACAGTACTGCACCTGCGCAAAACCCGTGATGTATTGTGCACACCACTTTGGAAGAACGTCTCATATAAGGTCGTACTCGAGTATACAGGGCTCGAAATTCATTTTTGGGAATAGGTGCACTGGTGCACCCAACCTAAAAAATTAGGTGCACAAGAACTTTTTTGGGTGCACCATTTGAAACTAAACCTTATTGCAGGTCTTACTGCTCCTCTTCTGAGCTTAAATCTAAAATGGGAGCTAACTTCAAAATCTTTAACAAGTACTACAACAAAGATTTTATTATTGTTCTGATACTTAGAGACCAAGAATATCCAGTATACTATTATACATTTCTAATGTTAAAAATTGCTACAAAAATATTTTGGTGCACCAGTGCACCCATAGAAAAATATTAGGTGCACAACTCCAATTTTGGGTGCACTAAGGTGCACATGCACCCAGTATTTCGAGCCCTGGTATATAAGGTTGACATCCCGACAGAAGTTTCTAAATGTTTCAAGTTTCAAGTTTATTTATTTAACCAGGATGTTGTGTTGGAAAAGATATAATCTGCAACGGGAAAAATTCTAATGCAACTTTGACCAAACACCCAGCAAAAACCGGGAAAAATCAGGGTTTCGCACAGGCGCAGTACGTTCTGCTGACATGCTGTGTACATCTGCAATCTCATGTATTGTGGTCTAAGGTCAAAGTTTAAGGCCCTTTACTTGTAAAGAGTCCCTTGTCTAAACATTCTGACAATATGAATTAGATCAAATTTAATATTATATCTGCTCCATGTATACGTTTAACCCCATTTTTTTTTTATTTGAACAGCAAAAACAAGTGGCCACAAGGTATAAGAGCCAATGGACATCTGTTGCTGAACTCTGAAAAGGTTTGTTCCACAGTGTTCATCCCATTGCAATTGTTTTTACTCAGCAAAATAAAGTAAAAACATTAAAATATTGAGAATCAAAAGCACCACAATGTGTCTTTTTTTGTTCTGATCTTCACAGAAAAATAGAAAATTTGTCTCTTTTTCCAGATGTCCAAGTCCACTGGAAACTTCCTGACCCTGTCTGGTGCCATCGAGAAGTTCTCTGCAGATGGTAAATGGAAAATTTTTCTGGATTTCATGCTTTTGAGAAAGGGCAGAAATATTGATAGTCTTCCTGGCATGATGTACATTGTATGTCACAATTTTTAAATTGATTGCTTTATGTGTCTTAGCCAGACTACATATACAATAGACAACAAGACACCTCCCACACAGAGGGCAGACCTGTCCTTGGTGTTGAACACCTTGTACAAACATGCAAACATGCCTGTCCTTGGTGCTGAACACCTTGTACAAACATGCAAACATGTCTGTCCTTGGTGCTGAACACCTTGCACAAACATGGAAACATACCTGTCCTTGGTGCTGAACACCTTGCACAAACATGGAAACATACCTGTCCTTGGTGCTGAACACTTTGCACAAACATGCAAACATGACTGCCCTTGGTGCTGAACACCTTGCACAAACATGCAAACATACCTGTCCTTGGTGCTGAACACCATCCACATGCAAACATACCTGTCCTTGGTGCTGAACACCTTGCACAAACATGGAAACATACCTGTCCTTGGTGCTGAACACCATCCACATGCAAACATACCTGTCCTTGGTGCTGACCACCTTGCACAAGCATGCAAACATGTCTGTCCTTGGTGCTGAACACCTTGCGCAAACATGCAAACATGTCTGTCCTTAGTGCTGAACACCTTGCGCAAACATGAAAACATGCCTGTCCTTGGTGCTGAACACCTTCCACACACAGGCAAACAGACCTGTCCTTGGTGCTGAACACCTTGCACGAACATGCAAACATGTCTGTCCTTGGTGCTGAACACCTTGCCCAAGCATGCAAACATGTCTGTCCTTGGTGCTGAACACCTTACACACAGGCAAACAGACTGTCTTTATCTCATTAATTTTTTTTCAACCATTTTATTTAATTCTAAGTCAATAGTACAATGATCATGCTTGTCTGCAGGCATGCGTCTGGCGCTGGCTGATGCCGGTGACACCGTGGAGGATGCTAACTTTGTGGAGAGGATGGCCGATGCCGGGATCCTGCGTCTGTACACGTGGCTGGAGTGGGTGAAGGAGATGCTCGCCAGTAAAGACACCCTGAGGGGGGGTCCACCCACTAACTGGTCTGATAGGGCCTTTGTCAGGTTAGTACACAGTCACACATGTGAACCCTGCAGCTTCTTCTTTCCTGAAACTGAATGTTCTTAATCTTGTTACCTCCGGGGGAGGAGACATCCTTCTGCGGAAGGGTTTTGTGAGAGATTTAGATTTCTATGTTCGCAGCTGTTTCTCGCGTTTGGGTGGACGGATTCTTTTGAGACTCGGTATATGTTTTGCTATTGGGCTGCAGATGATGCACGTTCTTTTGTTGTTATTGTATATGTGTTTTCGGGCGTGAAAATGGTGCCTTTTGGTGGCCCCAAAACACCACTTTGAGCGTGAAAGTGGTTGCAACCGTTGACCTTTGGCGTGTTTAAGCTATTCTCGGTCTGGTCCACGTATATGACCCCTCACACAGAGGGGTGTCCGGTCTCTATAAATTCTTTGTTTAAAACCTATATGAAAATATACAATAAAAAGCCCGGAGGTATAAAATCTCAGATTTTACTTGTTGTACTTAAAAACAATCTCCTTCTTTGTTTCTCCCCAGTGCAATGAACAAAGGTATCCTAGAAACTGCTACCAGGTATGACAGGATGATGTTCAAGGAGGCTGTCAAAACTGGCTTCTATGAGTTCCAGGTATGACTTTTCATCTAGCTTAATGTATTACTGTACATGTACTTATAGAAGAAAAGTAGACCATAACGGCTATGTTTTATCCTTGAAGGACCACATCTTATTTCAAGAAGTTACCAATGCAGAAAGACAGTTATTCCATGTTTGGATTAAAGTGATAATGTCTCTAATTTGCCTAGATTTTCTATGAAATGTTAGGTCAATCAGGATACGAGAAGACAATGCATACAAATGGCTCATATGAAAGCCAAATAAAGAAATATGTAATGAAAAAAAAAAGGAAAAAAGCTTTCAGTGCGGTAGCATTGTTGACACTTTATTTTCCCCCAGGCTGCGCTAAGTAAGTACAAGGAGATAGCGACAGAAGGCATGCACCGTGATCTGGTGTTCAGGTTTATCGAGGTGCAGACCCTGGTACTGGCACCCATCTGTCCTCATCTCTGTGAACACATCTGGGGGCTGCTGGGAAAGGTGAGAACTTAAGGGGGAAATAAAAAGATATATTTAGAAAGAAAAGATATTTTTAATGTTTACCTTAGCATGTGGTCTGCTCTCAGACTGTTAATTCTTACTCAAACACATTTGCAAAAATGCATAATGTTTACCTTCGCATACGGCCTGCTCTCAGACTGTTAATTCTTACTCAAACACATTCATATACTATATGGTGACAGGAGTCTAAATCCCTCCTGCTATAATATTGCAACATAATGTAATCCTACACCAGTTACCATGGTGACAGACATCTGGTTCAGGTCATTGATGTTATTCATTTGGAGAAGAAGAAGAGGAAGAAGAAAAAGCAAAAACAATGTTTTCCTTCTACGAAGGCAAATGTAAATATGAGGTAAAATTGAATCAATAATTTTTTCATGGCTGGAAGTGTAACCCTATAATTTATCAAACTATCTTTTTCAAACCATCCCCTTCAGAAAGAGTCCATCATGCTGGCGGCCTGGCCCCAGGCAGGTCTAGTAGACGAGGTGATGAACGAGGCGCTGGACTACCTGATGGACGTCGCACACGACTTCCGCCTCCGGCTCAAGAACTTCTCGGAACCAAAGGGCAAGGTAAGCAGCGCGTTTCAGGGGAAAATTTGATGAAGTCGAAATGGACCAAACTGTACCAACTTTTATATCATACCCGGGCCGCGATAACGTTCGATAACGGGTTCCGGACCGGGCCGTACTTTACGGTACGGCCCGGTGCGGAACCCATTATCGAACGCTTCCCTGGCTTCCATAAAACGATTCGAACGCGTTTTGCCCTAACCGCGTGTGCCCCTTTCGAAAATTCGAATACAGAATCCGCACGTTGGAATTGATGTTGTTGCAGTTTAGGGTTCAGTTTAGGGTTCAGTGGCACCAACTTTTGGCTCATCTCGCATTGAAAGGCGCGTTTTCTTGGGTGGGTATGATATAAATAAAATACAACACGGTGTATTCCGCATCGCCCTCGGTCCCGGCCCTCCCGCGAGTCGGATCGCCCTCCGGCCTGCGGCCGTCGGGCGATCCGACCCGCGGTCGGGCCGATACCTCGGGCGATACGGAATACCCCGTGTTGTATTCTATATGTATACACAAGAATCTTTTGAACTTTTTAGATGCCTTCTATGTCAACTTTGGCATGCCAGTTGTAAGAACATGCTCTCCTCTTTATTGTATCTTATCTTTCTCGTAACATATGAAAAGATAAAGAAACTGTACCTATTGTATACACAAGAATCTTTTGAACTTTTTAGATGCCTTCTATGTCAGCATTGGCATGCCAGTTGTAAGAACATGCTCTCCTCTTTATTGTATCTTATCTTTCTCATAACTTATGAAAATATGTAGACAAACATTGAAATGGAAGATATCAATTGAATTTATGTGTAATTACTGATTTTTCAAATTTCATGCAGTGTCTGTTCAAGTTTTACGTAAGTATTTTAACAATACTCAATATGTTACAATGTCTTCAAAAGTAAATTGTACCATGTTAACTTCCATCATGGTCCAACACCTGGAACATCAAATGTTTTCCCCCTGTCCCCAACAGAAGGGTTCCAGCCAGCCGCCCGCTCAGCGCCCCACACACATGACCATCTGGGTCGCTAAGACCTTCCCCACCTGGCAACACCTGACCCTCATGACCCTCAGGAAGATGTACGAGGTCAGTTCAAAGTTCAGAGTTCAGTCACAGAAAGATTTATATCTACAGTCCAATGCTGACAATAGAAAGATATAAGATATCATAAGTATGTAATCTATCTAGTATATGTCTGGAAATGTTTAGGAGAGATGCTTCATCTCAATGTGATTATTTCTATGCATGAAATACTTTGGATTCATTTCTTTTTCCTGCAATGTGATTACTTACATGAACCTTTATTCTTTTACTAGTATCTTATAATTACCTTAATGCAAGCTGTGGTATCTTTTTCTCCCAAATTTCATTTTCTTCACAATTTGAAGCCGGGGTATCTTAACTACGTTACAATTCTACAATGTAGCACAATTTTAATGATCTTAAACTCATTTTGTTTGCTAGACAAGAATGTGTATTTGGAAAAAGTTATGTTTCCACTTTCTTCAATACTTCTGCAGGAGAACAACAACAGCTTCCCTGAGAACAAGGACATTGCCAAGGCACTGGGAGGGTTGGAGGAGTTGAAGAAGTACATGAAGAAGAAAGTCATGCCCTTTGTTGCCATGGTCAAGGTCAGTTTATGTTTGTAGAATGAAACAATTAATTTATACTGTGAACTGTACAAATTTTACAGTTCATGTAAATGTGTGATGTATTTTTATCCTGCTGTGCCTATGATAATTACATGTAAGTACAATGTTATGTAATCTCGAAAAAGATGTATTATTGCAAAGTCACAGCAAGGACATTATACACAGTCCTTGGTCACGGGAAGACCTCAAACTGTTTTGCATTTCCCACTAAATGTTAATGTCTTTTGTAACTATTTTTTTTCTCTAAAAGACCAATGTGGACAAGCAGGGCACCAGAGCCATGGATGTGACCCTGCCGTTTGATGAGAAGGCTGTCCTGGAGGAGAACATGAAATACCTGCTCAACACACTAGAGGTGTGTACTGTTCAACTACAGGGACTAATTACTCTTTGAATTAAAACTTTTAACCTGCTATTCTGTGTTCTTGAGAAAAACTATTAAAATAATCATTAAAATGATGTGTGACTAAGTGCAAGATTGCAATGTTGCTAACTGAAAAAAAATTAAATCTTTTTCTTATATATACAAGTTCACAGATACTTACAATTCAAAAGTACATTGTTGAAATGAGAATGCTCATCACAACAGACCGCATCAAGATCCAGGCACCAAACTAAGTTCAGGTTACTGGAGTCCCCTCTCCCTAAGTCAGAACATCAATGCTTGACAAAAGCTTGACTCACTAGTACCAAAACAGAGGACTGATTATTAATCCTGGTTTATTTGTTTCATGTAAAACTCCTAACAATGGTTCCCACATGGCAGTCACAGACTGAATTGCGTGGGGGTTTTATTATCAACAGTTGGTATTCATACTAAAAACATTAACTGTATAGGGTACAATATTAAAAGGGTAGTTATACTGTAACTGAATTACACAAATTTAACAGTGAGTGAGTGTGTGAGTAACAAATTTCAAAGATCTCATGAAGACACATTATACAATATCTCAAAATCTCGGAATTTGATGCACATAGACAATTTGCAAGCATTAGAAACCACTCGGTAAACAATTTACAGTAGGGCGTTTTTTTTTTCTTACAAGTTCAACAGTCGTACCATGTGAGGTATTGCACTAGAGTTATATCTTTCTGATTTGCAGTGGATACTATCGAGTTTGTGAGATGACCTAGTTACTCCGTGAAGGAGGTCAGGACCTCCGGACGGAGTGTTGTGATCGGCTGATTTTTCATGTTCGCAGTCAAAACACTGGGTTCTCTTTGTGTAATCGGCACGCAATTTTATACGCCGTCTGCGGGCATGCCCGTGTTGATGCACGAATGTGTATTTTTGCCGTTGCTGCTTTCGCGGTCAATGTAATATCGCAGACGCACCCCTACAATTACGAGGCGAATTGGAATGGTCCAGAAAAACGCGTTGTTTGGAATAGCAGTGGGGGGGGTAAAAGTTCATGCAGATACGGGGTGGTTTTTATAAGTGGTTCCAGATGTCTTTGCCCATGGTTAAGAGATGCCAAGTTTTTTGGAAGATGTTCGCAGCCAAAACGCATTCTTCCGTACGTCGCATTTCTGTGTAATTTCGCATGTGGTGTGGCATTATGTCCGGGATGATGCACGTCTTTTTATTTTTACCGTAGCTGTTTTGATATTGAAGTAAATGCATATTTTAGAAACATCCCTACTTTTACAATCCTGTGGAATAGGCCGTAGGTTTAGGCAGTTGTCTGGTAGCAGAGGTACTCTAAGTAGATATCCTGGTTATCTGGCCGGCGGTAGTAACACTCGCGGTACTTACCGCAACTGTTGCTGGAATTTGGCCTGTTCCAGGCGCGCTTAATTAGGTACAGGCACCGTAAGACGGTGGGGCTGTCTTTGTTACTAGACACGACCATGATAGTCCGATCTTTATGTGAATGCAATGATTGTGTGCAGTGTTTCCGTCAGGAGACGGCCGAAGGCCCGACCGCGAGCGCCGAAGGCCCGACCGCGAGCGCCGAAGGCGCGAGCTTATACTAGGGGGGTCCGGGGGCATGCTCCCCCGGGAAATTTTGAAATTTTAACCCTCTTAAACGCCATTTCCCGCACTCTAAGAGGCAAATAATTGTTAAAGTAAAGGTAACTTTAATGCGGCGGCAACTTCCGGATAAAGGCCGGCGGTCCTGATTCCTGTTCGCGGGGTAGGTTTGCGTCAAGAATTCCCGCGGACGAATACGGCTGAAATACGTGCACATCCATAATTTTGATCAATAACATAATTGCTGGGATCTGACATGTTACTGGGTTCTCCTTAGCGGGAGTTCTTTATTGTTTTGATTGGTAAAACTCGGGGCAGTAAAAACACTAAAAAATAAGCGTGGCTACGCTACGAGAAACGCACGCGGTCCGTATACTTCCGGGGTAAGTGTACCTCAAACTAACGCTGAAAATGCAAAAAATACGAATAGAAATATATATTTACCCGAAAGATTCTTGAAACTATATATTTCTTCACTAGAATATCGATGTGTGGTTGTGGAAAATATCGTTTTAGCGCTTATATCCTAACAAAGAAAAGTTGTTTACACGCGCGTCGGCTCGCTCAATCTTACCGCTGGCGCTGCAGCGGCCGACGCAACAACCAATCAGAGACGCGAAATGTGGACATGTGACGCAGGATTTGCAGCTAGCTGAGGAGGCCGTGCGCGGTGCATGAGACACATTTTTTGTGTCGTATTTCAAGAGATAAATGCCTGCAAATAAACTTTTCTTATGTTTGAAAATATATCTAACAAGTTTATCTTTGAATAGCCGAGTGAAAATCAAATATATATATCGATGTCTGGTCCTTCGGTCCTACAAGAAACACGGTATCATTTTTTCGCGTCAAAGGACGGCTGGACGGCCGCCTGGCGGAAACACTGATTGTGTGTGTGTAATTAAAATGAACTTCGAACTTGAAGCACAGTATCTTTACACGCCCTGGGAGCAGTAATGGATTTAGCTCTTTGTATGTTTTATGCTTGTGACGCGCCCTCATTGTATTAACCGTTGCCTAATTATAATGTCTGCACAGTAGGTCTGGCGTTGACGCTTGGGATTTTGTTGAAATATATAAAACTTCACGGAGGATTGTCACCTATGGCTTCTTGTTTTTCTTCCACTCACTTCCCCCCATTATTCCACTGAAATGAATGTTTGCCTTGCCCCCCCCCCCCCCTCCCAGCTGGACTACATTGATGTGAAGTTCTCCACAGAGGCAGAAGATAAGGTGAAGGAGGAGTGTTGTCCTGGCAAGCCTCTCAGTAACCTCTGGGTCGAGGTCAGTCAGAAAAACTCTCATTTCCTGTAGATACTGTGAGTCCTGAAATGTTCACAGTGGTTTAATTTTTGACACCATGAATACAGTGTTTCCATTGTATTCCTACTGTACTACTGTTACAGTAATATAATTGTTAAGTCACAAACTTAAAACGCCTCCTCTCTCCTGTTACAGTGAAATAACTTAGACTTAGATGTAGGCTGGCTCCCATGTCTTCCGACACTTGAAGCAATCAGAGCATTTTAGCAGGTTTGGTGAAATCACCACCAAAATAAAGGAATCTACAGTAAATAAATGCGTACTATGTAGGAACTAAAAAAAGCAGTTACTCAAGCAGACGTTTCAGGTAGCATCCACTACCTTTCGTCAGTGACACTAAGAGACCAGAGGAAAAGTGCAGGTTTTACCTGGATGTCTAACCTTCACCAACATATGTACAATGTAGGAACTCTATTACAAGCAGTGAAATCATGAATGTATCTCCTGTTCCTACAGCCTGGGGTAGAAGTGCTGTTTGTGAACCCTCAGCATTCCAGCGGTCATTTCTCCTGGACCCTGACTGTCCGTCAGGGGGACACCACCGACAAGGTGCTGGGACGCATCATGCGCATGGAGAGGGGTATCAAAGGTGAGTATCTTCAGGTGATATACATTAGAACATTAGTAAGGGCAAATCTTTTTTATTAATATTATTTCATGGTGACATTTTCTGAAAATGTCAAATCAGACCAAGGAGTAAATTAAAGAAAGTTTACCGGTACCCCATTTTGCAATGGAACATTCTTTGATGTTCAATTTTTTTACAGCACTAGGTTCATATGTAATATTTACAACATTTTTATTATTTTATGAATTTCTATTTCATTTTATGAAAGGCTATCTCATGCTAATAAATCTCACTTGTAGCAACTTGTCGACTTGCTGCAACTTCTTGCTGGGGTTGTTGCATAATTACCGAAAAGGTCATTTTGAGTACAGACATATTTTGCCACAATCTATGATTTATAAAGCAGTCGCGACATGATATATGTACATTCATACTCTATATTGACTAGGTGCTTGTGTATTGTAATAATAATGTAACATTTCCACCAACACAGATACCACTCAAGTCAAGCTGATGCGATACGATGACCCTCTTGTGGGGCCCAGAACTATCCCTGTTTTCAACCAACCAGAGCTGGGGAAAACTGCCATCCCCGAGTCTTCTGTCTTCAACGTGAACCTGGAAACTCAAAATGTCTCTGTGTCTGAAAATGGGAAATCTGTTGATGTGGGGAAAACTCTGGTGTATATTGTACAATGAAAGGATTTCTAGATCTCCAGGCATTATTTAACATGTTATAATTAAGGGTTAACGACCTGCCAAAACTTAATGTTTTCATGTTTTCTCTCTTCACAATGGTTGTTTCTGGCCTACCTTTTTGGGTCACCCGAGGTCATATGCGGGTGATTATTGGGTTGTTTAATGTATGGATTGGGATGAATAAATACCCGGTTTTGACTCTATTTGTGACATTACGGTGTCATAAGGAATATTGAATGAAGCCTTCTGATTGGTCAACGATAATCAAGGGTTAACGACCTGCCAAAATTTAATGTCTTCTCGTTTTCTCTCTCTCCACAATTGTTGTTTCTGGCCTACCTTTGAAACATCCTAACTCTGCTTAATGTAATTTTTAAACATTTTGCACAGTGATTTCCTCCAAAAACAATATGCTCTTTACTCCCTTGGTTGCACAAGTAGGCAGCACACTGTTAGACTTTATACTGGTAATGCATGAAGTAATGTTCTAAATTAAAGCAAGGAGGTTTAAACCTCCTTGATTAAAGTAGTTGACAAAGAGAAACAGTATAGCACAATAATGTAGAAAACCTAGACAATGTATGTTACAGTATTAACAAATACACATATTGTAATGTTTTGTAGTGGCAGAGGGTTTTGACTTTACTTACAATCCATTTGTGTCTAACCTATCATATAATATTATACACTTTAAAATTTATATTGTGTTGACATGGTACAAAATATAGCTGTGCTAGATGAAATAGAAATTAAATTAAGCCATTGTGTAGTTGTGATTTGTGACAGATATGCTTCCAGAGATCCTTACCACATCACAGTACCAAATAAAATACATGAAAGGTTTTGAAATATTTCGAAAATTTTATGAAGGTAGCTTAAAATCATAGCAATAGAATTTATAAGGAAACAGCAATGTGGACTTATTATGTACAAATTTATGTACTAATGGAAACCATAATAGATTAATGAGACAATAGTACTTTTCATTTTCACTTTATGTGTATACCCAAACCTAGGACCTAATCAGCATCAAGGTGATCACTAAGTATTTTCTGGCAATTTCTTGTTCTCAGGACCATGCATACATGATTTCATGTTGAAATAAAGCATCCTGTGATGTTTATCAAAATATACTGTATTTTGGTAGATTTTGAGACATAAACCATGCCCACCTCCCCACAGCATGTATTTCACACGTTTTTGACACTGTTTGGGTAGTGCTTGTATTTACGGTGACCTTCCGAGAATTTCTGAAAAGATCAGGAAGCAGAGAATGGACACAGCATCCGTCTTTCTGAGCTGTTAGCCAGCCAGCTCATCCTGTGGGAGCCAGCAGAGGGAAGGAAGAGAAGGGGTAGTACAACCTTCATTGACACCCTGAAGTGGGATGCTGGGCTCAGAGACATCTCCACAGTAGTACTCCGCTCACTGATTGAGGACAGAGACGAGTGGAGAAGAACCCATTGTTCCCCGTGATGATATTGCTGATGTCCACGTTCAAGGTATGTGGCTCACTTTTCAATCTAAAACCATGCTTACCTTCCGAGCTGACTGTACTTGCCATCACTGGAAGGGTCAGAAGTGACAAATTCCACGGGCCTGAGGGGGTGCCGGCGAAATGACCCTTTTGCAGAGAAATGTACCAATTCTAGAGGAATGTACGCTTACATAACTTACAACTGGAGGAATGGCTGCTTTCCTGGAGGATTGTACATGTACCTAGAAGAATGTTCAGATTGGATTGGTCAGGGTGTAATTGTGGAATCCGATTAAGATATCAAAATGGAAGGAATAGGGCACTGTTAGCAGAGCTCTGCATCAAATGCAATAAAACTTGTATTGTCAAGGAGAGTTTGTCACCAAAATCATTGCTTTGTACAAATTCATGTAATATCAGTAATAACACAGTATAAAGACAACTCACTATGCACTTCAGAAGACATGTATTTAAATAATTACATGTAGCAGTGTTTTCAACACTGTATAGTCAGTTTAGTACACAATTTGATCTTGCTCTTTAAAAACATCTTGTGCATAAAAATATAAATTGCATACATACATTGTATACCACAGTAGTCCTCTTCGGATAAAATACATGTACATGTACATGCAGTCATTCCTGGCATATAATGCAACTGTCAATTTTCTTCTGAACATGCATGTGCTTGCTATTAAAATCTTTTCATGTGCAGAAAGGTCAGTTGAAAACAATGTAAAGTTCAGCAGCATTTGACAGTGACTCATGAGCCTTGCTTGTCAACAACCATTTCGCACCAAGTTGGTGTTTTGAGTTTCTATATTATTTTCTTACAAATATACAAATATAGATGGCTATGTATTATAAATAGAGAAAGTCTTTGCTGGATATTCAGCGGCGCCAGCATGAAGTGAAAGCCCTGCGGCAGCGTGAGAAGAAAGCGGCCAGGCGTCCCCGCTTCCTGACAGGGCGGGCCTGCTGCTGAGTGTCACCGTTCTCCTCTGTCTCCTCCTCACTAGGAAACTCCTGCTCACTGGCCTGGTCCTCCGGTGTGACCAGTGTGAAGCGCAGCGGCCTGACACAGAAAACAGGATTCACTGATGTGGTCAAGACGTCGAACAGGTCATCGGACGTCAGGCCATGTACCGGCAGGTCGTCAATAGCGTCCAGCCTGCCGACTTCTAGGGTTGCTTCTCTCTCTGCTTCCTTGCAGTGGAAATACAGCCTGTGCAACTCCCGATCACCAGCACCAAACAGCACCTCCAGGAGGTCATCATCAGAAGCCAGGAAGCGGTACCACTCTCCGTCGTGGTCTCTGTAGATCACAAAGTCCTGCTCACGTCTGGTAGGCTGTGGTGGAGGGACAGGAGGGTTGTCGGTGGTCTCGCCTGTGTCGTCTCCATGGTGAAGCCTGGGTGGTTTTGGTGGGGGTGTGCCAGTAACCACACCGTCTCCATGGTGAAGCCTGGGTGGTTTTTGTGGGGGTGTGCCAGTAACCATACCGGCAGCTGAGGGTGCAGAGGTGGGCTGATCTGTCCGCTGCTCCAACCCTGCCTTGATCCTTTGGACAGAGGGTCGGAGGCTGGGAAGAAAGAAAGACCTGGTGATGGAAGCTCCTTGCTCAGAGCTGTTACAAGACTATTCCTACAGCAGCTGTCTGTTAATCACATATTTTGTTGCTCATGATCAGGCCACTTCTCAGGCCTCCAGTCATTGGTCTTTCACTGATGACACTTGGGAGAAATAACACTGTATGTCATCATTCCCAAATATGGAGACGCATAGATAATTGAGATGAGCTGATTTAAAAGTCATTTGGTCTTTCGAATCATTCAGACACCAAGAATGAATAAACACTGAAATGATGATGTACCTGATCAGAGCCCTGTCAGTCTCTGGTAGTGCATGTGTGGGGATCCCACTGCTGACACCATGTGACTGACTGACCAGCCATGCCTCATAACCGCGCACCAGTTTGCTCACGTTAGCTGATCTGTAGAGGAAACATGTACAAGGTGGCTTTTAGCAACAACACAACTAACAGATAGAGAAGTAATGTGTGAATGGTGCAGAAGAATGCAGCAACCTACTTTGTAACCTAAGGCAACTGTCATCTTAATAATTCCCACATACAATACAGGTGTTCCCAACATAGACAACAGGCTGGCTTCTATCTTTGTAGGTAGGATCCTACCCCCCCCCTCTCATGTTCTAACTGTTCTGAACATTGCTAGTTAAACCTAACTAAACAGTTCTTACTCGCTAAATGAGCTGGCTGCATCACCCTCTTGCTCTGGCTATGTAGGAGAAGGAACACAATGCAATATGAACAACAAAACAAACAAACAAAACAGAGGAAAACAAACACAACAGAGCAAAGCAACATATAAAAAGAGGGAACATATGAATACTTAGTTCAATACAAAATGAGCAGAATGTATATAATAAGTATGAGAGGAGTATAACTTGCTTTACACAGTAATTTATAAATAAAAGTTAAGTACCCAGGCTGCTGAAATGGAATTCGATTGATAACTTCCTGTTAAGATTTAAATTTTCACAAGGGGGAAACTTCAGATTTCAAACCCTTCAGGATGGTGAACAAAAGAGAACACAGGCTAGCTACTGCCATAACATGACTTCTGACTGGCCACAAATGTTGTTGAAATGATAACTTAGGCCACACCAATTTAATTTCTTGGTTAACGGATTCGCCCACTTCATTTTTTTCTGATTTGCAAATAAAAATAAAAATTCAGAATCAACTGTAAAATACTCATATTTTGCCCTGAACAGTTGAAAACAGTCCTTTTCATCCTAGTTGTTACAGTTATTCCATCTTTCAATGCAATGGTATCATTAAAAGTTCAAAATTCATTGTTTAAATTTTGAACCAGCCTGGTGTGTTGACTTCATGGCTCCTAGCGTACCATTTTGGGCCATAATAGGATGCCTAGGCCTGTGTTTTTTTTTTTCGCCTGCCTGCTCCATTATTTTTCTAGAAAAATCTGTTAACCAAGAAATTAACTTGGTGTGGCCTTACCTTCAGCTTCCCCTCCTCACTCTTAGACTCATGGGGCAGTTTTCTCAGGCCATCATCCTGAGTCTGTAGTGAGCAGGAAAGAGACACAAAATTAAGCACAACGAGAACAACAAAACAAAATGAACTTGACATTCATTTAACACATTGATACATCTATGGAAATATGAGAAATAACCTTCCCTGGTCGAGTTTGGGTCTCCGATATCGATGATATGTACACTTTTATTTCCTACCTCTAAATGAATTTTGACTTAAAGGCATCCAATGCAATTTCAGGGCAGCAAAACTGGAAATATTCTGAACAAGAGTTCCACGATCTCATACCTTTGCCAAATGATGTTAACCCTTGCGGTTGACGAATTATACAATTTTAATAATTGATTTCGCAAATAAGAGCGTCATTTGCATGGATTACATCAGTTGATCATATTCTCTACCCAATGGCAGCCTTATTTTAACAAAATAGGCTATTCTAGCACTTCCTCATAAATTATGCAAATGAGTTCATAATGTGAATAAATTATCTTCATTGATGTTCACCTTCACTTAACTTCCAAATACGGCAAGTATGAAATTCCCAGCAATTACAACTATGAAATTATAACAATTTTCCATTAATTATGTAAATTAGGTCTTCATTTACATAATCTATATCCTCAGATGTTTTTCTAGTTCTCAATTACATGTCACAAGTGTTTCAAAGTCCTATAATCGAACGAAGCAGATTTATAGAATGTCCTCATTAATTATGCAAATTAGCTCCTGATTTGCATAATTGTCATCTGATTATGTCAAGTATCACTTCAGCTACCTACATAGTACATACCAAAAATCATAGCAATCCGTCAACCGGTTCTTGAGTTATCAACCTTCGGAGATTTTTCAAGAAACACTCCTGCAGTTCCAGAACAAGCTGCTAGGGGGTCTAAACTCAGGTCAATTCTTCCCTACCCCAAAAGCTATCTACCAACCAAAATTCGTGACCCTAGCATGTCTAGATCGCGAGATCTCAAAACCGGAAGTTCTGCTGCAGTACCAACAAAAGCCGTCAGGGGGCCCAAAATCTAATCATTTCTAGGTCTCATCAAGACCTACCCACATACCAAGTTTCATGACAATCCATATTAAGCTTCTTGAGTTATGCTGTTCACAAACAGACAGACAAACAGACAAACGCTACTGAAAACATAACCTTCTTGGCAAAGGTAACAAGGCAATGTGACATTGACCATACTTTAACACATTTAAATCAGTATTTCATACTTTGGGCATTTAAAATTCCAGAAACAAGCCCCAAGATGAGTCCTTTATTTTCTGGGTGGTACCCTAAAAATCAGCCCAGGTCCTTCCAGTAACCATTTTCTGTCAGACTGTTGGGAATTTTTGCTCCATGAATGTCAGTAGAGAGAGTGTTGTTTCAACTCAGTATGTAGATAAATGACTAGAATATTGGCTTTGAAAATTTGGGTTTCCAAGCCCTAAAAACTGCACTGGATGCCTTTAAATAATAAAGCTTCCGACAGGCTGAACACAACAGTACTGTTGTTCAGCGGACAAGGTTGAACAGTCTCCATGTATGAGCTCTTTACCTCACTCAAATCGTTCACGGTCGTCATCTTGCGCAGGGTAGACAATGACATCTTGTCGTAGGAGTTTTCTTCGGTAAGACGAAGTACACTCGCTCTCATGCAGAACACCTAACGTTACAGAGGTCAGCAAATGAATCCACAGAAAAGTAAATGATTTGCTGGTTTCCACTGGCGGTGAGACGTCAACATACACTACAAACTGTCTACAACATATCAGAAATACTCAGACGACTTTACTCTCTTCCCGTAAGTGTAAAATGGCCTTAGAAACGGCAATGACCTTGAGGTTTTATGTGACCTTGTGATAACCAGATTGTTTAGAACACTACGAACTTTTTGTGCTTCATTTCGCCAGATATTGACACTTTTGGACACTCTATCAGCCGTAACGACATGTAAGCAGCACTCACACGTAAGATATGACTGAGATTTACGACTTTTCTAGGATTTTTCGCCCGATTTTTCACCTAAAACAGGAGAGAGAAACTTTCCCACCTGGTTCGTGAGCACGAAACTTGTCGAATGTAAAGAATTCGAACGTATGTCCATGGCAACCTTACTGTAAACATGACGTTCGAACGCATGGGAGGAATGAACCTGTGGTTTGCGTTCTGGAAATGGGAAAATTTGTCAAGAATTGTGATGTACTGGAAAGGTTTAAAGAAATATGCACGCTTCTCAGTGGATTCTTAGTGTGTAAAATTTTCCACATATTTCAAAAAATGCGATTAAATAATTGAATTGGATGTGTTGATTATCCTTTTAGTTGTGATCTGGCATCATTCCTGCCATCATCGCGGATTGGCACAACAGTAGCAATCGGGTTGCGGTTGTGACATGGCTTGGTTGTGTGCTGTGTGACATAAAATAAAACATTTCTCACTGCCAGATGAAATCTAGTTGCTGGTCAGTATTGCTATATATTTTGTGAATCTTTTTCTTGCGCTGATAGAAATACATATCAATGTTACTTGCTCAGTGGTAATTTACTATGCACAAAGTGTTACCGCATTCAATATTGTATCTAAAAATGGTGAAATGAAGGAGCCACGAAGAAAACTTTGGTTTAAATTTTATTTTCAACAAACCGATAAATGTTCTTCAGCTGTGCCGCAGCCAATAAGTTCGACGAAATGTCCCAAGAGCAGAACACTAACAATAGTACAATACCTACAACCCGCTCCAAAGGTATAGTTGCGTTTCCGTTACGAACCGCTAGGTAGGGCGAATAGAAGGGCAAAGGTCGGCTAGCAGACGAACGTAACTTGGGGTCAGTTACAGTTTACCTGGGGTTAGGTAACGCACAAAAATGGCACCCAGGAAGACGTCTCGCGCGCGAGGGGACCCTGACGAACGCACAAAGTTGTTACAAAGCGTGCCACCGACTCAAAGGTAAGAGTGACAAGCCCGAGATGATTTATAACACTGAGCAGTGACTCCTCTTTCCTCAGATCCTGTCTAGCCAACTTGGCTCTTTGCGATAAAGTTGAAACAAGGTTACACCTCTGTTTACATCAACGTGTTATTAGTCCTAGCCCTTAAATTTGTAACAATAAACGTTGTAAATACGTTTTAACATGTCATTTTTCCGTAAGGTCAGGTGTTATTATTATTTTTTCTTCTTCTGGTTTTGAAGATCAAAGTCCATTATGTTAATCTAGCTGACACACTGTGACAGTTACTAACTACCATTAACGTTACCAATAATCATCATGTGACCTATGTCAAAGCTCAACATCTCTAAATTAATATAAAATTTAATAAGAAGTGGTGTGCATGTCATGAATATTTCAAGTCATAACCTTGTGGGAACGTAATGTAATGTTTACTGTACTTATCGTATTATTTTTTCTGTCTGTCCTACTTCACAGTTCCAACAGTGTCCAGTTTTGGGAAGATGACAAAGACACCCGCAGCCGCTGGTGGTCCATCAGGATCATGTACCTAACCATGTTCTTAAGCAGCATCGGTGTGTGAAATCTACTCTTTAATATCAACTATTAAATCAACGCTGAAATAATTACATTAATGCATTTTTCACTTGAAAAGTTCTATTGTAACATTAACTGTTGTTGTTCCTATAAAAATCGAAAGATTTGAAATGGAAAGGCCAATTTGAAAATAAACAGACGAAACTGTATAGTGTTAAATGAGCAATGAGCAATCATAGTAGAAATGTATGTATAAATCATGATATGAAGGTTTAAACGGTTCACACCATTCTTCTTTGTTTATCTGCAGGATTTTCCATCGTTGTGTCTTCAGTATGGCCTTACTTGAGAAAGGTAAGTTTGATGCTTGCTCCATGATGCTTTTCTCACCTTTGTTGACAATTATTAAGTAAGCTCCAAGTGAACGCCATCACAGCAAAGATACTGATGAGGGCCTGCAAGGGGGGGTCCCGACAACGCTCTACACTGAATTCGGAAACCTCTCAATTACGCTTTACGATAAATTCCAAGTGGCTACAACGCATTACGTAGAATTGAAACGGTGATTATGCTCTACACAAAAATATTAGAGCGGTCCGTCTACGCTCTATGTTGAATTAAAACGGCCGATTACGCTCTACGGAAAAGGGCTTGCGGGCCCCCACTGATTAGAAAATGAACCATTAATGTATCAATTTTTTTCAAGGACAGGAGCTAGGTGCAGGTTCAATTTACATTAACAGCATAGAAGAGCGACATGACCCAAGAAGCAGTAGGTTAAGAACTGGAACATACAATGCACACTAGAAATTAATCTTATTTTAATCACACTCACTCACTCACTATCCAGTTTATCGTCTGTTTTTTCCCGTCTTCCGAGGGTTAGACGTGCTTGCACAGTACAACTGAGGCTTGATGGCAGCACGCCACTTGTCTCTTTCCTGTGGGCTGATCTTGTTCAAGTTCAGGTGGTGGAGGTCCTCCCGTATGTTGTCAAACCATTTCCTCTTAGGGCGACCACGGGGGTTTGGACCCTCCACATCTAATGTGAGGATCCTCTTTGGCCATTTGTCCCTGTCCATTCTCTGGAGGTGGCCGTACCATCGTTAATCAGTTTCCATGATAAAAAGTTTGGTAGTCAGTTGTTGATATTAAAGTGAAGACTTGTCCTGTGCCCCACAGGTAGACCACAGTGCAGATGAATCGTTCCTAGGCTGGGTGGTCGCTGCCTACAGTCTGGGCCAGCTGGTTGCCTCCCCCATCTTTGGAGGCTGGGCCAACCTGCGTGACAGGACCAAAGAGCCCTTACTGGTGTCAATCTTCATCAACGTGGGGGCTAACACCATGTACAGCTACTGCCACGCCTTCCCTCCACCCAGGGGGGTCTACATGCTGGTGGCCAGGGCACTGGTTGGCTTTGGGGCAGGTATGTAGTAGCGAATATGCAGCTTAAGTTAGTAACGTTACTACTACTACTACACATAAAATGGCTTTGGGGCAGGTGTGTACCCGGTAGTAGCGAATATGCACTTTAAGTCAGTACTACTACTACTACTACTACTACTACTACTACAACACAGAAATGACTTTGGGGCAGATGTGAAGCTACTACTACGACTACACACAAAATGGCTTTGGGGCAGGTGTGTAGTAGCGAATATGAACTTTAAGTTAGTACTACTACTACCACCACCACCACTAACTACTACTACTACTACTACTGCTTAACTACTACTTTTATTTCAAAATCATCTTTATTCCATACAAGATGAATGACATATTAAATACATAGCTAAAAACCTAGGACAATCCTTTGTCTCATGTTTAGGTAACAAGAGGAGGACGCAAGGTGGACAGACAAAAATACAATATACTAGTCACTGTGTGCATCGGACATACAGACGTTCTCTATTAAAAATTGCCATATATAATTATAATTACGGGTACATTATATAACAATTACAATTTAGAGTTCTTAAAAAAGACAGCAGCTAAATTTTACATCTAATTTTTACAGTAGAACAATCCTGAAGTGCATTCCCAAGCAGGCGTGTTTCTGGCACAATAGATTGCATAAGATGCACAAAGTGCACACTTTCCCAGTCTACTTTTAAGATGTCTGACTACACACAACACACAAAACACTACTACACACAAAATGGCTTTGGAACAGGTGTGTTATTGGGCATATGCACCTACAACTACATACAAAATGATCACATGAAAAAAATAACACTCTATAATTTTTTATTCACAATTCATGGTTAAACATACTTCTATTTCACATACTTCTATTTCACATGTACAACAGGAAATGTTGCAGTTGTCCGTTCGTACGTAGCGGCAGCCACCACCCTGACAGAGCGAACATCCACCATGGCAACCATGAGTGCCTTCCAGGCCATTGGATTCATCCTTGGTCCAGGTGAGGCATCAAAACATCTACCTACATGCTGTAATATTGAATAATCTCCCCAACCCCTCATATGTGTGTTTTCTCTAGACAATAACCAAAGCAAAGTTGCAGAATCTGATACAAAACTTTGGCCAAGTATTGGTGAACATTGTGTCAGGGAAGCTGGTGTGTTACGCCGAAGGGCGGTTATACCGGCTATACTGATACAGATAGAGGGTAAATGATTTTTTAAAATTCAGCCTATTAGAAAATTACAAGTTCAACATAACTGTGAGTAGCATGCATAGTCCAGTGGTTACCCTGCCTCTGGACCAACAGGTCGGGAGTTTGAATCCCGGCTGTTGTCACTCACCAGACTTGCATGCTACTGGAAAGGGTTGCAGTCCTTTGGATGGGGCATTGAGCTGTGGTCCACTGTTCATTTTGCTTGTGGAAAGAGCTAGGGGAATTTTCCTAATACAAAGAACCTGTAAATACAGTACATAGCGTCTGTCTTCTCTGTCACGATCAGTGGGAGATTAGGTCTTCAGTGTGCTAAAACTGGATCGAAACCATTTTTAATGCTCAAAGACTGACTGCCCCTCCCCCAACAGTCATGCAGACAGCCTTCGTGCCCCTGGGTGAGACAGGTGTAGAGTGGAAGGCCATCCAGCTGTCCATCAACATGTACACAGGACCAGGCTTCCTGTCTGCTGTCATGGGCATCATCAACATCCTCCTGCTCATCTTTGTGTTCAAGGAATACAAGGTGGCAGACACTGCCGGGCTGGTGGTCAACAGTCAGGGTAAGGCTAGGATTCTGTCTTCTTCTTTTTTTGGCAAAGCCCCAGGGGTGGAGACATATTCAAAATTGAAAAGGAGAAAAACTAGACAGGCTAGACAAGACTTTTCTTCACTATTTTCTTTTTTAAGTTTTCAATGTTACTAAATCATAGACAAGGAAAGAGGATGGAAAACGGATGTGTCAGGCTAACCATGACAGGTTCCGGTTGTCTCAAAACTGGTTACCTGTGTTCAGTCCTGTACTTTGCGTTGGTTAGTATAAGTTGTATAAGTAGCTGATTAGTGAGGGAGATTGTTGTGGCCTTTCTAACATGCAAATTGCATGGTTTGTAAGTTTGTGCTATGAGAATGAATGATCTGCACAATTTACAATTCCTCACAGAAACAAATTATGTCATGTATTTTAAAGTGAAATATTTGATAGAAAGACATTGACATGGCCTTCCTATAGGGCAAGAAGCAAATTCAAGTTCATCTTGTTTCTACTTTCCAACAGAGATAGAAAAGTCGGAAGAGGAGGGAACAGTGGATTATTTTGCAGTCGTGGCAACCAACATCCTGTTCTTTGTCATCCTGTTTTCCTTTGCCATCTTCGAAACGTAAGTTCACATGGTGCTGAAATCATTGTTATTGTTAACAAAAAAAAGACTGCAAACTTTCCTGTTCTGAAGATATGATGGTCACAGTTTGGTCTTGTTCAGGAAACACTTACTATGCCCTTGTACTGAATAATTTTCTGCCAGTAAAACAAGGATCATGGTAGGTATTACATCTCAGTAGAGAGTTGTCCTCTGCAATTTCATCCAGACAACTGTACTTATCAGTTGCTTAGGCCTAGGGAAAAAATGTTGCGCTTCCTGTTTTAGTCCTTAAAAAAATTAGGGTCGGTAGATAGGGATTATCATTTTTCTTTCTTTCTTTTTTTATTAGACTTTGGGCATCTCTAGTGATCAAACTTAATATGCAAATTACAGTAATTTTAACAAAGTAAAACTTGCATGAGGACACTTATACTTTTCAATGTCAATTCTGGAAAACTGATTGTACAGCATTTCATCACTCAGGTGTCAGATCATGGAGCTAGAAAAGGTTGATCATCTAGAAAAATTTGTGTCCCTTGCAGGGATCCACCCAAAAAAAAAAGGCTAGGGTCGGCAGTTTTCTAGGGTCGGTCGGGAAACACAACATTTTTTTTCCTAGGCCTTACATACACTGCTGTGTTGTTTCAGAATCACCACGCCACTGACTATAGTGATGTATGCCTGGACCCAGAGCCAGGCTGTGCTGTACAATGGCGTCATACTGGGCTGTCTGGCTGTCCAGTCTGTGTGTGTTATGATCGCCATCAGAATTCTCTCCAGGAAGTGAGTACAAAAGTCAACACTTCACAGAACTGTACAGACATAATGATGCACTTAAATTTACGGGTTTGTGGCTAAGTAGATCTATTAAATTATATTACACCCAAACAAACCAATAAACAAACTTCTAATTTTTATTTGGAAACAATTTAGCCAGTAATCCAGGAAGCAGGAAAAACAAGGTCTTTTAACAAGTGTTTTCTTTTTTGTTTTGAATGCCAAACCTTTTGTTTTTCAGGTTTAATGAGAAGAGGATGATGCTTGTTGCATTTTTTATCATGCTCGCTTCTTTCGTCATGCTGATTCCATTTGGGAATGATCCCATTCCAAGGGTGGCACCAGGTATGTTCACAGTCCTGCAAGGCTGTGGGAAAAGTACATCTTTGATCTAAGAAGTGAAGACAAGGAAACTGTTACATTTCTCGTGTTTTGTTATGACAATTTATAAAAAAAATAGCACAATGTTTATCATAATTTCTCATGTTTTCCTTCCAGGTCTCCATCCAGCAGTAAACATCACCACCCCAAGTCCACACCCTCAAAACATCACTTTTGCCCCCAACGTCACAGTTCTCACCACTCCTGCAGCAACAACGCCCCCTAGGGGCTGTCCCTGGGACTACCACTGGTGCGACAACACACCCAAACTGTACATTGAACAGATGTTTGCTGGGTTCTTCCTCCTGGGACTTAGCTATCCCACAACCAATGTGTTATCTTATGCAATGTACTCTAAAATCCTGGGCCCTAAACCACAGGTACAGCATATTTGTCATTCAGACTTTGGGTTGTTCCATAACAAATTCTTCTGTGGTATTTCTTTTCTATAGTCTTATTTCTTTGTATTGCTTAAACCGTGAACCACCACACCCATTTATTATACTGTTATAATAATTACATTGTCCATATAGCAGCAGAGCATTCTATTCATTTGAAATGTGTATATATATTGGTATCGGGACATTGTATTGGGTAATTCACAATTGTGCATAGCTTTTGTTCCTTTTTATTCCTGTAAATAGAATCATGATGTCTTACAGCTTTAAAGTGCTCATTTGCATACCCAGTGATGAATTATGTCACAACTGTGATGCCATGAATGTATAGAGAGTTGAAACTGTGTGCGTTCTTTTGTTGAATGTCATTTTGGATCGTGTTTCTTGTAATAATGTACAGTCTGTTATTTTGTACTTTGTATGCCCTGCACTGCCTGAAAAACAGGTATTTATTTAACCTGAGTGTAGTTGCTGGTGAAATAACTGAAACTACATGTGTGTAGTTTGCCAGAATGATAGTTATGTTTGAAACACCTTGCATCCAAGCTGAAGCGCCGATTTTCCAATATTTCAGGGCACAGCGATGGGTTGGCTCACCGCCTCTGGAAGTCTGGCCCGTACCCTGGGTCCCGTGTTCGTCAGTCAGATCTACACGTCCTACGGCCCGCGGGTGGCCTTCGGGGCAGCGGGCGGCATCGTTCTGGTAGCCATCTTGTGGCTCATCGGAGTCTACAGGAGGCTGGTTCCTTTTGTTGAAAGAAATAAGATTCTCACCGATACTTCATAACTTGGTTCATAATGTTACAACCTTGCTGAGATTCTGTTTATAACCTGAATGTACAATTTTTAAAGCTTTTGTAAATTTGATGACAACCTGTACTAATTTTTAAGGGATGTGTGCAATTTTTGAATTTATAAGAGCTGCAACAACAGCAGTAATGGTCTGTATGTATCGTGTAATCGGGAGTGTGGATTGTTAGAGCTACATTGTATACTAATGTACTGTATTACTTAATCAGAGACAAGTGTATTGTGACATGCAGAATATGGTCACAGTTAGAGTCAAATTATTGCAAGATGTTAAAGTTGCATACCTCTCCTAATGTACCATATATATTTTTCTGCTGAAGCTGCAATATGTGATTACAGTACTTTCTATTACATTTGAATAATTTGACCTGCAGTCACAATCTGATCTATCAATATTATATATTTCATAAACTATGCAAATGATGTAATAAAATTTAAATGCCACACATAATCATTATATCACCTAACATATTGTACTTCTACAGACCAAAATTACCTCAAGAAATAATACATTTGCTCACTGCATCTGATATGTAGAGTCTCATGCAGTTGGGCCGTGTTTAAGTGAAGTCACCCAAACCGCGATGCGGGTAACTCACATTCCTCACACCTGGTCCACGTGCCACACACTCCTGTGAAACCGTGTCCGATCACAATTCGCCTGAGCTACATTTATTACTGTTTGATGATAACACGCAAGGTGGCGTGTTATTAATGTCAGAGGTCAACGACCTGCTTGCTGATGCCCCCCTCCCAGTGTATCTCGGCCGAATGCCGACGTGGTCCCGTCAGAGGCGGTGAAGCTCGCTCTAGAACGGACGCATTATTTGACCATTACTGCTCTTTAAGTTGCTGCCACGTAAAAGTTGGTATTGCATATAAATAAATATCACCCCGTAATCCATGACCAAGTGAAGTCACATTGAAATCACATTGCGTTCAGATGCAAATCGCGGTGCGGGAAAACCGATTCGAAACCACCTCTAGAAGTGGCTTGGGATCGAGGCGCTTTCAATGTGATTTCGGAGCGTTCAGATGGAGCCACTTGAAACCAGCTTCGGGGTAAACCACATGTAAAGCGCCTTGGGTGACTTCACTTAAACACGGCCTAAGTCATTCAAGCATCTAGTGGTTTGAGTCCAACTGAATGAAATTCCCTCATGAAAAAAATGGTTGACTCATATACATGTACATTGTACTTATTCTGGTAGCTGGAAACTTTGAAACATTTTTCAAAATGTGTGAAAAAATTATTCAAGTAATGAAAAGACTACAAAAACATAGATTTTGTGTATAAACTTTATAATCTGGTGTAGGGGGAAAAGCATGGCACGATATACATAAACACAATAATTATTATAACACATTCAGCACAAGTAGTGAGGAACCAACTTAAAGGGATCTTTGGGGGGCACAAATAATGGAATTTTTCTCGTATAGATCTACTGAACATAGTTGTGTAAATTATTCTTTCTTTTATCCTTTAGGTGAAATTTGTCATGTTTGTTTCCACCCCCAAGAATCCTTTTGGTTTAACCCGTCACCCATGCATGACAGGGCCAATCAGAACTTGGCTTTAGAATCAGCTCCTTGCAGGGTTGGCAATAGGGTTTACTTACACATACCTCATAACAAATGAAAATGAACATAAACAAACAATATATAAACCTTCCTTTGGTAGGAATAAAAGGATAACAAGGTATCATGACACTTAACAAAAATTTGTTACATTCCTGAATAAGTCCAATCTTTTCTGTTATGTATGTCATGTTTTGTTAAGTCACAAGTTTAACTTCACTAAAAATAATCTCCAAGCAGATCCCTTTCAGTGGCAAGACAATATCCATTTGCCACCAAAAGGGATCTGCTTGACTGTACAAACTCCTCTGGCTAGTGGATACTGTCTTGCCACTGAAAGGGATCTGCTTGGAGATTAGCTAAGTAGTGTAAAAATCAAGGATACATTGCTGCTAGATTAAGTTTGTGTTCCAGATTAAAGCAATGTAAAACATTGTAGTTTCCGTAATACAATGTTGAAACAAGAAATAAAATTATAATGAAACAAGCAATTACTGCAATGTTTAGCAAAATTACAGTGTTCAACATGAGACTTCAATTTATCTATCTATCTACAACATCATAAAATGGTATCACAAAGTCGCAATAGAAATGAACTGTCTCCATTTGTCAGCTGGTGACTCAAACAGAAGCTACATTATTACTAACATCATCGTATGAACATTCAAAGCAGGAATATTGCCATACTTAATCCTTATTATAACTTCAGTTACAGGTCAACTGTAGAAAGTGACAGTAATGGTAGATTTACCCAAAAGTGTTGAAAGTAGACAACACAAACCCAAGAACATCAGCTCCATTTTTCATAATATAAAACCACGCTGATAACATTCTAACCTAGCTGTCATCAGCTTTCCTATTCCCATGCCAAAATTTCATCTTGGCCAGCTCCTATGAATACAAACTCTCTCTCTATTAACTTGTCTAGCTCTAGTTTTGTCTGCTCCAGCAGACTGAACAATAAAGTCTCAGGCCACACCAATTTAATTTCTTGGTTAACGGATTCGCCCACTTCATTTTTTTCTGATTTGCAAATAAAAATAAAAATTCCGAATCAACTGCAAAATGCTCATATTTTGCCCTGAACAGTTGAAAACAGTCCTTTTCATCCTAGTTGTTACAGTTATTCCATCTTTCAATGCAAAGGTATCATTAAAAGTTCAAAATTCATTGTTTAAATTTTGAACCAGCCTGGTGTGTTGACTTCATGGCTCCTATTGTACCATTTTGGCCCATAATAGGATGCCTAGGCCTGTTTTTATTTTTTTTAATTTTTTTTCGCCCGCCCGCTTTTTCTAGAAAAATCCGTTAACCAAGAAATTAAATTGGTGTGGCCTTACTGAAAGATAAAATAACCTCTTGAGTACATAAAAATGTACATATAACATCAAATAAAACTTAACAACATGTACGTACTTACAATATATAGCATATTCCTCCTTTCTGAGTAAATACAAATGTAGAGCCAAATATAAAGTATAACTTGATATGCACATATTCCCTTTGCAACTTCCAAAGCTGTTCAGTTCCTTCAAGAAACTTACTTTTTCCTCGACAAACAAGAGCTACCCTCTACATGATAAAGTCAGTAAAGAAGACCAAAATAATAAGTGCTGTACACATACATGTACATGAAGGCGTAAAAGAATACACATCATGTACTGTACATTTCACATACCTCAGAAAGAGACAGAGAGAGCAAAGCAACTGAAAAGAAAAGTTTAACATGAGTTGGGAACAACCTTTTAACAATTCTAAATGCTTGTTTCTAGAAATGTAGCAAAAATTGCACACCCCATCCTCCAACCACCTAAAATACAGAAAATGGTTTGATCCAAACTTCCTACTTGTATATGTAAGTTTTCGTACCATACAAACATGAGCCCAGTATTAAGTTCCAAACTGTTATTGCTTTCAGCATCATGGCACAGGGGTTCCTGCATTGCTTTTTTTGTCATTACACAAAACACATAAAATTCTTCAAAAGATCTCACTCAATAAAAGTAATTTACCTAAGGCCACACCAATTTAATTTCTTGGTTAACGGATTTTTCTAGAAAAATAATGGAGCGGGCGGGCGAAAAAAAAATAAAAATAAAAACAAGCCTAGGCATCGTATTATGGCCCAAAATGGTACGATAGGAGCCATGCGAAGTCAACACACCAGGCTGGTTCAAAATTTAAACAATGAAGTTTGAACTTTTAATGATACCATTGCATTGAAAGATGGAATAACTGTAACAACTAGGATGAAAAGGTCTGTTTTCAACTGTTCAGGGCAAAATATGAGCATTTTGCAGTTGATTCTGAATGTTTATTTTTATTTGCAAATCTGAAAAAAATGAAGCGGCGAATCCGTTAACCAAGAAATTAAATTGGTGTGGCCTAATAGGCATGGAATAACTAAGGCCAAATTCAAATCAATGGGACAGGGAGAAAGTATTGGCAGACCTGTATTCATTTGTCTGAACTTTTTGACTGTGTCCATGGCACTTAAAAACATTTAACTAATGCGCTGGAGTCTAAAAACTTGCACATCAAAGTTTGAATGGCAACTCCTGTAAACTTTTTTTCAAAATTCATCAGACTGTTGACTTTAAAAACTTGGATATGGAAATTTCCCTCAAAACTAGCCTCTGGCACATTTCACAGTATCAGACTATCACTGTATCAGTAGAAATTTTGCTGCCATACATGGCACCTATAGTAACCCTTGTTGTTTGTGAAGCAGTGCCAAAATGCAACTTACATACTAAGGTCTGGGAGATAGCGATTGTGCTCGCAAGGCTCAAAATACTTTTCTTTTTAGGGTGTGGCCTGGTCACATTCATCGTAGACTATCATACATGTACAACTTTGTTGCAGTAGAATTTGAAAACTGTCAAAAAGGATCAAAGATAGCATTTTCCTTACCAAACATGGCTGAGTTTTGTACAATATATGCACGACTACGGTATCCCAAGAATGCCATAAGTTTACAACAATTATACAATCGTCTACCAGATACCTTTGACCCAGTGTTGACGTCACACTTCAAAGAACCCATGTGACAAGCTTCACTGGGTCAGTCTACTGAGGAAGACCAGAGTGACTGGTCGAAAGCTCTAGGTGAGAGAATTTTTTGTGTTGGACCAAAAGTTTTAACTTTAAACAACAATTGTACAATAATGTGACTGGCCCTAGAATTGCAATATTTGATTCACCATACCAAGCCTGCAATTTTTCTCCCAAGTGCATGCTTGGTATTTTGAGCCCTGGAAAGTTTGGAAATGTTTGAGACCAGATAAAATGAACAGCTGGGCACCGGTCTACCAGTTGACGACAACGCTCACAGAACCATCGTCGCCCTTGATGACCTTGGGGCTCCCAGGTGTGGCAGACTCGGGGGTGTCCTGTGCATCAGGTGCCCTGAATGAGATGGTAGGGTTCTCTGATTCAGGCACTTCAGGGTTGTCCACGGTTTCGGGTATGTCAAGCAAGGCTTCATTCACTGGGCTGGAAGTGATGAGTATAGAAACAAGTTACATACACTATTTACATGTCGAATGTTTGTGAACAGATTTCAGACAAACATATAAACATGAACAGCTTCATAGGGGTACCTACATGGACATATTTGAGACACTTGTTGACAAGAACTGGACTACAAATAAGACACAGACATGCACAAATAGACACAGGCAACAACATGATGCCCCACTATAACAATGTTATAGCAATAGAACAAAAAAGTACAAGACTAAAACAATGTGATTTTTGTTAAGAACTGTTCCCCTCATTGCCAGTCACCTTATTAAATTGTTAGCATGCTATATACATGTAAATACGTACATGTAACAGTCACACTTTGTTAGTAGCTTTGTTAGAGACAGCAGTTACATATAAGGGTTTACACAAACAGCATTAGCAGAAAGTATCTTTTGTAATGTCACAGAAAAGGGGAAGCAAATAATAACTGGAAGTGGAAGTCAGCAGCACATGCAGCTCATGGTCAGCGCCATTCAGACTGCGATGGGGAACAAGGAACTAAGTCTACCTAGCAAGTGAGGGGTACGGCCCTGGGGCCTGGTCAGTTCCTGTTGGCTGGACCACGTTGTTTGTACCTGATTGGGGGCTGTACACTGGAGGGGGTTGTTCTTCTGTAGGCACGGCCTGGTAGGACGCCGACGCGGCCTCTTGCTGCACGTGGTTGCTGCTACCGTCGGGCTGCATGCTGGTATTCTTCCCGTCCTCCACCCTCCCGGAGCTGTGGCTGGACTGACTGGTGTTGGAGGACTCCAGCGGCTGCTTGGGCTTGTCGATGTCGTCCTGATCGGTGATGTACGCCATGTTCACCTGACCGGAGCTGTTGCCGTGCTGGTACACCGACGGGCGCGGGATGGTGGTCATGGGGTAATCGCTCAGCGAGATGTGGGGGATGTCGCTCAGGAGGTCGAAGGACTTGCTCTTCTGCCGACGGCAGCAATGAATGATGGCCCACAAGACGAGTGCGAGCAGGATGACTCCAACAGCGATCACACAGCTCAGGAAAATGACACAGCCGGTGTAATCCAGTCCACGGATCATGCAGAAGGATGCTGTGGTGTTTGCATCAGTGGTACTTGGTATGGTGGATCCATCAGCTGTGGTTGGCTGTGTCGGCTCACTGATGACCCTTGCATCAGTTGCTGTAAAGTTAGCCCCTTGAAATACGATCATTAGGGACTCATTAGCATTGTTCATCAGGCTGTTGAACTTATCAGCAACTCCCTCACTGGCTGAACGGTTGACTTCTACTGTGACAATGGTGGAGCCACATCTTAAGTCGTAGCATCGTGTGGCAGTTTTACTGATGTTGAGCCAAGTAGCGACTGCAACACTGCAGTTCTGGAGAAAGTCTGCTTCGTAATCCAAGGCGATCTTGCAGTCACCGTCAAATGTCACTCTCCAAGGACCTGGTGTTGTGGTGGTCATCATTGTAGTAGTCTGGGTTGTTGCCATCATTGTGGTGTTTGTTGATGCCATGGTGGTGTTCATTGGTGCCATGGTGGTGTTGTCTGATGCTGTGCTAACAGTGGTCTCCGGTGTACCTGTTGTCAGACTTGTACCAGCCGTGGTATTCATAGTGTCAGTAGAGCCCTGCATTGCAGCTGTGGTATTCATTGCACCTGTTGTGCCTTGTATTGCAGCCGTGGTATTTGTTGCAGCTGTAGTGCCTTGCATTGCAGCTGTGGAATTCATCCTGTCGCTAGTGCCTGGCATTGTAACTGTGGTATTCATGGCACCTGTAGTGCCTGGCATGGTAGCTGTGGTATTCATGGTACTGGTAGTGCCTGGCATTGCAGTGGAACTTATTCCACCTGTAGTGCCTGACATTGCAGCTGTGGAATTCATGGCACCAGTAGTGCCTGGCATTGTAGCTGTGGTATTCATGGCACCTGTAGTGCCTGGCATTGTAGCTGTGGTATTCATGGCACCTGCACTGCCTGGCATTGTAGCTGTGGTATTCATGGCACCTGTAGTGCCTGGCATTCTAGCTGTGGTATTCATGGCACCTGTAGTGTCTGGCATTGTAGCTGTGGTATTCATCCTACTAGTAGTGCCTGGCATTGCAGCTGTATTTGCTCCACCTGTAGTGCCTTGCATTGTAGCTGTGGTATTCATGGCAGCAGTAGTGCCTTGCATTGGAGCTGTAGTATTCATGGAAGCAGTGGTGCCATGCATCGTAGTTGCTTGACTTGTGGTGCTCATCACGCCAGCTGTGGTACCCGTTGTCTGACGTGTACTTGCAGCCTGTGTGGTGTTAGGTGCCGGTGTAGTTGTCACTTCGACTGTAGCTATTTGTACCTCCAGATGCCCCAGCAGTGCTCATCCTTCCTGTTGTCACCACAGTTGTGTTGCCTACTGCCTGTGTCATTCCTGCCATCGTGGTGTTTGCTGCCATGCTGCTCATAGCAGCTGTGGTGGTTGCAGAAGACGTGCCGCCCTGTCGATTGGTTGTAGTCATGGCCTGTGTTGTTCCCGTGCTGCCCGCAGCTGATGAACTACTCATGGTGGTTGCACCTGCAAAAGGCAAAAAGAGACTTTACTATCTTGAATATACATGTACCTGTCAGTCACCAATCAACAGTTACATCGTGAGAAATATAAAGATGGCCCTGTACTCCCTAATCATGCAAATAAGGTCATAATTTACATAAATTGGAATACAACGTCTATCCCATATCATACCTTTGATAACATGCTATTTTTATGATTTGAATAGGATGTTTATATGCATCAATGTACACAGTGTGGTATTTGTTTCCAGGCAAATTACATATACATTCAAGTAGAGCAAAAGGAAACCAGCTGTTCCATTTTTTACAGTTTATGTATACTTTGTTATTGTTGTTCAGTCAAAGAAACTTTGACTAGTAGAATAACATCCGACATACAGGCTACATAAATTTTCCACCCTGAAAATATGCATAAAGAGATCTCCAATGCAGCATCCCCCATATACAAAAGTATAATCTCAAAAAAACTATTTTTCAAAGCGGTTGATATACGTAACCCGTCAAAAAATCTTCACAGAAGTTAGCTGCAAGCTAAGCAAATGTCAACACACCTTATACCAAGCAAGCTATGTAATTATATAAAATTTCTAACCCAAGACAATCCAAGTAGAGGTTAATGCCATAAACATTGAAATTTTGGATTCAGTGTTAGGCCACACCAAGTAAATTTTATGGATGACGTCCTTTGGAGACCTTATATCCAATGCGAGAGGGCGAAAAAAAAAACAAGAAGGGCCCTAAAAAACAAGATGCCAAGATTAGAAATATACTAAGAGACAACAAATGTTAGGACACAAATTGAATGAGGTGACACAGTGTAACAAGCAAGAAGTCTTTTATTCATCATCAAAACAGCAATAAATCAGGTGGAACAGCAGTTGTCGTCCTGTCCTGTTTTCGCGTTACGGGTTTAAAGTCAATCTGACGATTTGCGGCACTGTCGCGACTCTTTGGTCATAGTTACAGGAAGCGGAATTTCTTGTGTTTTTTCTAGGAACAGGCCAAAATCAATGCGCGCGCGGACGTCATCCATAAAATTTACTTGGTGTAGCCTTATGTATGTGTCAAAGGCCTTGGGATACATGTATTATTTTTACTGGGATAGAATGAGTTTACAGACACTGGGGTGAGACATTTCAGGCAGACTTGAGTCCCTCCAACCTACGTCTTGTTATTTTTAGTTGACATTCTAACCTCTCGTTTCTTTCATACAGCCCTCAGACATTTAGAGAGCCCAGTTGAACATGGAGGTTAATTTCATAAAGGCAAGGCTGGCTCAAGCTTAGCCTCTACCAGGCACCGCGGATCGCTGGAAAAATAGTAAAAATTGGCTGAAATAAAGGGATAGTATACCAGAGAAGATCCAGGGCCATAGAAGCTCCAATTTGCGACCCACCGTGTTTTTCCAGCGATCCGCGATGCCTGGTAGAGGCTAGCTCAAGATTACAGTCACTCAAATTTGCAGTCAGGCCTCGAAATTAACTTTATTTACTATTGTCCCAAAATTGTCCCAAAAATAGATTCCAATTGTCCCGAACTGAGGATGGACTGTCCCAGCCTAGGCCTGCTTTTCAGGAATTAAGACAACAGTAAAAAAACTCAATTTCAATTTTGCACAACTTGAAGTCCACTTTATAATATTAGACGTACAGTAAATATCATTTTTCCCAGACTTTAGGAAAATACATGATACATGTAGTATCATGGGCGCACCACCATCTTCAACACCCCCCTCTCTGACATTTGGAATCCCTGATTGGTCAAATTCAAATGTTTGTCAGAGTATTATGGGCTGCCGGAGTCCTGCTGCAGGATGGATGGATCGCGTTCCTAAAATGACGTGGAGGCTCTCAGAATTTTCCAATTTCCCCGAAATTGTCCCGAAACGTAATTTGAATTGTCCCGAGCTGAAAATTTAGTGTCATTTGACACTGGGACAATGTTAATTTCGAGCCCTGGCAGTCACTCCATTTTTCCATTATTAATATGCACATGTAGTATTTTGAGCCCTATAATTGGTTTGCTAGTCATAGAGCTTCACAAAGTCAACACATTACATGGAACTGCATTTACCAGTCATGCATGCATGCATCATCGACCATACCTTGTGCTTGATGACTGCAAAAGCCCAGAACAAGGAGTAGAAAGAGCAGCGTCTGCATCTTGGGTGTTCTCCTAACGGCTCTCATCTTGGCACTGGAGCTGTACAAAACAGAATATCACATGTATGTCACATACCTGTCAGAATTAGATCTCATTAACACCTGCAATATTAACTGTAACGCTACCCCTCCCCATCTGGCCTGCCAGCCATTAACAGAAATGTACCTCAGTCTGCGTTTCCAAAGCCAGTGTTCGATGACGGAAAATTGATCCAACGTTTAAGCCAACAGATGTGGTCATATAATTCTGATTGAGCTGATGGGACGATATAGACGGGTGGGTGGCTTTGTAATGAAATTGTGGAGAAAACAAGGAGGGATGACATCATTGCTATCACCTGTTTAGGTAGTGATGGAGTCTAGAACTGTTAGTGCCCAGCAAAATCAATCCAGTCATGATGAGAATGTTCATGAAGAACAACATTAAATTTTTCACTTAGATTGAAATCTATATAAACAAACAAATCAACAGTTTCCAAGCAAAAAATGGATCACAGACTATTCACTTGTATATTAAATTTCCATCATAACTGTAAAACAAATATTGTTTGATGAATAATGGTTCTATCAATACAAAATACATCCTTTTTACAAGCTCATGATCTGAGTGTCTGATAGTACAGGACAGGGACTTGACAGGGACTTGATTATTGCTGATTAATGCTGAATAGCAGATACCATTCAAGAAAACAGATAAATGTCCTCAAGCTGCAATAGACCACTCTTATCTCTCAAGATTCCATCTCTTATCTACTCTTCAGACCTGAGACAGCAATTATGGTAAATCCATTTGTTTCCAGGGGGATTTTCATAGTTTTGTAAAGTTCTTGGTTGACACAGTGCATTGGAAATGTCAACACAAAAATAAAACCACTATACTAGTAGGAATATTTCAAGATTTACGGTATATGATTTTCCTTTCCCATCCATGGGAAATGAGATGAGGCAGACAATACTATAAGCTCAGCCTCACTGAGTGCCGGATGTCAGCAAGATGAAGAAAACGAATGGTTAAACATCGTTAAGTGGGCAGTCCCCCAAAATTGCTCCTCTCCAATCAATACCTCAGCATTACCAACAGTCAACGATCGGCGCTATCATCTGGTCACGTGACGCAGCGGTTTACGCATCAACAGTTACTGAGCACCATATTGATGAAGAAGAGTGTACACATATTGGATTTCTTAATTTGCACAGCCATTAGTCCACAGGTGTATTCAATTTCTTGGTTTTGGAATTTGCTGCTTCATTTTTTTTTGTAGTCGAAAAAAAAGTACCATTCGGGTTATGAATCAACCCCCATATACTAATATTTTGGTACACATGTACCAATAGTGTCTTCCTTGTCATTATGGATTAGCCTTTTCCCTGCTGTCTAACCCTGTTTTCAATACAAGTTAGTTTCGCTGAGGTATGATGCGTTGCACAAGAAATATAGTACCCCTAAATCTTACAAATACAGGGTGCTATATAGATGGTACTATATGTGCAAACTCTGCAGGACAAGAGTTAACTTTGGTATATTGACTTTGTGCCTCTAGACATGGTAATATTTGGGGTCCATTACATGATGGCTATTCTACCTAGCTTATTCCTTTTTATTTTCATTTTGCCCATATTGATTTCTGTAGGAAATGAATCTCAATTCAATGATTTTAGCACATGTGATTACTAGTATGTACTAGTATATCAACTGAGGCAAGGACATAAACAGAAAGTGCATCTCCCAAATGACACTTTATTGGGGGGCTTACGCTGAATTTTGAATGCAACGACTTTTATAGACCGATTTGTCAACATTATTTATGAAAATTGGGGGTAATACCGGGACATCACATTTGAATATGGGACATCATTATCATAGCTATTTACCATCATTGGAGTGATTTGGACATAATCTTGGTACTTAAGAATAAATTATACATAATGTGACAAAAGGGGGCTCCAAAGAGAGAAATCGATTGAATGCTTCCCCATCTAGTTGCACAAACCAAGCATTATGATCTGGACTGGCATTTTGGATTGAAAGTAGGACACTCTGCGATTTTGGGGGTTGGTAAGAGTAAAATTGACCAGAAAGACGTACACAATGATGTCAACTCACATACAACTTACATGTAATTCTGTTGGGTACCCTATAGCTAACTCATATAGCCACAATTTGAAAAAAAAACTAATTAATCAAATAGATCTACTATAAATGCATCACTGCATCAGTAATCCTATGCTACAAACACTTAAGATATCCAGGTGTTCAAGACATTCCTGAGAAGACCTTGAGGATATTTTTTTTATGCTGCAGTCTAAGGTTACCCAGCTGAATTACGAGAGTTGACAGTTGGAATCATCATTATTCAGTATGCCAATAAGGTCACATACATCGTATGGGAGGTTTACGACTGCAAATTGAAGGCATTCCAGGCACAGTTGTGAATTGCCATTTGGGTCGTACAAAAATCAACGGGCTTGTGGCGGAAATGGTTGTCGTACATCCTCGTTGACGGTTGGTACTGTCATAGTTTCCACTGAAAATCCTACAACAGAAAAATGGTACGACAAATGTGATTGAAACTTAACGTATGCACAGAATGTAAGCCTGGAGGCCTAAATACTTACTCTGAACTAACACCAACACTAATGATACCATCTCGACAGAATGTAAACAAAGAAAGCATCTTGGCTGGGCCAAAATTAAACACCGAACAAACATGTACTGTACATGTGAGGCATTTTGAGAGAGGCTCGCAAAAGGTCATGGCCAGAAGGCTAGGAGATACACATCTGTTTGTACTTCACTTCTAGGCTTTTCTCTCTTCCTGCTCTGGGTTATGTCAGATGAGTTGGGTGTGGTGTACATGTACATGTCGTGCCCGTAGCCAAGATTTTGAATGGGGGGGTTCTTCACACTGCTTGAGGGGACCTCGAGCGCCGAGGTTCCTAGGGGGGTCCGGGGGCATGCTCCCCCGGAAAATTTTGAAAAAATAAACCTTCTAAAATGGCATTTCGTGCATTTTTGAGAGGATTTCCAAGAAAAAATCAGAGATAAATTTTTATTCAATGACAAAGGGAGCAGTTTTTCTATGATTCCAGTCTTGAACCTTTACATAAAAAGTGGACCAAAAAGTGGACCTTTACATAAAAAGTGGACCAAAAAGTGGACCTTTACATAAAAAGTGGACCAAAAAGTGGACCTTTGAGCCTTGTGGGGGGGTTCTTCCGAACCCCCGAACCCCCCTGGCTACGGGCATGCATGTACATGCATGGTTGAGTGGTTGGCAACCCCCCTCTGGACCAAATGGCACACATTCTCCCCTTCTTTGTGAATTCTGTAAATTACCATACATACATTGGGACTTAATTCTGCGGTAAAGGGGAAAAGAAGGCTTTCGCCGAGTTTTGAATTTACGATTGAAAAGTGGAAGATAAAATGCATATTCACGGTATCAAAATGAGAGGTCATCACCGGGAACATTAATCCACTGCATAAATTTTCAAGATTTACAGTAATGACGTGACCAACGGAAACTTGGAAATGCTATCACTATGGAAACAGAGCAGTTTGTCACGTTGGCACGGAGACGACTTAGGCATCAGGTGGCAAGCCGCAGGTAAGGAAAAGCTAACTCCCACTGCCTACATGTACCATTACTCCAAATCCCTAGCAACTGTCTGTAGTGACACTGGCACCATATTAGGTCAGTATCCACGTAGAGTCGTACGTAAGGCCTAGGAAAAAATTGTTGTGTTTCCTGTTTCCCGAGAAAAAAGTGCCGACCCTAACCTTTCTTTGTGTGGACCCCTACAAGGGACATAAATGTTTCGAACTGATGATCAACATTTTCTACATAGTATGATCTGACACCTGAGTAATAAAACAGTTGCAAGTTTTACTTTGTTAAACTGTATTGTATAAGTTGGATCACCAAGATTGCAAACATCTAATAAAAAATAATTAAAAAAATAGAAAAATTAAAGCAAAAAAAAAGACACTACCTAGTACCTACCGACCCAAATTTTCTTTTCAAGACTGAAAGTAACAGGAAACACAACATTTTCAGGCCTCGAAATTAACTTTTTTCACTATTGTCCCAGAATTGTCCCGAACATAGATTTCAATTGTCCCGAACTGAAGATGGACTGTCCCAGCCTGCTTTTCAGGAAATAAGTTGATGACAAAAATAAGAAAACAACAACTGAATTTGTACAACTTGAAGTCCACTTTATTAGTAAATGTAGGGAAATACATGATAATATAATGGGCATGGCACCATCCCTGATATTTGGAATCCCTGATTGGTCAAATTTAAATGTTTGTCAGAGTATTATATATTTATAGGCTGCCAGCAGTCTGCAGCAGGATGAATGGATCGCGTTCCCAAATGACGTGGATGGTCTTAGAATTTTCCAATTGCCCCAAAATTGTCCCGAAACGTAATTTGAATTGTCCCAAGCTGAAAATTTAGTGTCATTTGACACTGGGACAATGTTAATTTCGAGCCCTACATTTTTTCCCTGGGTGTAACGTCTACACTAAGCTTCTTCGTGGAAATCACCAACAAAACAGCATGACGCAAGCAGGTTGCTATTGGCTGGGCCCCGTCATTAAATCTCAAAGCCACTTTGGGGTCCATTTAGATTATATGTAATGCAAGATTTTAAAACCAGGTTTCAAAGCCCTTTGAAAGGTCAGGCTACTTGGAGGTATAGAGAATCCATTAACACTGATCCTGCCATGAGAGTACAAGAGGATGTATATGACTTATAGGATAAAATAACTGATAATCCACAAACACAACCAACCCAACATCCACACATCCAGATCCAGGGAGAGTACACAACTAATCAGGAGATATTGGCACAAAAGTCGGTGTCACACAGCAGGAAAGTAGCTTGCCTGACAAGTCTGTGAGCTAAAAAAGGCCATTTTCACAGCACTATGGCTGGTATGTGTACTCTTGATCATTGCCCGATTTTTACCTAGGGATTGCCCAATGTTCATACTAATCATAGGTCCCTGAGCCTTGTCCAATGTAGCAGATTTTAGGTGATAAATAAATACCAGTACTCGATTTTGAACATCTGGCGATTATAAAATTCAACCGATGGTCAATGACAAGTTGACGCCAGCTGAAATTCTGCATCAGATGGGGTAACTAAGGAACTGCAAATGTCAAGACACGGTTACATAAAACCAACGGAGCCATGTGCATACTGCGGCCCTTTCGGGATGGAACTAAAGGAACAAGGAGATCAAATGTTTTGCCACTTTTATTAACCAATTGTTAGATACCAGAGCATATGGCAGGCACTTTTCTTCACTTGCACACTTCAGAATTGAGTAAATGTCATGGATTTTGAGATTTTCATGTATAATTCAAAATTTATGAAAAAATAATATAATAAAAATAATAAAATGATAAGTCTGAGACTTGTACCTTGTACCTTGGTCCCTTAACCCAGGCCAGAGTTGTGGGGGCACTGCATAGTGGAGTGTCTGACCATGTGCCTTCATCCCTCTAGGCTGTCTGAGACTACAATCAGACTAAATATTATGTAGGTGTGGTCGATTCCTAATCCTATTGTAAATTCTAAATACCAAAACCCATGCATATTCTAAATACCAAAACCCATGCATATTCTAAATACCAAGAGTCATGCATGTCCAAACTTTTAACAATGGTCCCCATTCTTTGAATATCAGTGGTACTACAACACCATCACACGGCATATCAGATATCTAGAACCTTTGCTGACATTGTTAGGACTAACTAACATGTTGACAAGGTGATTCCTTATAACCACTCAGGTGTGCCAGCACATGATCAGTTTGCTGAATGACCTTGAAACCTGACCTTGATCTTGTTGACAAGAAGGTCCTGTGTTATATACAGCGTGTGTCCACACACCTGTCCAACATGTCTCTCACATAAGGTGTTTTACCCAGGAGTCCAAACATGCCGATTTTGCGCCCTATTCCAAAGACACAAAGGAGCCATTCACAAGTTAACCAATCAGCCGCAGTGCCATCTATTGGCAAAATTTTCCACTTACTCTGTCAGTGATGACACCTCTCAGGGCTCGAAGTAGTGTAAAATCCTTTAACATTAGAGTGAGCACTTGTTTTCAAAGACGGGTAGGGGAAGAAGGCATCCATGGTGGGCGCATCAAGTGCATCACTGTCAAAAAATCTGTATCAACAATGGCAGAGAGGTCACTCCAAAAACTGCTAAACATAATACCATAGAAATTATTTCAAGATTAACAGTAGTACTCAATTAGAGAACTCCAAAAAACATGGAAAACAGTCTGGGTCCCACATTTGCTTGGAAATTAGAAATTACCCACCTGCAACCTCAGCAATTTTTTTGCTGAGGTTGCAGGTAGAAAAACAGATAAAAAAGAAAAAAAAACACTTTGCAATTTTGTAAGGGAAACAAAATTTACAAGATTGATATCATGATACATTCCCTATTCAAAATGGAAGTGAAATATTTCAAGCCCTGACTCTGTATTGTGTCAGTCTTGGATATAAACATGTATGCATGCCACAAGAGTTAGGTAAAACCACAGACACCACCTACTACCTATACGGATCAATGGTCAATCAGCGCTAGAGATAGGGAACAACATAGCACCAGGGTAACGTCTGCTTCTGGATTTTATCCATGTAGCCAACTGCAACGACCCTGACATTCCTGCGTAGCAACTGTCTACAGGTTTATCTCAACAACTCCATGGCAACAACAAGTCTTAACCTACACATTACATCATGACTGAACTTCGCAAGAAAATATCAGGAAGGGAGTGGCTGAAGTAGCCTAGCATAACCTATAACAACAAAATGAGAAGTTATGAAGTGAACTTTAAAAAATGTGGAACTAAGCTGAATAGCTCGGTGGTAATAGGCCATTAAATGTAAACATGCCCAGTCAGAAGGTGTGAACAAGAGAAATGCACGATTAGAAAAAGAGACTTAAAATGTTTGTAGCGAAAAATCCTAATTCTTCACAAGAAAGCTCATCTGACTCTGAGAAACAAGTACTAGTAACCATGTCTCCATCCATACATTGTCATGCTTGGATATATAGATTTTGGCAATAGTAATATCCTACTAGTAATATGGAATGTTTGACATCCTTGAGGTCATGGTTTGTATTTTTTAACTACCTCCTCTTGAAATATACTTACAAGTTTACTAGATGACAGATGGAATGAATGTCCAGCAAAAACACTGCAAGTTGCAACATGCAACAGTAATTTGCTGGGATCAAGTACACACTTGCCACCCGACAACACGTTTTTGGAAATTATACAAGTGAAACTTTGAAAAGGAGGTCAAAACAAACAGGACTGCAGGACTGTTGCACAAAAACATATCTTGGTGATATATATATAAAAAATAGCCACCAATGACCACAAACATATCGAGAGTTACAGTATTTCAAGCCACTGGTAGCCTAGTTTTGTTTGATAGACTGCTGTGACACTGGCCATTGACCCCTGCAGGACCTTTTAGTGTCACCAGGTGGTGCCGTCTCCTCCCAGGTTTTCCCAGTGATTTCCTAGTGGTTTTTCTTTTCTGTACATTTTCCACCCACTGTGCTGCAGCTGTCTAGCAGAATCAGGATCCGACAAGGAATACAAAATTGCCAACAGTTTGCGTACATTTCATACAAAAGATGGACTGAAGGGATTTTTAAGGAGGACAAAATGGGTAAAATGTCAAAATCCTAGTCCACTGTCTAGCCTACAAAAACCACATGGTCTTCTGTGTTTTCTCTTATCCCTTTCCCTTCGTACTTGAAAGAAACAAAGAGATCAACCCCAATAGAAACTGTCTACCCCGTAGCCATATGTCTAAGCATGCCGCTAAATCACGGGCCCTCACCTCGCGATAACGGTTTTCAAGCGCCACATGCCAAGCAACGCGACCGGAGGCAAGGTTGTCTCCTCCACCTGGATCCTTTTTCCTTCGTCGTGCTTTCCTTCGAGCTATGGCGCCACAATCTTTGGGATGCACTTCGAGGTTGCACTATTCCCTCGCACACACGCAAGTGTCAGCTGCTATTGGAAACGCAGTAGCGAGAAATCTTTGGACAAAGAGGGCGAGTCAATACCTTGCGAAACGCCGGAACCACACACACTGCTCCCTCAAAAGCAGATGTCTTCCGCCAGTAGACGTGTTGGAAGCGGACCCCAGACTAGACGGGGGAAATGTTGTGAATAAATTATGCAAGATTAAGCCATGTCTGTCATTGGCTCAGGTCGTGGGAAGGACAAGAAGGAGACAAATGCAGCTCATCCACACCCAGGAATGATTAGGTATTATTATAAAAGGAAATGAATAACAAAACATAGCAATCAGTTTTGACTCACAATTGTCACTTATTTTCTCGGCCACTGATACCGCTGAGGATCGCCGTGAAATGTAAACCGTTACATGTAACCAAGACAACGGTGACAGTATTTGCGACATTGTGAGTGTGGGGGTCATGTAACAATTTTGCGGTCCTTTGGGGAGGGTTATGTAGCTGCTTTTTTTAGTGTCACTCAAGAGTCAAGACTCTGAATACACATTTAAATGCGTAATTTGGACCCCTGGAGCGTGGCTCATGAGCTGCTTTCAGCTACTGCAGCTACCCGATAATGATACAGTTCCAGGCATTTTCCAGGGCTCCCTTTCGCCTTTGTTTTGAAAAAGTAAAAAAAAAAGCATTTCAGCGTTATTGTTTATGGATTTACGGTTCTTTTATTTTCATTATAACCTCCGTATTCATACCAAGGACATTATATAGACACTTTTAACATAGGATAGCATTTTCACACTCAAAAATTAATGGCAAAATGAATGCCAATGAACTCTAAGGGAAAGAAAAATGTTATTTTTGCCCCAAAAAGAGCCGACCTAAAAGATTGATTGGCCACATATTTGAAACAATACAGCTTTGTTTATTGCAGGGACATTGTCTTTTGTCAATGAGTCAAGTTTAACAAACTTGAGACAATTATTTGATGGGTAAAACAACACCCAAAGGTAGGGACTTTGCAATTTTGTACTATATAAACATAGTTTTGTAATGATGGAGATATAAATTAATCATAAACGAAGAAAAAACTGTGTAACGGATATTCTAACGGATATTCTAAGTCATCAATTTTCATGTTTTGAGCGACTTCTTTAAAAAAAGTTTAACTAACAAACTCAACGTTACAAATGCACGACAAGTTATACATCTCCGTGCGCATCTTTTTCGTCAGTCTTCCTCTTGATAAATACTGAACAGTCCCCTGCTACTTGAAAGGGACTGTGCGTTCACGCCACGCATGCGAGGAAGTGCCATCATTTCAAATTTCCCGCCAAAATTATGGGTGCCCCGAATGCTAGTCTTCTGTGATTGGTCAAATTGGATATTCATCAACCAATCCGAGTAACAGTATGCAGACTTTGATAGTCCATTAACCAATCACTATGCATCATAAGATCGACGTGCGGGAAAATCATTACATTTTTCGGACCGGGAAGAGGATAGATTGTTTATGTCTGAATCTTAGCACGTTTTTTACGGATTTCCTTTCCGATAGGGTGAAAAGACTTCAAAATCTGGAATCAGAGCGTTACGTCCTACATCGTTATGTAGCAGAAAGTGGTGGAAGGATGCAATTCGTTCCCGTAACTGCATGTTGCTTCTGACCCCCCTCCCCACCTTGATGCTTGGTTACTATCAACAACTTGTGGGTCGTATACTTGCAAATTTCAAGACGATTTCCTGATCTTTCATACTTGGTAGAGTGCACATAACCGAGGTGTCAAGATGATGGAATTAAACCTATCCCGTGTTGACTACACGCAGGTTAGTGTTAACGTTAATTAACTTGGTTTTGATCGTGATCTTCTTATCTTCAAGCAGATGTTAGGTGGAAAGAATTTGAGGTATAACATCTGTGTCCATAATATCACCAGGGACCGGTCCATAATATCGCCACCTTGAGAAACAGTGTGCTTAAAGATATTTTTACTGCAACATACCCTAGGTATGTACATTTGATGTGGGAAGGAGTGCATACCAAAAGTATGTTGCAGTAAAAATATCTTTAACTTAACACTGTTTCTCAAGGTGGCGATATTATTATGGACACAGATGTTACAGTATTTTTGAGTTCCCAATTCTCAGGAAAAGCGTCATTTAAACCCTGTGATCATTCCTTTGAAACCTGATTGCTGGTTTGATATAATTAACAGGCAAACTAATAACGATTGTGAAATAGGGAAAGTAAAACTGGAGGCGAGATGGTATTTATTATTAATAGGAAAATGATACATGGCTTTTGGACGATATGTCCTGTTGATGTGTTGACTAAATTGTAGGCCATTGCACTCCTCTTACCCCTTCATAAACTCTTCCCCTCCTCGCTTCATATAATATTTATCTGCCATCCACGTTCCGGCATGGCAACAGACATCTTTGCCCATTCTTGGCAAAATTTCTTTTTCAAAATCGGGCGAAAATTAATGCACACGCTGATGTCATCCACAAAAGTTACTTGTCGTGGCCTAATAATACATTATTTTGAATGTCACTAATTTTTTTTAAATCTAACAGGTGGCAGTAACTTCTCCTAAGACCATGAAGCTGCTACCAGCATCAGGGAAGAGAGCTATTCAGAAGGTAAGACTGCTGATTTCCTGTTCTCAAAAATGTTCCCAAAACTCTGTAAGTAATTGCACACTTCCTATAAAATAAAGTTAAAGTTCAGGTGCCAGTCATTATACAGGATACACAATCCATTCACAACTTCTTCATTTATTATCATTTCCCCAATCAAATGCCACCCAGAAACAGACATCCTTTTTGGCTTAGCGGAAAAGACTAGAATTCCTGTTAGAGAAAATGCTGGTATAACAGGAGAAAGGGGAAATGTAAGGACTCAAGATAACTTCAGAATTAATACATAACTTGTTCCCTTGGTACCAGGGCTCTAGTCAACACCAGTTTTTCCGTCACATTACCGGAACTTTGCAACGTGTGACTGAAAGTTTTCAAAACCAATCTGTCAACCTTGACAGACAAAATTAACAAAAATTTTGGGACCACCAACAATCACTCTCAACACCATGATTTGCCTCTCAAAATGCGGGAAATTGCGTTTTTGAAGGCTTGAAAATCCAAAATTTCCCAGAGGAGGCACCTACGATGCTCCTTTCCCCAACTCCTATCATTGACCTAGTACCTGGGCTGACAAAAAAAAAATTCAAGCTAGCTAGAGCCCTGCTTGGTACCCACTACTTTAGTTTTCAACCTCAGCAATCTGCCCTGGATTCTACGGGTCAGAATGCTGAAGACAACACTGGACTGGTGCCAAGTATTTCAGCCTTTTTCAACTTACCAAAGCTTACCAAAAAACACTAAATCTTTCCAGTATGTCTGCAAACAAAAAAATTAATTGGATGTTTCGTTTGCAGGTGACTGTAGGAGACCACGAGGGAGTTGTAACATGTTTTGGGATGAAGAAAAAGGAAACAGTGGTAAGTAGTAGGTACTACAACCTTTGTGGGGTCGTGTGGCATAACAATAGTTTCAGCTCAGACCCAAGAGCAGCTGCCCAAGAGGTCCCGGGTTCGAATCCTGCCCGATGCCACCAAAGTTGTACCCTTGGGAAAGGCACTTTACCCGACTTTCCTCACTTCACTCAGGTGTAAATGAGTACCTAGCTTCGGTTAGGGACGTCCCTCGGATAGGATGTTAAGTGGAGGTCCTGCCACACCCCACGCACGTTAAAGAACCCACCACACTTATCAAAAAGAGTAGGGGACCTTCCTGGTGTGAGTGGTTGAAACATTACAGTCTGGTCTTACGCAGCTTGTACGTACATGTACAAAACTGGTGTGTTACGCCTAAAAAGGTGGTTTACCGGTTATACAAAACAAACAAACTACATTGGACTATCAGCTACCGAAAAAGCATTAGGCTTCGTCTTAAGCACTACAATTTGAGTCTGACTGAAGAAGAAGAATGGTTACAGAGTCTTGTTTTCTTGAGATTTTTGTATCTGACAGTAAATACGGTGAGAATTCCAGCATACCTGACATGACAAACACATCACAAGGACCTTTGTAACTTTGTTGTCCCAACAAGACCAGTGGGTGGGGAACCCAGGTACCCATTACTGTATGTTATGCCTAAACTTCCACACATGCCTGAAGGTCATCCCAATTATTTCAAGACTCCGAATGCCACACCTATTCCCTTATGGCTGTTTCTTATATAATCATTGCCCCCCTCAAAAACGTTAGGTATGTAGTGTCAATGATCTGCCTAGTTAAGTAAAAAATTGAATTGTGTTTTTAGTCCAAATCTCTCCATGAAGCTACCAGATAGGAAACGTGTAATAGTATGTAAGGAAACGTGTAATAGTATGTAAGGTACAAAGTACATGTAGTTTACATTTAGTGGCCCCAAATTGCCTTTCTTCAGCTTAACTTTAATATTACTTTTTCCCTTGTTGGAAGAGATGCTATTAAACATATATCATTAGCAGGAGAAGAGACTATAAATTGTTTATAATAGTTTAATGTGTTGGTCAAGGTTACATATATAGTCTAGTGAATTCAAACTTTTACTGGATAAATTATGGAGATAACTTCAGGATCTTTTTATCAGTGAGGCTGAAGAAGAGAGGTGGATGTCACTCAAAATGTCCAGAAGCAATCTCCATAGTTTACCCAGTAGTAGAGTTTGAATTTACTAGGAGTATAATAAGGCCACAGCAAGTAATTTTTATGGATGTCATCAGCGCGCGCATTAATTTTCGCCTGATTTTGGAAAAAAACACAAGAAAAATTGTTGCCTTCTGACGTCATGACAGTGGTCAACATGCCGAAAATGGGCAAAGATGTCTGTTGCCATGCCGGAAGGTGGATGGCAGATAGCTATGAAGAGAGGAGACAAGTAAAGGCTCTGATTTAATGTTTTGTTTCTTACTTTGATGCAGTGATATGTGATGCTGGCTGTGTATATGTGATGTTCCCACTGAATCAAAACCATTTGTACAATGATTGAGTCAAAATTTTAAATTATAGGAACCTTGTTTTTTCAGCCCGCCTTGTTTTTTTTTTCGCCCGCTCGCATTAGATTTGGAGTCTGCGGAGAATGGCATCCATAAAATTTACATGTTGTGGCCTAATTTAACTTTGTGACATGTTTTACACTTTTTGTTCCACCTACAGCCGGTGTTTAAGACCCTCCCCAGCCAGGCTATCAAGCGGCTGGAGTTGGGAGGACCGCCCGGGTCTGTAGCCGACAGAATCTTTGTGTCCAGCGGGACGGAGGTCAGAGGTTACTCCAAGAAGGGCAAACAGTTCCTGGGGTTCAACACTAACCTGGCAGAGCCCCCGCAGGCAATGTGAGTTATCTCTGTTCCTCTTCCTCCCAATGTGTATATACAAAGGCCACAGCAAGTAAATTTTATGGATGACATCCTTAGCAGACTCCAAATCTAATGCGAGCGGGCGAAAAAAAAACAAGGTGGGCCGAAAAAAACAAGGTTCCTACATTTTGCAATTTTGACTCAATCATTGTACAAATAGTTTTTATTTAGTGGGAACATCACATATACACAACCAGCATCACATATCACTGCATCAAAGTAAGAAACAAAACATTAAATCAGAGAATTTTCTTGTCTACTCTATCGATCTCTTCATAGATATTTGCCATCCACCTTCCAGCATGGCAACAGACATCTTTGCCCATTTTTGGCATGTTGACCACTGTCAGAAGGCAACAGAATTTCTTGGGTTTTTTCCCCAAATCAGGCGAAAATTTACGCCCGCGCCGATGTCATCCATAAAATTACTTGCTGTGGCCAAAACTAAGAGGAAATGAAACCAGCGTAAACATTACAAGAGTTGCAGTAACTTAGGCAAGAGATAATGATGTTCTTCTTTTCTCAGAAATAGTTCTTGAATATACAAATGTATTCTCGTGCAGTAAAAAAACCTGCTCAGTTGTAAACTTTGTATGACTGTTACACAGTTTGGAGGAACTACTAGTATAACATCCATGAAAATAGGTTCCCATTCTCAGGCCTTTTGCCATTCTCATATTAACTGGGAGAAAAAGATGCCTTGAATTCAGCTTAAACTTAAAAGCCTTTTGCAATCACCTGAATTAGGCTTGTTGACCCATCTTTGCAGACTACCCTTGATGGTTAGTGCCCTCTTGCTGGACTTATAGAAATTGCAGTATGGAAACATGGAGACACAGACATGCAAAAAACAATACTTCACTCCCTCAGAGATGAAGCAGTGTTCGAAATACCTGCCTGCAGTCTGCAATCTGCAGATAGATTTTCAAGATTGCAGAAGAAAAAATTATCCAGTCTGCAATTTTGCAGAAGGAAAAATAGGCTCCAGATTCATTAGTTTTCAATTTAGCAAACTAAAACTTCCAGGCCCCAGGGACAGACTTTCTGAAACAACAGGAGCTTCTTCACTAATTTGCATCATCCTTGTCTTGACTTGTCTAACTTTTGTTTCCTTTTGGACTTCAAAAAAATTGTCTTCACTAATTTGCATATCAATCCATAGTTCATGCTTATAAACCTGAAATTCTCCTGCAGTCCAGTAATGCTACTGTACAGATTTACAAAGCTATATATGATGTAAAAAAGGAATTATTGGTTAAATGAGAAGGTTGTAGTATGGAGGCTTGTGTATTTGCAGAAAGGGTTTCCAAATTGCAGAACAAAATTTGGACTCTTCTGCAATATTGCAGAGCACTGAAAAAAAGTATTTCGACCACTGTGAAGTTATAAGCTATGGCTTGTTGTGTAGTTATATGCAATTTCATCAGGATGTATACAAATTTTATTTCAGTCTAACAATGCTGACTAATGCACAAAGAAATTGTTACTCAAGCAAATGGATACATTTTGGAAACTGTCAGTTGCAGACGCTTCATGTATCAATATCATCCACTAATGCTAACTAATGCTTGTCATATTCAGGTATGTAACAGGCAGTGACCTGTTCCTGACTGGCACCTATGTGTTCAACCACTTCCACGACCTGAAAGACCAGAACTACTTCCTGGCCCCTGACAAGATCAACGATGTCCTGTGTCTGCCGCTGGACAAGTTCTCCCTGCTAACCTCAGTCCTGGCCTGTCAGGACAGGGTGCTCAGGGTGCTACAGGTAACATACAAGCCTCAAAATTAACTTTTTGTAAAAACTTTTTTTTCCTATTGTTCCAGCATTGTTCCGAAAATAAATTTCAATTGTCCTGAAGTGAGGTTGAACTGTCCCAACCTGTTTATCGGGAAGTATGTATGACAACAACTTGAAGTCAACTTTATTTTGCTTATTTATTATTTATCTGACTCCCAGGCGTACTACCGGTATAATTGCAGAGTACACAAGAAACTTAAGGGGCATTCCCGGAGCCAAAAGCCGGGACGCATGCCTGATCAATGAAAGAAGGACTGATATTCTGATGTTGATTATTGTTCTATTGTCCCAAAAATGTCCCAAAGTGACTTTCTAGTTGTCCCGGTCTAAATTTTAGTGGTCAGTGGCCATCGGGACACCATTATTTTCGTGCCCTGACATACAGTCTCTTTTTGGCAACACCTCCAGATTGGAGCCTCTTTTCTTGACAACAATCAAGTGCCCTTTCTTACATTATCTTTTCTGTTGAAGTTATTAACAAGGTATGAAAGACTAAAGATATGAAAGAAATTCAGAAAAGAGATTTTTTGCAAGCGGCATAGTTGTTTCTTCAAATGGTGAGTATGCTTTGCTCTCATTTTTTTACAGAAACATAATGCAGATGTTTTACCCCATTCCACTTTTCTGTTTGTTTTTTATAGGAGTCGGACCTTCTATATGAAGTGGAAGTACCTGGTCCACCACAGACCCTTTGTCTCCTCAATGGCAATGGAGGTAAGAATAGTATAATAATAATAATGGTTTATATACAATACATTATTCGTATGGACAGTCCCACCTGGCAGCCAGAGGCTGAATTGCATGGGAGCTGTTTCCATGAGTTTCATTAAAACAATATCTCATCCATTATCTCAACCATATTTAAAAACATTTACAAACAGGATAAAATTGACGGAGCATTTTACAAGTTCAGCAATCGTACCATGTGTGGTATTGCACTGTCGTGGTACCAGCATGATATCAAGTGGAAAAGAATAGGAAAAAGTCAAACAAAGATCTTTTGTAGTATCAGATAATACATGAAATTTTCACCATAGCATGTTCAGTCAGACTGTAGCTACTGGGTAAGTTCACTCACTCTGTTCAAGAGTTACTGTCCTCCATCTATGTCCACTGACATTGCTGGCAAAATTTTTAAAAGTATTGAAAAGTCATACAACTGATGATGGTGATGATAACAACAGAGCAAGTTTGAGGGTGATGTGGGTTTCCTCAGTTAATCTACTTTCAGATTGAACAGTCCAAAGACAGTATAAGACAAAGATTTTACAAAAAAACTTCTCAACCAATTTCTGGTGAGTTAATTTCATTTTTGAGTTGGAGAACAGTTTAATTTTCTTCAACTTCTCAACCAGGCTGACTCCAAGGCAATGATGTAAGAATGTACAGCAAACTGAATTGCTCCTCTTCCGCTATGCTTTCGACAGGCACATTAACTAAACTAGATTCATCACGCTTGTTTCCTTAGGTGTAGAGGGGAATGAGCTGTTGTATGGAACATCTGATGGAAAAGTTGGGATGGTGCAGATTAACAGGTCAGTGTTTTTTGTACATCAATCAATCAATCAATCAATCAATCAATCAATCAATCAATCAATCAAAACTGGTTTATTGGTAAAAAAAAGGCATTGCAGCCAAAGGCTGTTGACTAATGAATAACTGTAAAGTAATTATCAATCAATCAATCAATCAAAACTGGTTTATTGGTTAAAAGAAGGCATTGCAGCCAAAGGCTGAATTATGCCTTCTGTACATTTCATATATTGCACATTTAAAAGTGTTTCCAATATAATGTGAAACCAATAAAATGATACATTTCTATATACAGGTACAACATTTGCATAAGTCTAGTTTGGACTTCTTCCAGTTCATTTAGTTGTGTTCAGGAGTCGCAACAGTGATAGTACAGGACAATTCTTAAATCTGACAATACGACTGAAAGGTAAATACATACAACATGTGTATTTACATGTCATGTAAATACAGAATGCAGTTTCTTTATACTGGTTACATTGTAAGCCCTGTACTAAATGAATGGTAGAATCATCAAAGCAAAAAAATGGGAAGAACACAAAACGCAGCCTTTTTTGTCAGCATACCTGAAACACTTTTACTATCCTTAGGAGTCTTAATTCATGCAAGCTGTACTTCCTTTTCCAAGGATATCAAAACAGAATTTTTCTGTCTTTTACAGTCTGTCCCCAAGTCACAGATGGGAGCTGCCCAATGAGAAAGGTCATGGAGGTAAGACAGTTACTCATTAGTGCAGTCAAGACCGTATTTTTAATCTCACATAGGAAAAACATGTACTGAAAGGGTATAATTTAGCTCATATTACGTACTGTTTTAAGCAGATCATATTTTAGAAAACGAAGTGAGTGGATTCTGCTAGGAGTGTCTAGAAATGACAGGTTTCATATTCTATCCAGTTCCTTGAGTTTTCTTGCCTCTCATTACTACCTATAACCTTCATCAGCAAATGAAGGTATAATATTATAACTGTTTACCAGTGACAAGACATTAAAATGTCCAGACTATGCATGATGTACAAAATGAGTAATAAACTGGTGGACGTCCCAACTACTAAGTACCTAATATCAGCCCAGAAGAGAACATTAGAAATAGCCATGCCTTCAAGTACCAGAGTTATCAACCGAGGATCGAGGTGTTCAAGAATTCATTCTTTCCTAGAACTATCGCAGAGTGGAACTCACTGTCACCAAGTACAGTAGGGCCATTGTCATTAGATAGCTTTGTGTCTAGAGTTAGAAGTTCAAGGGTTTGGTGTAACAAGTCGATTGGTGTAATATAGCCAGCTGCCGCCGCGCCGCGTGCCTGCGAAGCTGGTGTGTTACGCTGAAAGGCGGTTATACCGGCTATACAGATACAGATACAGATAAAGTTTGATCTTTGCCCACCTTCAGGTATTCTGTGTCTGGACAACTATGACATCACGTCGGACGGCGTACAGGACCTGTTGGTGGGACGGGATGACGGGCTGGTGGAGGTCTTCGGTTACAACGAGACAGACGAACCTGTACTACGCTTCAGTCACGTAAGTTGGTCACATATCATTGGTCTGCATAATTTATGTGCAAGCAGAGTGTAAAACTGGAATAGCCCCCTTACAATCAATGGAGAGAAACAGCCAGATCAAGACTAAATTTTGATTCGCAGCCTTGGTTATGCCAATTTGACTTGACTTGGCAGTTCTTCATATGCCAATTTACTTCAGTAATTCATCTATTATAGAATTTTAACTTGTTATGTTTACCAAAGGAAAACATATTGTTTTTACTCAGTTTCTTCCTCTTCTTCTTCTTCTTCTCCAAACAGTGACCTATGACCTAACCAATGACATGATTTGTTGACATCTGTTACCATGGTGACTGGTGTTGGGTTACATAATGTTGCAATTTTATGGTCTGCTCTGCTCCTGTCACCATATACTAGTAGTACATATATGTGAATGTGTTTGAGTAAGAATTAACAGAGCAGACCATGTCCGAAGGTAAACATTATGCATTTGCTTTGCAAATGGTACGTCTCTAGTTGCAGAATATTTTTCCATGTTAAAAGGTAGAAGTACACCAATGATTTCTGGACCTTCAATGGTAAGACAGTCTGCTCCAATATCCTTGCATCCTATCTTGTATTAAACAATAAGAAGCTGTTACTTTTAAGTACAATGTGTAATTCTTATGCCTTTCTGCAGCAACTGAATGAGAGTGTGACGTCTATTCAGGGTGGGGTTGTTGCTACAGCTGGGTATGATGAGATAGTTGCTGCCACGTATGCAGGTATGTGTTAGACAGCTGTTACGTGCTGTCACCTGTGGAATATTGCCATGGAGTCCTAGGGACATACATTGTAGGAGTAGCCCTATGTCTGTTCCTGTCTTTTTTTTTTTAACGGTGTCGCTCAATGCAAGGCCAATTATTTTGGGCCACTTCTAGGCATAGAGCTAGAGGTACTTAAGTGAGTATAATGTAGTTATGTCAGGAGATGGCGGTGGACCTTTGTTTTGAAGCTTTGTGGATTGTAGTCGGACGGAAAGCATCTGTTTGGAAGAGAGTTCCATAATTTTGCAGTCCGGGGAAAGAAGCTGTTGTTGTAAAATGACTTGGAGACAGGTATGTTAACGGTGTATTGATGAGAACTGGAAGAGAACCTAGTGGCACGCTGAAAGGTTATGAGCGGTGGGACAAGAAGTGCAAGTTCTGTCTGTAACTGTATTCTGCCTAAGAAACAGCCTAAAGTTCTCTCAAGTAGAAATTTTCTTTTAGGCCACACCAATTTAATTTCTTGGTTAACGGATTTTTCTAGAAAAAAAATGGAGCGGGCGGGCGAAAAAAAAATAAAAATAAAAATTTGAGACCACCTGCCATACAGCCATGTAGTAAGCAATCCATTAAGTTAAGTTACAAAATGATATAAGACATTATATTAGACACTTATTGAACTGAAAGGACCATTACTACATGTACATGAGCAACTTCTCTTACATCCCTTTACAATTATTCGTATTATTTTGCAAGATACACATCTTTACTGTATGAACAACAAACTGTCCGTTGACAAGACTCCCATCCAACTGGTTTCACTTTTATTCATCTTTCAAAGTTCCAAAGAGTGGTTTAAATCAGGGTGCTCTGTTCAGATCCCATTGTTCTTAGTTCAGGGCACACAGCTTACCACTGGGCTGGGCATTCTATTGTGTCTGGCTGATATGGAAGTTATTTAGAGCTTGAAATTTACAATATCCTAAATATATGCTTTAGACAAATTTCCAGGAATGTGTAAAAGTTATTGGCAAAAGAATTAACTACTTTTACAGATATTTTATTTCTTCTTTTATCTTTCCCCAATTCCCAAATACTACCGGTAGTAGATCTATACATTTTATATTTCCTATTTTTCACTTTAGGTATGCTACAGCTACATTATACATAGCCATCATTCAAAGAAATAGCCACATTGTCACACTCTTCAAGTTGCCACAAATTCAATGATCTAGGGTTTCACTATAAAGTCTTTGATGTATGGGGGTTTTTATTTGTAGGGGGAACCATTTTATTAAAGAATTTAGATGTAATAATTGATGTATTATTTGCAATTGTACTCCTGTTTATAGGTATCTAAATAAGATGTAACTTTGTTAGAATGCCACATGCACAAGTAGTATTTTTCACAGAGTAATTTCTATAATTAAAAGAACCTGTTTCCCCCTACTCGAAGTGGACTCTTCCGACCGTGAGAAATAGTGAATGGACTTACGTGCATGGAGGACTTCTTACTTTGCCAAATTCCCATGTTTGTGGTAGGATTTTGTACTTTTTGAAAGTAATACAGTTTGTGATGCCAGAATACATTGTTATGTCGTGTTATTTTTACATATTCCCTGGAAAAAAAGATCGTTTTGAAGGTGTGTGTGCATGTGCCGCTCAGGCCGAGTTTATACGTTCGGCCGATTACATTGTACTTTTAACGCCCGTTACTAGCACGTTTCCGACACAATACGTGTTTCTAAATGAAATATAATATATATCTAAAAGGGAGATGATATGTTGTTACAGGTAAACTTGGTGACTTATTAAATCTGCCGTACGTTTGACTGTCGTCAGTGAAGTTTTGTCCCATGAATGGTGACATGTGCAAAGGGGGTGGGGGCGAGTTCTATATCAAAAGAATTTTTTTGACGAACTTTTGAAGAGGCAACCTAGCTTTCCGAACAAATTGCACTCAGAAAAATGTTTCTGCCTTGAAGCAATGTATTTTTAACGCTGTTAACTATGCCCAAATTTTGAAAAATTACAACGTACCGGGTGGACTTTGGGGCCCCAATTCGGGACCCGAGAGTATGGATTTTTGTTCTGTTTTTATTTTTATTTTATTTTGGCAAAAAAACGAAGCGGCGAATCCGTTAACCAAGGAAATAAATTGGTGTGGCCTTATGTGTCTTAATGTAAAGCTAGCATTTTGGGGAGGTCGTCTGCTGTGACCATGTCACATTGGAACAGTAGCACTTTTGGTGGGGGTATCAAAAATTATGTTGAGTTTTTTTTTCTGTTTAGACTTCATTTAAATCTTTTTTAATTAAATTGTATTTTCAAATGAATTATTCAAAATAAACTACAATACGTTGTTTATTTATTAGATAAATACTTCAAGTCTTAACACTACTGTCAGTGTCCTGTCCCATGTATAATGGTACGGTCCAAAAAGTGCTTGGTTATTCTAATAACTGACCACTTTTGATATTACAGCCTGATAACTGATGGGAAATGGAGCCTTCTGATTAGTCGAAGTCTTCTGGCTATATGATAATTTGGTATAATGATAGATCATTGACAAACTAGAAAAGTAACATTTGCAAAGCAAATGCATAATGTTTACCTTCGCACATGGTCTGCTCTGTTAATTCTTACTCAAACATTCACATATATGGTGACAGGGGTCTGAATCCCTTCTACTATGAAATTGCAACATTATGTAATCCCAGTTACCATGTTGACAGACGTCAACAAATCAGGTCATTGGCCAGGTCAGAGGTCAGTATTTGGAGAAGAAGAGGAAGAAACTGAGCAAAAACAATATGTTTTCCTTCGATAAACATAATTAGAACTAATAACACATACCCATGCCACCCCATCCAGGCTGGATCCAGGGTTTGACTACAGAGCCTCAGGAGAAGGAGGCGGGGCCGGGAGACGAGGTGCAAGTCAACGTGGAGACACAGGCCAGGATCAAGACTCTCAAGTAAATACATGTACAACTTCTATTGGGCTGTGCCATTAAACTTCTCCCTCCTGCCTTACCCCATAACTAATACAAATGTGATGCCAAAAGACTACTTCACCAAGGAAAGGGTTAGAAATATTGAGTAGGATCAAGAAACCTTTTGTGTTTTCAGTATGGTCAAGAAACTTTTTGTGTTTTCATGAACATTTCCCAATCTTCTGTTTTGTTTTCCACCACTCTCCCACTCATTAATTCAAGGTTTAGTTTTCCTTTAAAAGTAATACCTTAGTTTAGTGGGTAGCATTGACAAATGTCAACATTTATGTCACCTATTTGTAAATGTATACTTCATCAATGGCATATGCACATGTACAGAGGAGCATCATTAGTGAGGTAGAGATCCTCTTTTTTTAGTAAAGAGACGCTTTTTACATAACCAAGTGTTTTATTCACAGCCAACGTTTCTGTGACAGTCTGTCACCTTCCTCATGGCAATTCTGAATGCTTCACATTGCACTGCAGCACAGGTGTTGCTGCTCTAGATGCATTCCGAAACATACATGGTCCCAAACATACAAATCAAATGTTTTTGTCACAATGCATTGTGCAATATATTTAAATGTGTCTCGACTGTTTCCAGACAAGAGCTGGAAGAGATCCAGCAGAAGGTCGCACGCGAGCGTGAGAAGTACCAGGCGACGGCCCACAGCAGCAAGGCCATCTCAGCCGTCCCCTTCTTCAACATCAACGACAAGTTCACCCTCAGTAAGGACGACGCCAGTTACACCCTGTCTCTGGAGGTCCAGTCGGCCATCGATAATGTACTACTTCAGGTGAGCCTCTTTCCATTTGTGGAATCAATTTCTATTAAATTTTATATTTCAGTCCATACCATATGGTATGGATGAAATATATTGTGTTCTCTCATGTTTCTTCTCCTCCTGCCAAACAGTCAAAGGGATTCAACTCTGTCATTTGTCAGCCAAATGACTTGAAATTTGGCATGGAGGTAGAGTGGGCAAATACCCTCAGGTGTTTTTTTTTTTCATTTTTTTGATACATGCCTTTGAAAAATTTTTATGAAGGTTTTTTGGGGCATTTTTTGACAAAAAATGGATTGTTTGATCCTGAGCCCTGGTATTACAACCAAATGATCTTAAATTCGGTATAAGGGTACCTTGAACATGTGTCTAAAGAATAGCAGTCACATATTTGGCATACACCACCTCTAAATGACTCATTTGGGGGACTTAAATGGATATTTTCAGCCAAAAAAGGACCAAAAGTACTGTACCCGTTCCACGTTCGATCTAAAGAATGGCCCGTTCCATCTGCCGTTGGCCATCGAACATTGCGGGTTACCTGGGGTCACTTTGCATGTAAGTCGTGCGCAATGACCCACACATTCAATTTTATGTGCCTAAGATCATTACTTCATCTACTATTATGGACTGAAATATGCTGTATTTGCTCCAAAGCAAATGTCGGTCTTTCTAGTTTGTTTCTTTTGTGAAGTGTTGCTGTGCAGGATTTTTTATTTAACTGACCATACAGAGATGTTGCATTTGTCTATCAGTGACATGTATTTTTATATACTTGACAGTATCAGCAGTGATATTATCTGCTAGAACTTCACCGTCAATATCATGAAATGTGTATTAAACTGTCTTCCTAGAAGGACATAAGTAGTGAATTTATTCCATCTTACTTTTTAGTCACACTTAATTCACTGTAAATTTAAAAGACATTGGGAATGACTTTTAAGTCCCAACTTTTAATATCTCAACAAGTTATGATACAACCTCTTCAGAAACTGATCATGACATATCTCAAACTGTGTAGTCAAGAAGAGGTTGCATTATAAGACTGGGAGACATTTTTTTTTCAAATTGTTAACGAATATGTTTCATTAGGAATAGTGCTGCATACCTAAACCCACTTTTAGGTTCAGGTCCGGATTCAAGTCCAGAGGTTTAGGTTCAGTTACGGACTTGTAAGTCTGGACCTAAAACCCATGGCATATACAAAATTGCATGTTGGCAAAATTGCAATGTTGTTTTGGAAAGAAAAGGGGTGTGAAATGGTCTTTTATGGTAATAAGTCCGGACTCGGTTCTTGACTTTTAGGTTTTTTGGGACTTGAACCTAAATAATCTTACAAGTCCGGATCCAAGTCCTTAACCGGTATGCAGCACTAATTAGGAATGTAGACTGATATTTTATCCCTGCTGACCTGGTGCATTTATCCTGTCCACAGAGTGATGTGCCCATTGATCTGCTGGATGTGGAGAAGAACTCAGCTGTGGTCAGCTTCAGCGCTACGGAGCCTGAGGTAAGAAAACTTGAGCTGCTGTCATGAGTTAGCCAACTGTGGCCTGCCAACCTTCTCCAGACTGTATTTGGGATTGTAGTTGTAGTCCAGAGCAAGGTCATCTGGAGTTGGGAGTTGGTCAACAAGGTTGCCACCAGCCTTTTAAAGTCGTCTGCAAAACTGGCTTTGAATTTTGACCAAACTAAAATTGGAAAAGTCATAGCCAGAGCGAACTGGAGCTAGAATAGCTACTCCAAATGCAATGTCAACCTTTTGTTGGGGAGTGGTTGGAAGCAAAGTCATGGGAAGGTCATGGATGTGCAACGGGTTTGAGACATTTGTCTGTCACATGCATTCGCCCAAGATATTGTAACGTTACATTCTCATAGTTTGATGGGGTTTTTTTTTTGCGTCACTCGATCATTTTCCCCCTTGTCCAGAGTGGGAACTTCCTTCTGGCCACCTACAGATGTCAGGCCAACACCACCAGGCTGGAGGTCAAGGTGAGTCACCAAGGTCAAGGTCATTCATCTCAAATATAACATTATGCAGCTATGATGCACTTTTCAGCTTTGATTTGGTACGTAGTAAAATTTAGCACAATTATTCTCCATAATATTTACTTCTTAATTAAATGCTCGTCCAATATACTGACAGGATATGTTGTTTAATCGTAGATCCGTTCCATTGAGGGTCAGTACGGTACTATCCAGGCATATGTGACCCCCCGTATCCAGCCCAAGACCTGCCAGGTCAGGCAGTACTCCATCAAACCCCTGTCTCTACACCAGAGGACACACAGCTTTGATGAGAGCAGGTAAGAAACATTTGCTTCATATGAGTTACGTACAAGCTTGCATTTTGTGTTAATGATATTCAACAACAGACTGAAGAACTTAGTACTTCCTTCAGCATATTTTTTGGCATGATTGTTGAGAAAAATTCTGAAGAAAGAAGGGGGGCAATAAAGTGATAAGCTAACAATTGTATATAATGTATAGATTGTAACATTACGTTTTGTGTTATGTTGTGCTGTAACACCACCAGTTAATTAATTTACCACCTAGTAGGTTATCACAAGTAGTACTGATATAATAAAAAATTGATTTAAAAACTTGAAACAATCAACAGCCCTGGTTTTATTCAACTACTAACCAATGTTTTATCCTTACATTTTCATTTTACAAGAAAAATGCTTGTAGGCATAACAACTGCTTGTTGCATATAAACAGGAAGTCAAGAAGATTCATATAATAGCATCAGTAATAACATGGAGATTCTTTATTGACACAACAAAAAAGTACAGGGACTTTTGTATGGTCTTCTACAACTTAACTTAAGATCTAACAAAGCTAAATACATGTGTGGATAACGTCATCTTACGTACAGAGTGTGTGATGTAACAATAAAGGTTAACTATTCTCTAACGTGTTCTCTAAGATCGAAACATTCTTTAATCATATTTTCCTATTTGAGTACTGTATTAGTTATCTCCCCTGAGAATGTAATTGAATTTATCTATAGGATCTAACGTATTGAAATCAATTGAACAAGCAGAAAGAAAGGTGAACAGCAATAAGCGCTTATCATTGTATAGTGTACAATACATTGTAACTGCTACCTGTTCCCAGGCCCATGAATGTGCTGAAGATATCAGGGAACTTCAGCATGGCCGAGATCCACTCCTGGGTCTGCTTCTGTCTGCCGGAGCTGCCCGAGAGAACGCCCGTGGGCGACTCTGCAACCTTCTACTTACTCAACACATTCCTGGACACCCAGCTGGAGTGCACGTACAGGTGAGACCACCTGTGGACAAGGCTTTTTAAGGATCAATGATTCTTTATTAGGCCACACCAATTTAATTTGTTGTTTCTCGGATATTTTCAGAAAAAATATGATGCGACAGGGCGAAATAAATTTTAAAAAAAACAGGCCAACGCACCCCATGATAGCCGGAAATGTTACAATATGAGCATTGAAGCAAAGTCAACATACCAGGCTGGTTTATAATCAAAGCAATAGTTTTTGAACTTTTAATGAAACAAAATTTTAACAACTAGGAAGAAAAGGACTTTCTTCAACCGTTGGGGCCAAAATATGTCTTTCATTGAGCATTTTGCAGTTGATTCAGAACCTAAAATCTTTTTTTTTTGCAAATTTGAAAAAAATGGACAGGGCAAATCCGAGAAACAACAAATTAGATTGGTGTGGCCTTAACTCAACAAAAAGTACAGGGACTTTTGTATGTTCGTCTACAACTAATGATAAGATACATGTGTGAATAACGTCATCCTACGTACAGAGTATACGTATGTCACAGGCAAACTAATATTGAATTCTTACTTTAACCCAAGGAGGATGAAAATAGGACTTTCTTTCTTCAACACTGTAAACTGTTTTTGTTGCTCAAGGTGGCTTTGTAACATTTCATGTCCTGTGGTATCAATTTTACCTGCTAGATATATTGACTTTTAAGTGCTCTGTCTGTGTCTGTCTGAAATTAGGTTCAACCTTCCCTGTGCATTGTTCTGAACATTTGTTTGTAACCTAAATTGACAGCATATTGTAGGTTTCATTTCTAAGGCCACACCAATTTAATTTCTTGGTTAACGGATTCGCCCGCTTCATTTTTGTCTGATGTGCAAATAAAAATAAAAATTCAGAATCAACTGCAAAATGCTCATATTTTGGCCTGAACAGTTCAAAACAGTCCTTTTCATCCTAGTTGTTACAGTTATTTCATCTTTCAATGGAGTGGTATCATTAAAAGTTCAAAATTCATTGTGTTGACTTCATGGCTCCTATCGTACCATTTTGGGCCATAGTAGGATGCCTAGGCCTGTTTTTATTTTTTTATTTTTTCGCCCTCCTGCTCCATTATTTTTCTAGAAAAATCTGTTAACCAAGAATTGAATTGGTGTGGCCTAAGATACATGATTGTGTGAATAACGTCATCCTATGTACAAAGTATGTGGCAAACTAATATTGAATTCTTACTTAAACCCAAGGAGGTCCTGGATGAAAATAGGACTTTCTTTCTTCAACACTGTAAACTGTTTTTGTTGCTCAAGGTGGCTTTGGAACATTTCATGTCCTGTGGTATGAATTTTACCTGCTAGATATATTGACTTTTAAGTGCTACATGTATGTCTGTGTCTGTCTGAAATTAGGTTCAATCTTCCCTGTGCATTGTTCTGAGCATTTGTTTGTAAGGCCACACCAAGTAAATTTTATGGATGATGTCCTTTGGAGACCCTATATCTAATGCAAGAGGGCGAAAAAAAACAAGAAGGGCCCTAAAAAATAAGATGCCTAGATTAGAAATATACTAAGAGACGACAAATATTAGGACACAAATTGAATGAGGTGACACAGATTAACAAGCTAGAAGTCTTTTATTCATCATCAAAACAGCAATAAATCAGGTGGAACAGCAGTTGTCGTCCTGTCCTGTTTCTTTCATCACATTTTTGCAGGCCTGCAGAAACAAAGCATGTGCTCTTTACCCATTTCGCGTTACGGGTTTCACATCAATCTAACGATTTGCGGCTCTTTCGTGACTCTTTGGTCATAGTTACAGGAAGCGGAATTTCTTGTTTTTTTCTAGGAACAGGCCAAAATCAATGCGCGCGCGGACGTCATCCATAGAATTTACTTGGTGTGGCCTAACCTAAATTGACAGCATATTGTATGTAGGTTTCATTTCTAACCTACATGTGTTTAATCTCCTGTAGGAAGGGAGAAGGCATCTTCCGATCAGACAACATCTCTACTATCTCCATCCTGAAGGACGTCATCACTAAACAGGCCACTCATCGCAAAGTCAACATCCAGATCACATATGGTAGAGTTCTTTAATTCTGTAATTTTAATTTCAATATATAGTGTTAGAATGCAATATTGTTAGAGTTGAACTGTTCTGTACTCATGTCTTACAAATGTACATGCTGTAGACCACATATGGCCACCTGTGTTAGTCCATCTGGACAGAAATATGAAATAAAGATTCATATCGTATCATGTAACACTTCAAGAGCTTTTGCTAAATACATTTGTATACTCCACTGTCTGACAGTTTTGAATTACGGTTACCATCTGGGGGTCAACAAAATAATCCAAATTGGATAGTGTGACACCGACTTGTAAAACTATGAAGTAGAATCCTTTCTTTTTAGCATGATGTACCTTTTAAGAAAACATTGCTAAGGGCTTGTCTCAATTACACCAAAACTTGATTTCTCAAAATGTTCCAGATGCATAGTACTGTTATACATTGGATGGTAAATAGTAGAATTTTCCATGCAAACATGCTGCGATACTGTGATACTTGAGTTGTTCTATGTTTGCTAAAATGAGATGCCTCCAGCTTAGACAGAAACTGACATAGTAATTTTTTCTGTTCCTGCAGACCTGTCCGATGAGTCCATCCCCCACACACTACAGCTGATCCACCCCCGACTGGAGTACCAGCTCCTATTGGCCAAGAAGGTCCAACTCATAGATGCACTCAAGGTGAGACATTTACTAACTCATCAGGAATTGTCCACTACATAACCAGGTTAGATGACGGTATGATAACATTCTCTGCCTTCAAATGGGTACTACATGAACTTGGTACCCTTCTGTCTGAAAGTACACCATGGTTTGTACTCTTTACTTTATTGAGAATTAACGAAAGTTGCTAACAGAAATGTACTTATTTTTGATACATTTGGAAAAATTTTTGGTTATTATGTCAACATTGCCCTAGCAGCCCTCCAAACAATAGGCCCTGTAGATGCTTTATGACAACTACAGTACTGTACCTGTAAGAGCAAATCTTCTATTATGGCTAATATTATCAGCATGCATTAGATTGTTCCAGAGGTTACAATGGGTTGTTGTTTTTGCAGGTGATATTTCCATAAAAAGACAAATATATTCAATGCTTTCATGTGTTTATCTTCAGGAGCTTCAGATCCATGAGACAGACTTGAGCTTCCTGTCGGCAGAATACGTCAACATCCTAGAGAACGCTGATGAACTACAGGCAGAGTACAAACGACAGCCGTGTGCACTGGAGAGGCTTTACGGTACACACTCTTGTTTCTTTATTCATTTGTTACTGTATGTATACCAAAAAAAAAAACATTGTTTCTGCTCTGTTTCTTCTTCTTCTCCAAACAAATAAGGTCAATGACCTGAACCAGACGTCTGTCACCATGGTAACTAGTGTTGGGTTACATCATGTTACAATTTTATAGAAGGAGGGATTTAGACTCCTATCTGACCATATAGGTGAATGTGAGTAAGACATTATGCATTTGCTTTGCAAATGTTACCTTTCTAGTTTATTATTCTGTTTTGCAATGATTGCTCTTTCAGCTAGAAGACAATGTCAAATCTAAACTTTTACACATCTTTTTAAATCCAGGGATGATCACAGACCTGTTCATAGACAAACACAAGTTCAAGGGTGTGAACGTACGCACCAAGGTCCCACAACTTATGGAGCTGTTGGACAACTATGACCTGCAGACTGTCATTGACTTCTTCCAACTCAACTAGAGAGACTTTTCATCTATTCATCTTCCTGTAGAGAAGAATCTTTAGAGGTTGAATGATGTATTGTATATGGTTACTAGTAATATGTTTCCTGATGTTTTATTGCATACATGTTTAGATGCACTAAGTACAAAGTCATGTACTTTAAATCTTGAAATATTTGTGGTGGTTTCATTTTCACTGTATTTGATGTTAATTCTCCACTGCAAAGTCATCACACAGCAAATGATACGGTTTATTGGTGAGTAAAGCACTTGATGTGCCCTTTATCAATACATGTAGAACGTCTCTTTTCGACTGGGAAATCCCATAGAACTTATATGAATTTAAAGAGCTTTGTAAGCACCTTAAATATGCGTATTTTAGTACTTAAAAGATGACGATGATAACCAGTCACAATTTTATGTGTAAGTGTATTCCTTGTTTTGTGTATTGTATGTCAATTTGGTCCTAAAATTTGTGACTTTAAAAAGAGGGAAGAATATAGATATGTACATTTTCTGTATCCTCTATGACCCTGTAATTGTGTGTAACATGTACAGAATACAATTGTGCTATGATTGTGTGTTTTGAGTGTTATTGTTGTCTTTTTTTCATTTCATCAATGAGAGACCACTCTATGATGGCATGCATACATCTTTTATTATAAAGGTAATTTTCCTATCCCGCTAATGCATTCCCAATCCTAAAACACTAAAGCCCATCCTTAACCCTCAATCCTTCCGTTTTTTATCATTTACTTAGCTGGATGGCAGCTATACCAGGTATACAGATACAGAAAACAAGTTATGTCCTTGGTGCTGAAAACCATCACCAACTCCCTTGCATTTAATTCAGTATCTAATTGAATAAAGTGGTCATAATACATAACTACATGTAAGTGATATGTGATAGGAACTCTTGTTACCTTTTATAAGGAACACTGATGGGGTTTATGTTGTACATTTTTCCTATCACTTGGCCTCACCCAAACTATTCCAGTATCTCAAACAGTTCCTCCGCCTTCTTTTCTACAGCAGAGCCTGCATCCTTTTGATGAAGTAGGTCTTTCAGTTGCTCTGCAAGTTTACGTTCCTCTTTTTTGGCTGAGTCTGCAGTTTGTCCCCCATGATCCATGAGATGGATCTTCTTCTCCTTCCAAGCTTGGCCAAATGTCAGAAACTCGCGAGTTTCCTTTGCAGCCTTTTCCTCGTGCGGAGACATGATTCCTTTCTTGTAGAACTGCTTCTCGAACTCAAGGGTATCCTGAAGATCATTCATGAAGGCGAGTCGCTTCTCTTCCATTTCATTGTCTTTCTTAGAGATGGGCTTTTCTTTATTTATTTCAACACCTTTCTTTTTTGCTTCCCAGGACTTTGCAAACTCGATGTATTCACGTACTGCATTTGCTGCTTTGCTTTCATGTGGAGACAGGTGTCCATTTCTGTAAAACTGATTCTCAAAGTCGACTGTTTTCTGTAGGTCAGACAAAAAGCTATCCCTTCGTTCTGACTCCCCACTTCCTTCTTCATCACCTTCATTTTCCTCATTGCCTTCTCCTTCATCGTCTTCGTCATCACCTGCGTCTTCTTCATCACCTGCTTCTTCTTCATCACCTGCGTCTTCTTCATCACCTGCGTCTTCTTCATCATCGCCTGCTTCTTCTTCTTCATCACCTGCTTCGTCTTCATCACCTGCTTCTTCTTCTTCTTCACTTGCTTCTTCTTCATCACCTGCTTCTTCTTCTTCATCGCCTGCTTCTTCTTCTTTATCGCCTGCTTCTTCTTCTTCATCACCTGCTTCTTCTTCTTCACCTGCTTCTTCCTCATCACCTGCTTCTTCCTCATCACCTGCTTCTTCTTCATCACCTGCTTCTTCTTCATCGCCTGCTTCTTCTTCATCGCCTGCTTCTTCTTCATCACCTGCTTCTTCTTCTTCACCTGCTTCTTCCTCATCACCTGCTTCTTCCTCATCGCCTGCCTCTTCCTCATCACCTGCTTCTTCTTCTTCATCACCTGCGTCTTCATCACCTGCGTCCTCTTCATCACCTGCTTCTTCTTCTTCATCACCTGCGTCTTCATCACCTGCGTCCTCTTCATCACCTGCTTCTTCTTCATCACCTGCTTCTTCTTCTTCCTCATCACCGGCTTCTTCTCCATCACCTGCTTCTTCTTCTTCATCACCTGCGTCTTCTTCATCGCCTGCTTCTTCTTCTTCATCACCTGCTTCTTCTTCTTCATCACCTGCGTCTTCTTCATCACCTGCGTCTTCTTCATCACCTGCGTCTTCTTCATCGCCTGCTTCTTCTTCATCGCCTGCTTCTTCCTCATCACCTGCTTCTTCTTCATCACCTGCGTCTTCTTCATCATCGCCTGCTTCTTCTTCATCACCTGCTTCTTCTTCATCACCTGCTTCTTCTTCACCTGCTTCTTCTTCTTCACCTGCTTCTTCTTCATCACCTGCTTCTTCTTCTTCATCGGCTGCTTCTTCCTCATCACCTGCTTCTTCTTCATCGCCTGCTTCTTCTTCATCGCCTGCTTCTTCTTCATCGCCTGCTTCTTCTTCATCACCTGCTTCTTCATCACCTGCGTCTTCTTCTTCACCTGCGTCCTCTTCATCACCTGCTTCTTCTTCATCACCTGCTTCTTCTTCTTCCTCATCACCGGCTTCTTCTTCTTCATCACCTGCGTCTTCTTCATCGCCTGCTTCTTCTTCTTCATCACCTGCTTCTTCTTCCTCATCACCTGCTTCTTCTTCGTCATCACCTGCTTCTTCTTCTTCATCACCTGCGTCTTCTTCATCACCTGCTTCTTCTTCATCACCTGCTTCTTCGTCATCACCTGTTTCTTCATCACCTGCTTCTTCTTCTTCATCACCTGCGTCTTCTTCATCACCTGCGTCTTCTTCTTCATCGCCTGCTTCTTCTTCTTCATCGCCTGCTTCTTCTTCATCACCGGCTTCTTCTCCATCACCTGCTTCTTCTTCTTCATCACCTGCGTCTTCTTCATCGCCTGCTTCTTCTTCTCATCACCTGCTTCTTCTTCTTCATCGCCTGCTTCTTCCTCATCACCTGCTTCTTCTTCCTCATCACCTGCTTCTTCTTCGTCATCACCTGTCTTCTTCTTCTTCATCACCTGCGTCTTCTTCATCACCTGCGTCGTCTTTATCACCTGCGTCTTCTTCATCACCTGCTCCTTCTTCATCGCCTGCTTCTTCTTCTTCATCACCTGCGTCTTCTTCATCACCTGTGTCTTCTTCATCACCT